CGCTTAGCGAGCGCCATCCTGAGTGTGTCCTGCAGAGAGAAAACCACTGAAGGCGGCGCATCCTGAAGGCCAGAACCGTCGTCGCTATGGGAACATTGGACCTGGGAATGTGAGGGTCTCGTCTCCTCCATTGGCGTATAATACTCCTGTTCCTCCCGGTCTTAGGAGTCAGAAGCCGCAATAGATAAAGTGTCTGGTTCTCTCCTGGACAACCTGGATGCCAGCTCACACCTGGGCAAGGGAGGAGCTAAAACACCCCCCCCTGTCCCCTCACTCACATTCTGACGAGTAGGGGGAACAGATAATAAGTCTCTAATACCCTGAACTGCGTTCGCAAGTTCAGCTACTTGCTGGGTCAATGTACTTGACTCCGAGGAGGTTCGCATCCTCTTTGAAGGCCTTCCAGTCCCACTGGCCACACGCTTGCTACTCACATGTGACTCTGTCCCAGCTGATGGAGCAGAATTCTCAAACTCAGGGTCTAATTCAGCCAGTCGATGCTGTCTCATCTCCAAGGACATCAAACCACATTCAGGACATGGGTCTACTAAAGCCTCTCGGAGCTGATCAATGCCTAGGCAAGTAGGACATTGAATATGAGCATCCATGAGATCCATTGGACCGAAGCAGAGGGAACATGAAGCTGCCATCACTTCCAGCCCAGTTAGTTGAAAAAACCCCTGGTCAACCAATGGGGTTATCCACAATAAGGTTTATCAATGTATCACTCTGGTTAACCAATGAGCATAACATAAAGTAGCAGTTTCTGACAATATACAATACCACACGCAGTATAACAGAACCCTGGTTAACCACTGAGTTCACATGAGTACTCACCTCAACACTGCTAGTAGCGATCGGTTCCAAACAAACCCTGGACAACCAGTGGGTATATGGTCCGATGCACGTCAAAATATATCCAAATATATCCAAATATTTCTCCCGAGACACAGCTGTAGCGGGGAGCAGTTGCTCACCAAAAAACGCTGTGCACGCTCGAGCGAGATCTCTTCGCGAGAATGACAAAGAGAACGACCGTGACGTGAACGGAGCGGATATAGCTGCTGACACGTCATCGGTCAGGGTCACAGGTGACAAATCAATGCGAGATTCTCGATATGGCTCGCGAGACGCGACTCCTTCCACTATGTTCAACCGTCTCTGGCGGTCTGTAACAGTGAAATAGAACTGGCAGTCGTGGATCTTTCATGCGGAGAACTCTCGTCATGTGTTTTCAATTTGCATAATGATGCATTTAAAAGTTAATGACCAAACATATCTTTACAGAAGTTTACAATACTGAAATATAATGTGAATAACATTGAATAAATATATTTTAGTCAGGTTACATACAGATATTTAATCACTCAAACCCATTTATCTAAACCTCGCTAAGTAGGCCTAACCGTCGGACACACACATCCATATTATAACGGTCCGGGTATCGTTCGTTCATTTGTTTTTGCTTTCATATATGAAAACGAAAAAAGTAGAAAACAACTCCTTTTTTCGTTTTATTTGAAAAACGAAAAAACGAAATTATGACTTGATATTCCGATTTTCCCCTGTGGGTGGGGCTAAATCTGATTGGCATGAAATGCATTCATTATTTTTCAAATTAAGAGTTTTCCAAACACTGTATTTGTTAGCCTGTAAAATGAATAGTCTATATGCATGCTATTTGTCACCCAATTATCTGGCTTCACTGACTGAAAAAATCTATTGAAATAGCCTCAATGTAAACATTTTCACGCATTGAAGTTGTCACGGTGGTTATCAAACAAAAGGGAGAATGGAGAGAAGGCCCTTCTTATTGTTTATATTGCATTCCATCGCAATATAGGTTACTTTTGCCTTCCCTATACTCCTGCTCACTACAGTTTAGAGGATGCCTTTCAAGACAATCATTGGCAAACACCTACAGTAGTCAACCAGAATGCCTATTATCGCTGCAGAAAAAATAAACCAGTCGCATTTCAAGTAGCCTACTTCGCGAAACGACCTCCAGGTGTCGCAAATGGATACTGTGGAAAACAGCAGCAATTGCCGCATTTTGAAATGTAAGTGGGGTTAGTCAATTAACAGTAAGGATGAAAAACTATTACCACTGGAAGACATTTTCTTTTCAAACTGACCTTAAAATGATATACAATATCTTGATCAAGTCTTGACCAACTTTTGACGTCAAATTGATATCATGGTGCCCACTGGGCGCTGGGGCAACTATGGTAAACAGAATATATATTTTTTTAGGCCAGAAAACGAGAACAATATCCTATATTTCATATTGTAGGCCTATCTAGACGTCGGTTGGCGACATAAGCCTCTTCCCCGGGAGAGCAGCGCGATAACAAAAATAAATAAATAAATAAATTAGGTGCAATAAAGCTGATTTTTAATATTCTATTAAGGAATGAATGAAGAGCGCTTTTAGTCCAAAAGAGCGCACATTTAGAAAAAAATTATTATGTTCACGTCTCATTGCTTTAGAGAGAATTATTATTTCTATAAATGTGTTCACTAAATGATGTGCTCTCGAGGGGTTTGAGTGCTCTCTCCACTGCCCCCACAATAGTATAAGCATAGGCCTATATGTCATCAAAATGAAAAAAAAAAAACGAAAAAAAAAAACCTTTAGGCCTAAGGAGTTCCCGTTTTATAGCCTATAACACGAGCCTATAATATGTGAGTTATCACACCAGCAAAAGTGCTGATTTTCTGAACATCTGCACAATCGCAAATGGGAAATGATACAACAGTTCAATAAAGTTACTGAGTAACTTTTATAGATAGGCTACCTGGCTACATTCTTTTTTTGCTCCGTCCAAGAAAACAGAACAAACAGCAGAACCGCTGCGCCTCCGGGCAACACGCGTTTTGTTCCTCAAAATATCTGCATTTTTGACAGAATCAGACGAGTAAATGATTCATGTAGACTACCCATTCATAAATACAGTCGTTTGTTAGGTTAAGCGAATTAGGATTTTTAAACGACTCGTTTGAATAAAGGATTCAACTCCCTCATTAAGATGGAGACTTGCCGCCACCTACTGGCGCCTGGCGGTGTTAGTTTCATAGTTAAAAAGTAGACGTTTCATTTTTTTTCAATCATTTCATATTTCTACCTGCAATTGTTTTACATTTAAAACATTAATCTCTTAACATAATTTATGCAATTATAATTTGCTGTGTAAATCATCATGCCATGTCTAAACAGCCTGCGTCAACCCAAAAATGTATTTTATTGATACCGACTTTCTTTTATTTGGTCATAGTAGCCATACACCGTGTCTTTGCATTCTGATTGAATTTGTTGACTAAATGTAAGAATCTGTCATAAGAGGACAGATATATGACAATGATCCTGCATTATATTGTATTATAATGACGATGTAATATTAGCCTACCACTAAACTTTGACTACATACCTAGGCATGCTTATTACTTGTTCTAGGAACCTCAAAGCATATTTACATTTTTGTCTAATTTGCTACTCCGTCATGATGTTGTAGGGCCCAAACATTAACTCAAGCCCAGGGGCTCCCAGCCCCCTAAATCTTGCCCCCTAAGTCCTGTATGTGCATACAGGCCATACATAACAAATAGACATTATAAAAAATATATTATTCATGAGTATTTAAGTTAATAAAAACATCTAAAACAAAGAATAAATGTATTATTTAAATTTGTATAATGACAACTGTCAGTGCGTGAACAGGCTTTTAGGCTTGAATTTAGGCTATTTCAATAGAATTTTTCAGTCAGTGAAGCCAAATTGGGTGACAAATAGCATGCATATAGACTATTAATTTTACAGGCTAACAAATACAGTGTTTGGAAAACTCTTAATTTGAAAAACAATGAATGCATATCATGCCAATCAGATTTAGCCCCACCCACAGGGGGAAATCGGAAAATCAAGTGGTTTCTCTGGCCTCGTTTACACTGCAGGTCTTGATGCCCAATTCTGATTTGTTGCCTATATCCGTTTTTTTTTACCGTCCGTTTACACGTTCTTTAAATTGTGACCCATATCCGAGTCATGTGTTTACACTTGACTGAAACATCGCGCATGTTTAAAGGGGTCTTCTTGCTCAGATGGACGTAGTACGCGCAGCGAGATCTCAGGACAGGTGGGAACATACAACACGATCTCATAAAAGTAAGTATCTATAGCACAAATTTTATTTCTCATGCCATTTATACGCCAAAAATAGTTTTTGCTTGCATATGATACGCACTGTAAACGTGCGTATTAAACGCCATAAAGTGCGTATCATGCACGCAAAAACTATTTTTGGCGTAAATGCCACGTGAAAAAAAATCGTGCAATAAACGCACTTTCATGAAATCGTGGGGGGCTTTAACGAGGAGCAGTGGGTCCGAAATTTTAGGATGAGCAAGCCAACCTTTGATATGTTGTGTCAACGTGTCCACATTCCTCTCCTACGACGACACAAAGTTTCGTCGGGCCATCCGTCCATCCGCAGATGCGGTAATGCCTCAGAAAATCCGATCTGGCTGTTTACATGACAGTCGCATTGGCACATATCCGATTTACATCTGATTTATTTCCACATATGAACGAGGCCTGAAACCGATCTCGAAATATCCGAATGCATGCGTTTTTTTCCTGTTTACACTGTCATAGAACACATCCGATCTGTGTCGCATACGAGTAAAAAATCGGAATTGGGTCACATTTCACTGACAGTGTAAACGAGGCCTCTGATTTCCGTGCAAAAACGAGAAAACCAAAAATCAAGTCATAATTTCGTTTTTTCGTTTTTCAAATAAAACGAAAAAAGGAGTTGTTTTCTACTTTTTTCGTTTTCATATATGAAAGCAAAAACAAATGAACAAACGATGCCCGGACCTATAACGATCACCAGTGACAGTGCCCAGGATAACCATCAGAGGGCACTCCAACCCGGACAATAACCCCACATCCACAAACTACATTTCCCATAGAACCCGCTGAAAATGGGAACTTGCCTGATATGGAATCCTCCAACGTGCAGAAGGCTGATCATCCTGCTTTAGAGGAATCGGTAGAAGGGAGCCCATCAGATCTTCCTGAAGTTGAATTTCTTGATGAAAGTTCAGTTGATGAATCTGGAAAAGAAAATGAACCAATGAGGAATTGTGAGAAATTAGATGCTGAGGGTGGACAATCATCTGGACATTCGCACAGAGAAGGAAGTATCATTTCCCCTCAAAAAGAAAGTGCCACTCCTTGTGACTCAAGATAACCAGAGTGAATTAACTGAAACTGGAGGAGGTCTTAGACTTTCAAGGAGACAACGTGAACCCCCCAAAATACTTCAGTACCCGCAACATGGGTAAACCTTTTAGTTTAGTTATCCAAACCCTGCTGTCAAGTCTGAGTACTACCTCTTTGGAAGACCCAAATCCCCCTAGAAATGACACTCCTATTGAAACCATCTAACCCTGAGCATGCAGAGGGACTTGCATACATTCAGGAGGGGAGAGTGTAACCCAGGTCATTAACTCTGGTCACTAATATTAATAATTAGTATTATTTCATTTATAAAACTATAATAGTGGGAAAAGAACATGAAGTAAAATTGATTTATTTTATTATAAATAATCCCAAAAGAAAGAAAAGGTTCCTGGACAGGTTCCTGATTGGTGAAGTGAAAGGTTAACTCCGCCCCCTGTTGGAAAGTTTCCAGAAGATCATGAAAATCAAAAATGTATGGGAGATTGCGAACGACATGAGTTCAGATGCGATTGAGTGATTTGAGTGAGAACAAACTATTTTAATAATCCAGCAATAGATTATTAACAAGTTGAGAAGCAGATTTATGAGGTATTAATTCTTTAAAAAGCTCATGCTTTGAGAAAAGTGCATTTTGAATCTTAACGCGACGAGAAGAAAAGACACTGACGTGATAGGATCTGAACAAAATCTTTTTCTTTGAAAAACTATATAAACTATGTCTCCTTGGTGAGTACCAATTTCTTTATAATAAATGTATTTAGGTAATGTGGATACTGTTTTTGGAATCTTAATGTGAAAAATACATTTAAAAAAGTGATGGGTGATATAAAAAATGTTTGAAAGACGTTTTCAAACTTTAAGTGTTTTCTAATACAATCTGTGAGTGCATATAGTTATGTTTAAATGTTTGAAAGACGTAGTATTTGTTGAGATAATATTTTTTCTGTTGTGACGTGTGTGTCATGCAGTGCTAGCTTTGCTAGCTCTGTACATAGACTCTGGTGTGTTAATCAAGCACATGGTGACTAGTGTTACGCTGTGGTGTTGGCAGAAGAAGGTGAGGCACAAAGGTTCGAAGGGGCGGAGGGGCGGGCGGGCGCCCTGGAGGCTGACGGGGGCATTAACATTAACAATTTGAGAACAAAGTATAATTTGCACGGTTTTGCGTGATATGATAACTTATAAGCGATTGTTAGATTTAATCAGCGCGATTTACTGCAATGTCAGAACCAGAACAAAGGTGGATGTTTCTTACTTGTTCAGATGACATTTCCCGGTGAAAATTCTTATGTTGGTCATACTTCCAAAAAGAATAATCTGTGATTCTGAATGCCAGTATCCACACCGGCGCGGTGACTGACAGCTGCACACTCTCCTCAAACATTGTGTTCACCCAAGCTGTGCAGTGTCGAGGGTGTTGAAGTACAACTCACGTAAAGTTGATAATTCCGCGAATGACTGCAATTGAAGATTTCGAACAGAGATGGCGAAAAAGAGGAAAAACGCCGGACTGCAGCTTTAAAGAAAAGGAAAAGCAATTTAAGACTTGCTTGATTTAAAAGGTATGAAGATACAACGTATCTTATAATATATAATTCCTTGTATGACTTTAAACCCCAAATAATGAGGGAGGGGAGCTCCCTCCCAAGGGTGACTGAAGACGGTGAAGCTGAACAGACAGGGATCTCAACAGGTGAGCAGAACAGGTACAGTAGGTAGTCAGGTAAGTTGAGCGGTAGTGATCAGCAAGACCAGACAGTGATGGTGTGGAGGGTGGCTGTTTAAATACAGTGATGGTGACAGGTGTGAAGAATTAGAATTCAGGTGAGGCTGATCGAGTGGGTGGAGCTGAAGGGTCTGGTGTTGATGGTGTTAATTCCGTGACAGTAATTTGATAAAGTGGCTAAATTAACAATAAATAAATCAACTTCTAATGTTTCCAAACAGCATAGCAGTAATGACTTTATGAACTTCTTTACTTGCAAGATTGATAATATCGGGGAGAAAATTATAACTATGCAACCGTCTACTACAGTATCGCATCAGACAGTGCATTGTAGTGTCGCTGAGGAAAAATTCCATTCATTCGTTGTTATAGGAGAGGAAGAATTGTCTAAACTCTTTAAATCATCTAAATCAACAACAATTATACCTGTCACAGTCTTCGTCTTCACTACACTTCCCAGAATCCTTCTTGTCTCCACACCTGAACTCACTCCCTCAATCACCCACCTGTTCTTCATCCGTGTTACCTGTCCTCACCTCGTTATTGTTAGTTTGTATCTGTATTTAGTTTCCTTCTGCTCAGTCTGTCCTGTCGGTTCTTGATTATGTTATTGTGTGTGTAACCTGTCTGTATCTACCCTGAAGCTTTATTGAGTAAAGAAGTTTATACTGGACCTTCTGCCTTCTTACCTTGTCTTCCTCCAACACCACACCGTGACAGAAGAACCGACCAATTTAAAATGAAGGTGGAAGACTGGATATCCCAAAACGGTCGCTCACTGGAGGAATATGTGGAGGTTTACCTCAACCTTTATCAGGACGTGAGCTGGGATGAGGAATCTCTTAAACAGCAATCATCTCTCTTTTGTAGAATTCATCGACCGCACCTTGTGGGTCTGTGGATCCTCCCTCACTGTGGGACTCGTCGAGAACCCCGAGTCTCATCCTGCCGAGCCCGAGCTCATTCTAGCCATACCTGGTCTTCACATTTTGGTCCAGCCCATTCTCAACATCCTGCCAGAACCCTTGTATCCAGCCAAGCCTCGCATCAGTCCTTCAGAGCCTTCACCGCTGGTCCCGTCCAGCACAGAGCCTTCACCACTGGTCCTGTCCATAGGCCATAGGCCCTCGCCGTGGCCACCAGAAAAATCCTCTCCACTGTGGCCACCAGAAGGATCTTCATCGCCATGGCCGCCCGAATGGTCGTCTCCGCCATGGCCACCCGAAGGGGCTTCTCCAGCATGGCCGCCTGCTCTGACCTGGTCCCCGGATCTGCCAGCTCCGCCCTGGCCGCCTGCACAGCCGGCTCTGCCCTGGAGGCTTCCTGCTACGCCCTGATTAGCCTTCAGGGTGCCTACCCCCCCTCCCCTGTTCCACGGCGTGAGGTCATGCCTACCGGGAGGGGGGAGTAATGTCACAGTCTTCAGGTGTGTTCGACATCGGCTGCGGCTGGATATAACCGATCGGTGAGAGTTGCCGCGTGCAGGCAGGGAGGAGCTGCAAATGGAGACGTGAAGTCGGACACTTTCTGGTTCCCGTAGTGACCGCTCACGTGGTGTTTGCATACTTTACCACAGCTGAAGTGAAATAAATGCAATATTTGCCAAATACACAGATGTTTCAGACACATTTTCATTCAATAGTTTACTACTTCATAGGCTACAGCATCTGTTTGAACAAGAATAAAGTTCAAGGCTATATCAATGAAGTGGAGTCAACGTTTTTTAATCCGTTTTATTTTGATAAACATGACACAATATAACATCGCGACTACATGAAAAGACTGTTTACTGTTATAAAAAACTGATTTGTGAGCTTTAGTGGAACTAAAGGTGTGAGAATAAACACGAAATGCACGTGATCGTTGTCATGCGGTGAATCCAGCCAATCGTGGAACAGCTGTGACGTCATCAGAGCTTGTGCAGCCAATCTTGAGAAGCTGCGCTGGCTGAGTCCTCCGGCTACTCTCGAAACACTCTCGCGGTACTTTGATGGCATACGTCACAGTCATGTGGTGTCGGCGCTGTATCAAGTCGGACAAAATTTCTAACCGGCATGCACTGTTTCAAGTCAGCCACCGATCAGTCTGCGCAGAGCTGCATGAAGTCGAACACACCTTTCGTCTGCATCAGTCTGTCTTCGTCTTCACTACTCTACACTTCACAGAATCCTTCTTGTCTCCACACCTGAACTCACTCCCTCAATCACCCACCTGTTCTTCGTCATCATCATCCGTGTCACCTGTCCTCACCTCGTTATTGTTAGTTTGTATCTGTATTTAGTTTCCTTCTGTCCTGTCGGTTCTTGATTGTTATTGTGTGTGTAACCTGCCTGTCTGTATCTACCCTGAAGTTTTATTGAGTAAAGAAGTTTATACTGGACCTTCTGCCTTCTTGCCTTGTCTTCCTCCAACACCACACCGTGACAATACCGACTAAGATACAAAAAAAAAAAAAATGCTTCCCGAGGTCATAGATCCTCTTCTTAAAATCATTCATTTATCTTTGTCATTAGGATATGTACCTAAAACTTTTAAGCTGGCTATTATTAAACTTCATATTAGTCAATCACAGGTCGATCTTAAATCTACCCTTTCTGTCAAAAATACTAGAAAAGTCAGTATCCTCACAACTATGTTCATTTTCAGAAAGAAATTGTATCTGCGAGGATTTCCAGTCAGGTTTTATACCATATCATAGTACTGAGACTCCTCTCATTAGAGTTACAAATGATTTGCTCTTATCATCCAATCATGGTTGTATCTCTCTATTAGTGTTACTCGATCTTAGTGCTGCATTTGATACCATCGACCACAACATTATTTTGAATAGACTAGAAAATTATGTTGACATTAGTGAAATTGCATTAGCATGGTTTAAATCATACTTATCTGACTGTTATCAGTTTGTAGCAGTAAACGAAGAGGTGTCAAATTGATCACAAGTTCAGTATGGAGTACCTCAAGGCTAAATACTAGGACCGTTGCTTTTCACCCTGTACATGATACCAGTGGCGGCTGGTGAAAAATATTTTAGGCAGGGCTGTGTGTTTTGGGGGGTCTGGGGGTCCTCCCACAGAAAATGTTTTAATTTCGTAGATGTGATTTCCTGCATTCTGGTGCATTTTAGGCCTTAGGCCATGCCCCTTGCCTATACCAATAAAATAACTTAAACCAGTCAATACCAATGGTCTAAAAATACAATATTAATTGAACTGCCATGTAGAAATCAACAGTTTCACAGGTAATGATAATGAACAAGTTGCATGTTTATTATGCTCCGTGTCCAGATAGAAAAAGTGCAAACGTATAACAATAAATTATAATAGGGAATACAACAAATAATAGGGAATACAACAATCTCTTTAACCAATCCCCAGCTGTAGACTACATATCTTTAAAGTTAACTGTAGACAAATTGACAATTGGATAATGGATAACAGTCTTTATTGATACTAGAGAAAGAGAGAGAGAGAAGGTTCTCAAAGAGAGGATGGGACAACATTCTTGAAGTGAACACCAAGTATGAGAAGAAAGATGATTTTAACATTAACTAGTAGGCTATGAAACACAGTAATCCAGTAGCTCAGAACTTAAAAAAAAAAAAAAAGCAAAGCAAACATAGTTACATTCAGGGTTCTAAATTAACTTTTTTGATCACCAGCCAATGTGGCTGGTAACTTTCTAAAGTTACCAGCCATTTAGAATTTCCACTAGCCAAATTTTTTCCGGTGAAAATAAGAAAAATTATGAGTGCCACTGAATGCATTTGATAATTTTATTAACATTGTTGGCATGAAAAACACATATAAAGTACAATACAAGACAGAAAGTGCAAACATTTCATTTCAAGTTTGGGATCTATCTCTATTAGGGATGTGCACGAATATTCGAATTTTCGCCCTGTAATTATTATTAAAAAAATAAAATACTAATACTTTTTTTCTTCAATTTTTTTTCGCAGTTATAATTAAATGCACTGGGTGGAGCATTTAACAAGTGGATTGTGTTTTTGATCACATAATGTCGTTGTCTGCCTCGCGAAGTTTGGAATTACTTAGATGAAAATGATAGCCTATTACAAAATGGAATTACGTTTAATCAATTATTAATTATTATTATTATTATAATATCACCACCACAATGAGAAATCACATGAAATCCAAAGAAACAGGAGTCGACTGAGGAAGCAGCTGTCCTTCACTGCATTAACGACTGCAGGTCAGCAGCTGTACCCCGATATCTTCTGGTAGCAAAATGATTTTGACAAATGCTTCCTTTAAGTTTCGTTGAGGGAGACAGGTTTAAGAACAGAAAACGCAAAGTGCTGTTAGTTACTTCACTTTGCACACACACACGCGCCCGCGTCTCTGCAACGCCTGTGTGTCAGCGCAGCGCGTTTTCTCACTCGAGCATGTGTGGATATTATTGTTTTTCTCAACATGAACGTGAAACAATATAAACACGATAATCATATGCTGACTCGAGTATGTAGGCTACGTTCTGTACGATAACTGCGCAGTCTGCTTCTTTTCTTTTTTTTTGCGTTTTTTCCCCGTTTGCGCTGCCTGAGCTTAAATGCTTTTGTTGTTTATATATTTTGTTTACACATATTGTTTAATGTTTTCAACTAAAAGAAAACCTTTAGATATATAGTAAGCTTGTTGTGTATAGGCTATTGCCTAATGTATAAGCTTGTAAGAAATAATGACAAAAACCTTAAACTTAAAAAAAATAACGTAGGTAGGCTATCTCTCTTAAACGACATTTAAATTTAAACCCAGAAGTCTGTCCCAACCACCGCCGCATTTAGTTTAATCTTAACTTTTTACTTTAGCTACTTTACTAGCTCCCTCCTCTTTCAGTCTGCTCCCTGCTCTGGCTCGTTCTTCATCTTCCTTGTGTTTTCTGGTGGACGGACGCGTACGCTCCGTCTGTTTCCATGATCATTTCTCGCGCTGGTTTCACTGCAAACTGCGTGCAGCCAATGGGCGTATGAAACAGCATTACGGCACAGTGTTTATGGGAAATGTAGGAAGTACTGCCAGGGGGATAAATGACCGAGAACAGAACCTTATGCATCACCGGCCAAACTGGCTAGTAAGTTTTTATTAACACCCGCCAAAATGAATTTTAACCCGCATTTGGCGGGTTGGCGGGTGTTAATTTAGAACCCTGGTTACATTCCTATTGAGATCACTATTTTATAGGGGTGTAACGATACATCGATATGGATCGATGTATCGATCAAAAGTCTAACGATACGATGCATCGATGTCAGACACAAAATATCGATATGAGATACTTTTATTTTGACAGTCTCTCCACCACGTCCTCACGTAACATCCGTTTCTGCATTTCCGCCTTTCCGCCAAAGCGCGCGTTTGGTTTTTCTCACCTGCCTGTCACTTGTGTGTCAGGTTGCGAATGAGATGGAGCAACAAAGCGGCGGTAGCAGCGAAAAGACCATGGAAAAGACAGACGCTGAACATTTTGACGCTGTTGTCGGGCGCAAGTCGTGGGTTTGGAAACATTTTTTATTTTCCAAAAAAGATGGTCAGGTAAATAAAACCCATGTTATGTGTACACATTGCCAGTACAAGCTAAAATATTCGGGAAACACCACAAACTTGTCAGTGCATCTGAAAAGAAAACACGGAATCGAGGAGAGTAACGTTAATTTGGCTGAAGAAAAACAGCCTCTCTCACCCCCATGCATGAAGAACTTCTTCGCCCCGACATTAGCCCACAACTCCAAAAGAGCAACTAGCATTACGTCCGCGATCGCTTTTTTTATATGCAAGGATATGAGGCCCTACAATGTAGCTGAAAATGAAGGCTTTCGTCACCTACTACATACTCTGGAGCCGAAATATAGCATTCCATCAAGACAGCACTTCAGTGAAAGTTGCATTCCGAAGCTGTACAGACAAGTGAAAGAGAAAATACAGCATACACTAACTGATGCAGAACGAGTCGCAATCACTACAGATGGATGGACATCCTGTACAACCGAAGGTAATGTAACTTTGACCTGTCATTATATTGACACTGACTGGCAAATGAAGAATTATGTTCTGCAGACACGTGTTTTGAATGACTCGCACACCGGGGTAAATCTTGGTAAAGTCTTGAGAGAAGCTTGTGAAGAGTGGAATATACTTGACAAAAATCCTGCACTGGTCACCGATAATGCCAGTAATATGGCAATAGCTGGAGCAGAGGCAAATCTGTCACCTCACATTAAATGCTTTGCGCATACCATTAACTTGGCAACACAGAAAGGCCTGAAATGTGCTGGTGCAACATGTCTTTTGGGAAGAGTGAGACGAATCGTGTCATTTTTTCACCGCAGCACGATTGGTACCACAGTTTTAAAAGAGAAGCAGAGGTTGCTCGGAATTCCAGAACACAAGCTTAAACAAGATGTGATCACTCGCTGGAACAGCTCCTTTGATATGCTGGAACGTTTTTTGGAGCAACAAGCTGCAGTGTGTGCTTCACTGCTGGACAAAAAAACTAAGGAAACTCTCAAATGACCTGCAGCATACCCTCAAAGAAATTAACATCACTGTAGCTGAAGATATGGTTAAGCTACTCTCACCAGTGAAAACTGCCACCACCATAATGTGTGAGGAAGAGCAGCCAACTGTATCTGTTATTGCACCTCTTAAAGCTAAATTGTTGAAACATTTCACTGTCACGGCTGAAGACTCCAGTGTGATTACAGAGATGAAGCAGATAATGGCAAAGGATCTAGAACATCGATATATGGATGTGAGACCAGTTCTTTAGCATCTGCGTTAGATCCCAGATTCAAAAAGCTGCCTTTTTTAAGTGAAGAGGAAAGAGATGCAACCTTCCAGTTTCTCATCCATGAGGCTGCAGAATTGATGATCCAGAAAGTAAGAATATATTTTTTAGTTTCAGCAATGTTTTATAAATTTTATATATTTTATAAATTCATTAAAATGCACTACCTCTTCATTTGCTATGTGTGTGTCTGTGTTATAATCTACAGAATGACACAGTGTCACAGGTTGAAAATGCAACGGCTCACTCATCTGCTGACAAAACTTCTGATGATGATGATGATGATGATGGCGACCCTGAAATGATGCCAGTGTTCCAGGCTGAAACCACTGAAGAAGGTGTGTATGTACACTACACACACTGTACTTAAACATTTGTCTATTCTTTGCTGTTAACAGCCTGAAAATGTGATGTGCTTTTATTTATCAATTAACAGCTGTAAGAGGCACATGTTTTATTTCCTCTGACATAACTAACCCATGCGTTATTTTGTTGTAATTTTAGAACATGTTCCTCCTTTCAAGAAGTCAAAACCCTTTGAAGATCTGTTTGGTGACACATTCTGCACTGCTGACCCTAGCCAGACTGTCAAGACCCCTAAAGAGCTGGCCCATGCTGAAGTTGTTAAGTACAGAGACACTGCATCTTTGAACTTGGGGGGTAAGGTGTTGGAATGGTGGAAAAGTCATCAAACTGAGTTTCCCCTCCTGGCAAACCTTGCCAAAACATACATGTGCATTCCTGGTACCAGTGTACCGTCTGAGCGCGTGTTTAGCACGGCAGGTGACATTGTCAATTCAGAACGCAGTGTCCTCTCTCCTGAACACGTTGATCAGTTGATTTTTTTAAAGAAAAACCTCTCAAAAGAGACCACTGCACTGTAGCACTTGTTTGATTCATAGATCTTATGTTGTGTGAAAGATCAAATGTCAGATAAGTTTAAGTTTTATTTTTGTATTTTTTATATCAGTTTGTTTTATTTCATTTGGTTATTTAACTAACTAGAGAACCTCAGTTATTTGCACTATTTGCACCTCAGGTACTATTGCACATGTTGGCACAAAAGACTGGAAGGCTTTATTGACCATTATAAGCTTGATTGATTTTTATCAATCTCCCCTCCATTATTTATTTTTATTTTTGTTGTGTTGTTGTAAATGTCCCAATTGGGAAAGAGGGTGCAATTTTCGAAGTGTTTAATTAAACATTCATGTTATATATCTTTTGGTTGCATTTGTGAGTTAATAGAAATGAAACTGGTTGTGTGAAGTGGCGCATAATATCTAAATATCGATTAATTGATCGATATAGCAATGAATCGAATCGAATCGAATCGTATCAAAAAAATTTTTGAAGGATCGGCAAATATCGTATCGCTGGCTGAGAGAATCGATATCGAATCGTATTGTGATGATCTGTCCGATTTACACCCCTACTATTTTAATGGCAAATGTGTGTGAAACATGGTGTGTATGTGTGAGAGAGAGTGACAGAGACAGCCAATAAAGCTTATTGAATTGAGATAGCAGGTGTTTGTGTGTGTGTGTGTGTGTGTGTGTGTGTGTGTGTGTGTGTGTGTGTGTGTGTGTGTGTGTGTGTGTGAGAGAGAGAGAGAAAGAGAATGACAGCGAGTGTGTGTGTGTGGTTCAAAGTGAGTGAGTTGGAGAGATAGATGGGTGAGTGTGTGTGTGTGAGAGGGAGAAAGAGAGAGTAAAGAGTAGAGAGAGACTAAGATATGGTGTCTGTGACAGTTAGACTTGTGTGTATGAGAGAGGTAGATGGAGTGAATGTGTGAGTGAATGCGGGGGGGTGGGGGGGGGAGGGGTGAGTGAGTTAAAGGGTTAGTGTTGTGCAAACAAATGAAGCAAAACAGCGAGTTAGCTACTCCCCAGCCGGTTAGCCGGTCAGCAAGCATGGCGACGGTTCCTCAGGGAAAGAGGGTTACCATACGTAACCGAGACGTTCCCTTTCGTTCGGGAACTCCTACGTCTCGTCGGAGGAGTTTCCAACGAATTGGGATCCCTAATAAAACACCATGGTGCTGGCCCCTTCCAGCGCCCAGCTTAGCTTCCCGCCAAAGCAGTTTCTTAGTTTTCTTTACGGGGGGAGCTAGCTAGGAAGAATCACACTGGGGAGGGAACGCTCCAACCCGTAGGAGGGAACGCTGCGGAGCCCCTGCCCGTCCGAAGGGAGGCACTGGAATACACATAAGTACTAACCTGTGGGGTAGAGAAACATATGGCAGTCCCTGAGGTAGTCCCAGCCCAGGGGGTGGGAGTGTACTCAACAGGGATGACAGAACGGGTCTGTCGAGGGGAAGACACGGTGCTAACCCGGAGGGTAGCTGGAACGTGGAAGAAATAGGTCGCCGTAGGGACCACTGATAAGGCCACCCAGTCTAATAACAACTCCTACGAGAGGTAATAGACCTGGCGCCGGCGATCCGCCTCGCCTGGTGCCGGAAGGGTGATGGAGGAACTCACGAGGTTAACCGTTTGTTGGGGAACCAATGGAGCAAAAAGACGCACGTATCCGGCCCATAGGGCGGGAATGGCGTAGCAAGCCGACATGACCTAATTCCTCGCGCTACTGGCCGTAGCGAGTACACGGGAGGAAACAGGTTCAACACGTAGGCTATAAAATCTAGCGAACGTGTTAGGTGTCTAACAGATGTCTGTCAGCGAGGTGCCTTGCGCCAGCGCCCAGGAGGAAGCGACACTCCTAGTGGAGTGTGCCGTCAACCTAGGTGGGCAAGGCACGTCCTGGGACTCATAAGCCCGGACGATAGCATCCACTAACCAGTGGGCTAACCTCTGCTTGGAGACAGCCTTCCCCTTCTGCTGGCCTCCGTAACAGTTAATATTACTAGGCTAATGTTACAGTAAATCCATGGTAAACGATGGGAATTTGTAGAAGGAAAAGCCCTGACTGTATCGTTGCGCAGTGTTCCTCCTGTTCGTCAGCGCTGTTTCATCTGCCTTTAACCTGCTTTAAATCACTGAGACATTTGTGTTCTTCGCTGAATTCAAGCACTTCTCACTGGATCTCGTAACCGAGGCCGATCAGAGTTAACGCGTCTGCTCTAGTGAGCTCGCGCTGCTCTGCCGTTTGGACTTTGAGCCAAACGGATAAACAGTCCGTTAAGCGAGCGAGGTTCAAATGCGTTTCGTTCCACTTTTGGCGCATAAACATTATCGAACATTTATCGAACTCTTGATATCGTTTTATCGAGAAAAATTATATCGCGATAACTATCGTTATCGTTTTATCGCCCAGCCCTACTTGTACTGATATGCCCGACCCTCGAACGCAAACCGAAGAAACGGTCTGTGTCGAGGAAGAATCGAGACATGAAAGTACGCGTCCTTCAGGTCGATCGCTGCAAACCAATCCTGGGGACGGATGCACTCGAAGATGTCCTTCTGCGTGAGCATTTTGAACGGGAGCTTGTGTAGGGCCCGATTCAAAACTAGCAGGTCCAGGATCGGCCGTAACCCACCGCTTTTCTTGGGTACAATGAAGTAAGGGCTGTAGATCCCAGACCTCATCTCGGCTGGAGGGACCGGCTCGATCGCGTCCTTCGCCAGCAGGGCGTCGATCTCTTTCCTCAAGACAGGGGCATCGACACTCCGCACTTGGGTGAAGCGGATGCCCCTGTACTTGGGGGGCCGGCGGGTAAACTGAATTGCATAGCCGAGCCGGATGGTACGGATGAGCCAGCGGGACGGCCTCGGAAGCGCTAGCCAGGCTTCGAGAGAACGTACCAACGAGCCAACCCGGACCACCGGCGTACTCGCGGAGGGGCAGCGAAGTGGAAGGCAGGGACCGGACTCCGGAGGCATTGCTGCGGCCGAGAGAGGAGTCTGGGTGTGTGGGGCAACACCTACCTGCTTCCAGCGGGGGGCAGGCAGCAGGGAATGCCCATCTTTTTCTGAGGCGTTCGACTGCTGGCTGTCCCGGAGGCGAAGGAAGGAGGGGAAACGAGGAGCAAGGGCGTCGAGTCCTGGTTTCCGCGCCTCCTTGCCCAGCGAAAGACGAGAGTGACGAGGCCGTAGCGGCGTTACTGACATCTGAGCGCTGGGACGAGGGGAATGAGAGCGGCGAGGCAATGTGGCGGCGCACACTGTCATTCTGGCCCTCTTGGACGGAGGAGACTGGGAGAGGCGAGGCAATTGAGCGTCGACCTGGACTGTCGCCGTACGCAGCTCTTGGAGCACCCCAGGGTTGGTACCACTCTCCTGCATGTCACAGAGCGCCTTGGCCTGGTGGACCTGGAGGAGAGCCATGGCATGCAAGGCAGAAGCAGCTTCTCCACACGCACTGTAAGCCTTTCCAGTCAGACTGGAAGAGAACCTACATGCGCGGGAGGGGAGCGAAGGGTTACCCCGCCAGGTGGACGCGGTCTTGGGACACAACTGCAACGCCACAGACCGTTCCACTGGGGGGATGCCTTTGTATCCCTTCACTGGCCCGCCATCGAGAGTGGTGAGGGAGGAGGAGGGAGTCGACCTGTGTCTAGCCGCCAGAGGGGCCGTCCACGATCCCGTCGCCTCATCATGCACCTCCGGAAAGAAAGGAACCGGGGCGGAGCGCTGAGAACCAGCACGGGCCGCCCCGAGAAACCAATCGTCGAGCCGAGAAGGTTCGGGACACGGTGGAGGATTCCACACGAGCCCGACCCTCTCGCCCGCCCAGGCAAGCATAGCAGTCATTTCCGGGTCTGGCTCGGACAACACTACCACACCCGAAGGGGGCAGCGCAGCCGAGTCATCATCCCCAGAAGATGATCGCTCTCCCTCCGATGCAGTGATCGACATCTGGTCCTCCGGTGGAGCCCCGAAGGAAACGACTGGGACCACACGAGATGAACCAGCGCACTCCTCCAGGGGCTCCAATGGCAGCGATGCAGAGGAGTGGGAAGCCCGCGGGGGTCTTTCACCCGGCGGGTCATTCCTCACTGTAACCCTCAGACTACCAATGGGATTAGCCAAAGTAGCCTTCTTCTGAAGTGAACCAGAAGAAGTATTAGATCGGGGAATCTCCAAAGGGACTCCCCCTCGAGAGAGGGTTCACAGTCTCAGTCTAAGCACCGCGACGGTCATGTTCCCACAATGAGAACATGACTCCTTCACGAACGCTGCCTCAGCATGCGCGAGGCCCAAGCACGAGAGGCAGCGATCATGACCATCAGCCGGAGGCAGAAGTTGACCGCATCCAGAAACACACGGGTGAAACGTCATCCTGAAAAGGACGCGATCTTCACCCGTGTTGCTCTTTTCACAGAAAAAAACGCTCTCTTTATTGTGCTGAAGCACACAGGGATAAACGCGGCAACACAGCGGGGAAACCGCAAGCCCACTGTGTGCACTCAACCGAATACCAGCTGTGACAAGTTATTTGAAAAAAAGGCAGATCGCGTGAAGCAACAGCTGGTACCCGAGAGCGCCGTCACACCAACACAGAGAGGTCTCGGAGAAAACAGCAGACTCGTTGAGCGTGAAGATAATACACTAATCTTGAAGCTCATCCACTCAGAGGAGACAACCGGTCGGCTCCGAAGCAAAAAGCATATGTGTATGCGCTCGCTTCCGCTTTATACCCGCACTGGCAGGCGGGGCGCGTAATGCAAGTCCTGCATGCCAATGTTCATTGGCTCGTTTTTATTCACTCGAAGGCAATTGGTCTCCCTAGCGGGATCCCAATTCGTTGGAAACTCCTCCAACGAGACGTAGGAGTTCCCGAACGAAAGGGAACTAACTATACCGTGCTCTGAGAGCCCCCTATTGAGAGCCCCCTCTGAGAGCCCCCTCTGAGAGCCCTGCATTAGGACTCCCCTAATGTTGGGAGCATTTCTGTTGTGTTGTGGCTTGTTTCCGTTGTGTTGTGGCTTGTTTCCATTGTGTTGTGGCTTGTTTCCATTGTGTTGTGGCTTGTTTCCGTTGTGTTGTGGCTTGATTACGTTGTGTTGTGAACTTATGTTAGTGTGACCGAACGGTTACCGGCAAAAACAGTAATCAGCCTGATTTAAAGAGGAAATCTCAAGTATAGTTTTGTTTGTCGACTACGCCACCCAGGGACTTACACCCTAAGAATTAAACAAGCCACCGGCTTTTCATACTCAAGCACACAGGTTCGTCATCAGCGAGAAGAATTGGCAGAGTCGTGGGCTCTACAAAAATAGCTCTTTTTATTACAATAAAACTTCAGGCACTCATAAAATTCAAGATGAATTGAAGTCCATTGGCGTCTAAAGTACAGCAACGGCAAATCACAAAAAAATAAACACATCAAAAAAAAAAAAAAAACATTGGTTCTAACTGAGGCCAAACACATTCAACAACACAACCATGCAGGGCTGAAGGACATCCACTCTAGGCACCCCTGCTGGAAGTGAATCTACAAGGAAAGCAAAAAAAAGCTCACTCAACTCACACACCACCACACCACACTGGTGAAATACAGCACTGCAAGTGAACAGAAGATCCCACTACCACAGCCCCAGGGTACCCACGTAAGTGGCCTTCAGCTCCTGCATGAATACACAAAAGAAATTAATACAAATACAAACAAATTAATACAAATACAAATTCACACACCGTGTGAATCAATATAACAATAAACGTGGTCAAGGGGAGACAGTTATCTGGGCTTCCACAACCCAAGACTCATTAATAACTAAATAAATTTCCAAAATAATATTAACAAAGTTAAATACAAAAAAGAATAAGATAATAAACGACAATACCCGATCTTCAGATACAGGAGAAGAATCCCTCCCTTTATCTCGGGAAAAAAATAATCAAAAGAAAAAACAAACTATTACAAACAGACAAAAGGAATCAAAACATTCAATAAATCAACCCTAAAGCGAAAGGGTCGATTACTAACACATACAATAATACAAAAGAATAGAACTCAGTAAAACGAAAAGAAAACAAATCCAATTCACCATTTCACGTTCAGGCAAACCAGGTTAACTAAAAAAAAAAAAAAAAAAATAATCATAACATCCACGCGAGACAGCAGCGCCGTCCGGCCCACTCACACCACTGCTAAATATAGCAGTCTGCCATGCACCCCTTATCCAAAGCAAATACATTTTTAAAAGATCGGAATAAGGTAAATCAGATCATAGCAGAAAAACAATCCATACATACCGAGGGTAAGCCGATTTTCCTTGCACAAATGAACCGCAACTGGTGCACAGACACCACTAAACGTCCCACGCCACAGAACTCTGTAATCATACACGTTATAAGCACACGCAAACTAACCCCGAATTGATGTAAACGCCACTCACCTGCATAAATAACCAGCCAACCCCAACCCATCCGATCTCAAATGGTCCAAATGATCAACATGCATGCTACCTTCCAGTCTATGCCAACACAGAGAGTATTTAAACGTCACATCGCCAACAAATAGATCAGACGCAAGCACTTACACATACCTTTTCTTCTTGCAGCCCGTCAAGCCAAAATGACACCAACAAAAGGGGCCGGGTGTTACAACCGATCGCATCACACCAGACGCAGCCCATTTAAATACCCTCTTCCTGATTTAATCCTCCACACATAACCAATGGGCGCCGTATACGTCACCCACACACTACATTAGCTTTTTTAATTTCATTGTGTTGTGCACTACTGCAGGGCCACTGTACTGACACCTAAATGCCGTGTTAATTTTTTGTGGACTTTAAAAACATTCCTAATGTAATAAATTTCTCCAACTCCCTCTGTTTCTCTTTTCACACTTGCATTTTCTCTCTCACTCTCTCTGCTTGTGTCAGGCTATGAGATGCACTGTGCTGACTAATGCATGTGACTCTGTTTTCTTACCAGGATCTTGTTCATGCAATGTGACCACTGATCTGCCTGAGGACGGCTGGATTTCATATACTCTGCCAGTTCTGTGTACGTGTTTGTATGAGTCAGATTTCATGGATGAAAACAACGTTCCAGTGCTGTGTGGATTCTATCCCATGTTCTGTAACTTTTGACATAACATATGTGTAGCATGCATGAACAAAAACAGCTTGCCAAGTTGCCAGAAGGCCATCTCAAGTAATCTATAAACTATAGTTTAAAGTACACACTGAACTGAACATATAAAATTGCATTGAAAAAATGGGAGATATTCGTTTAAATAACTTTTTAAAACCTGTAAATCACACTTCCTCGACATTTAAATGTATTTACACAATGCACTAATTTTAGCAGTGCTGACTGTCCTGGAGTTCATTGACACATATTTTATTGTAAGGATCTGTCTAGCCAAATAGGATTTTGTTTTGTTTTCAACAGTTTTCCAAATATTACATTTCAGAATTATAACTGAATCCTGTGAGGATGGCATTAAACGGGTTGGTGGTGGTGGTGGTAAACAACAGGTAGCAACAAACTACTGTTTACCAAATAAATAAATGAATAAATGAATAAGAAAGAAAGAAAGAAAGAAAGAAAGAAAGAAAGAAAGAAAGAAAGAAAGAAAGAAAGAAAGAAAGAAAGAAAGAAAGAAAGATCTAATGCCACTCAGCAATTGGGTAAAGCGCTGGCACATGTAGCAAATCACAATCGTCAAAACAAGTCGTGGATCTCAAGTGCCTAAAGCGCGAACTGGTTGCCTGGTAGAAGTTATAGTACCGGTACGTTCCACAATGTAAAACGTGCGCTGATTGGTCTGTGATGTTTGATAAGCACGTGGGTATAGGGAAGCTATAAATACTGCTTGAGCTTGAGCTAGCGGCTTCTCTCATTTGTTAGTCTGTGTACACGTGAATGTTGACGGAGATGTGTGTATTAGTCTTTGTGCTATTGAAATACATTTTTGTGTGAATAATTTATTGTAAAATTATATCCGTTTTACAAGGGTAAGTATCTTATATTTACGTGTTTTATGTCCCTGGTTAGTGATATTCTGGTTAATGCATCCATGTGAATGACTGCAACAAAAAAAAAATTGTGCGTTTGTTAGTGATTGCAGCGAGCTATGCAATATGTACGTTAACGTTATTAATGTTTTTGTTCTAAATCTCGAACTGTGTAAGCTTAATCAACGAGACGATGAAAAGTGAGCAATAAATTTGCTCTAATATAATTTAGGCATAGGCTACTGAAGTTTTGCATCGTTCCTTCTGGTGTGCAGCATTTAATCCAGAATCTTAATTTTTCAGCACTTTATACAAAACAGGATTTTCACAATGGTTGCAACAAGCACATTAAACAGAAACTCGGAATGCCTCTCTGAATTTGCTGGTAGAGGATATGACCTGACTTGCATCGATCATGGTAAGATATAATTTTTTTTTCATGTATAATGTTTAGTATCTGTGATTTGTGGAGCGCTAACATGGTTTTCAAATAATTCTACTGGATTTGAGAGCTAGACTTGTTTACTGCGCTGATGGTGCAGAGCTGCAGCGGTGATGTCATGTCAACAAAGATGAAGTCATTCTGTTATCCAGATCTTCTTTGTGGCCACGACTTTAGGTTAAAGTAGTAATCGGGATTTTTCTTAATTGTTACTGCGTAAATTAGCTATTGAAAATTAGATATATTACAGGATCATTTTAGTCTACCACCATAGTCTACAAATTACTAAAGTTATTACCGTTTTCCGAATCACCAATTAAAACGTTTTAAATTGCTAAATGCATTTATTAATAAAAGCATTTATCCTAGTTGTTCCGTTCCACTTGATGTTTTCAGATATTTTGAGCTCGAATTTAGATGTAGTAAAATGTATCAATTTATGACCACTATCTGATAACTGGCTCAAAAGTTATCCTATACAAAAAACTAATAAAAAAAAAAAAAAATAGTTTGGCACTGTCAAATTAAGATTGTATGTCTAAATTACTTTAGTAGCCAATATTATAATACGGTATAAAATATGGATGTTCAATTTGAAGTCTGCTAAAAAAAGTATTTTAAATGTGCGGTGAGGTTGGTCTTCTATTATAGGAAAGTGTCCAAGAAATGCTTTTTAAGGGCTCTTTAAAGTGCTCTTTAAGGGGTTTAATATTTGTTGTAATCCCTCTCCTTAAGTTGGTGCTAGATGGTAAATGTTATCTGAAAATAGGTGGAACCAAGAATCCATGATTAAATACCCATATCAGATGAAAACAAATCCAATCTGATCAAAACCAGTAAATTAATAATGATATTATGTTCCCAATATATCATGCATCATTCAGTCTAACCTCATGTCTATTCTCTCTCTCCAGAAATGGACTTTTGGGAACGGTGTTTGGCAGAGCCTTACCTGGGTGCAGAAGTGTGTGAGGAACAGACATGTCAGCAGCTCGCCCAGCTGCTTGAGGGCTGTTTGTCTAGGGCCAAAGCCAGCAAGCTGAAATGTGCCCATGTGCTGGTGCCAGAGACTCTCACCCGGCGGGTGGCACGGGACATGCTCAGGTTGGCAGCAGGGGAGCCGTGTGGGTTGCGGGGCTGTGTGCTGGATGTGCATCTCGAGCTGGAAGAGCAGCAGCACCGCTGTGAGAGACTCGAGCGACTTGCTTGCGACGCTACTGTGGTGCCAACTTTTGAATTGACATTGGTTTTCAAACAGGATGGTGGTGGCTGGCCGAGTCTGAGGGATTTTTTGCGCATCGGTACGTGTTTCCCACCTGGCACCCACCGTGCACTTAAGCTTCGCCCTGGGTTTAGGCTTATTAAGAAAAAACTGTACACCTCCGCAGCTGGAACTATAGTTGAGGAGTGCTGAGATGTAGATGGGGAGGAAAGGCTGGAGTTTAAAGATGCATTTGAATGCACTTACTTTATGAGTGTAAGAGTCTGCTGGGGAAGCAAAACTCAAGTTTTTGTAAGCTTTTTTTTAATCAGTAATAGAAGAGTTTTTGTTTGGTGGTTTGTTTGTTTTTTGGCACAAAATGACATGGAACAAAATGGAGAGTGATTGTTTATAGGTATTCGCTGTAGTTTTTGAACACATTAAGGATAGTGTTTAATATTGGCCTTGACCTTGTGCCAGCTTCATCTAAAATGGTCATAATTATGCTCAAATGAAGGGTTCACGAAGTGTTTCCTTTTATATATCACACATGAATTCATTCATCATTAGATGTGTTTTCAAAGTTGAGTTATTTGACTACTGAAGTTTTAAATTTAAGTACAGGAAAGCATCGCTCTAAAGGGGGCCATATTTCTGAATGTATTGGGTCTGTGCTCATGAAGTCTTTCTAATGTAAATGTCAAGATTTCCAACTGGTCACTGTTGTTTTTTTAGGAGAATATATGGATAGGGCTTTGTAAGGTGTTTATTTTTTTTTTTAATTTTACTTTTTTTCTTTATTTTTTTTTAATCCCTGTGTGAGTTCACCTTGTAATGGTCACTGCACAAATGTTCTTGTCTTTATCCTTCAACACTTGATCTTTGTTTTACTTATTATCAACTGAATACACCTCTATATTTTGCCTGAAGTGCTGGTACAGCAACTGAACATTTTTATTTATAAGTTGAGAGCCTTGTCTATTTTGACAATAAACTATATTTTCAAAAGTTTGCAGGTATTTTTTTTTTTTTTGCATATTTACATATATACAGTAGTTGACTAATATCTTGCCTGTTAAACCAGATAACTTTTTTTTTTTTTTTTTTTTTTTTTACTTAATGTCACTCACTGGACAGAACTTTCCTTATCCACAGGCACAAACTTCATCCTATAAAGTGGTCATGAGTTGAGAAATCAAAATGTCTCTGATCTTTTGACATGTAAGAGGTTATTTTACTGTAAAGACTCAACTTCCTCGTTATTCCAAAACTGCTTTTTTTGAATCCTGCTTAGAAAAAGATTCCTTTGGATTGTCACATTATGACGAAATATTGCGATGAAGGATCACCTCTGCAGTATCAAATCCACGCGTATTTCTACATCTTTGACCCTGCCCACTTACACGTTAGTGAGATGAAGAGAAGAGAGATATGTGATCACTGGACTAAAAATAACAACTAGGAAAGTGGTTATGTATAATGTCATTGACAATGCTCATCACTGCAACCTTTCATGCCAAGGTGTATATCTAAATGCTATAATCAACTCTTTTCAGAATTAGTTAATCTCAATAGCTGTAATAGTAAAAACGTAGTAAAAAAAATGTCAATAGGGTTCCACATGTAATACTTATTTCATATGCAAGATGTTAGCCAATCATAGCAGTGGGTGTTTACATTGAAATCTCACAGCAGACACACCCCGTCCAACAGTGTTCAAATCAGAGGGCTTAAATCAGGGTAGAAAATGGCCTTTTATTTCTAAATTACAATTTTATGTAAAAATCATACTAACATAAGTGCACCTCAGGAAACATAAAATGTAAAAAAAAAAAAAAAAATGCAGTCCATGACCCCTTTAAAGTGCTAAAAGGCACCCTTTTATGGCTTTAGGGTATCATGAAAGACATAAATATTTGAGGTCATCAAACTAGCGAGCATGTGCATATGAACATACAGGAAATATCTACAGCACTTGTTATATTTCACCTCTTCTGTTAAAGCTGCAGTCCGTAGCTTTTTTGGGGTTAAAAATGATCCAAAATACATATTTGAGAAAATACAATAACCAGCCAGTGTTCAAAACTATCTGCTTGCCTTAGCTCGATTCAAAGCGGTAAGCTTGTAATAATGTTTTTAATTCCAGCGGTACTGGTGGATTTCCACGGAAGATTCGAGCATGTCTTTGCGTCATTACGCCACATCTGTACAAATAAAGGAGTCTCGGCTAGTAGGCTATATTGCGTGTGAGGATGCTGGAGGAGGAGATTTATAGCCTTTTGTCACAGCACTTGATATAATTAAAGTTATCAATTTGATGGCGGATCCAGAAAGGTTCAAACGACAATCACCAGTGACAACAGATTCACCGGTTGTAAAATGCAAAAGACTTCGTTTGGACTTAAAAAGAGACTGCAACCGGCCCATGCAAAAACAAGGATACGGAAGGACATTACATGTAGTCACGCAATGCTGACGTTGTTAATATTAACTATTTGAGAACAAAGTATAATTTCCACGGTTTTGCGTGATATGATAAGCGATTTTTTGATTTAATCAGCGCGATTTACAGCAATGTCAGAACCAGAACAAAAGTGGATGTTACTTACTTGTTCAGACTACATTTTCCGGTGAAAATTATTATGTTGGTCATACTTCCAAAAAGAATAATCTGTGATTCTGAATGCCAGTATCCACACCGGTATGGTGACTGACAGCTGCACACTCTCCTCAAACATTGTGTTCATCTGCGCTGTGCCGTGTCGAAGTACAACTCACGTAAAATTGATAATTCCGCGAATAACTGCAATTGCAGATTTCGAGATGGCAACAAAGAGGAAAAACTGCGTACTGCAGCTTTAAATGAACTTTCCTGCTTGTTGGTCTAGTGGAAGTAACTTAATTTCTTATCAGCAACTTTGACTTCTTGACAACCTGGGATATTTGAAATTTACTTGTTTTAAGTTTAAGTACAGGGACACCTTTGCTGTGGAAATGTGTTGTATGAGCAGGAGCAATTTTTCTTTCTTTTTTTTGCACTTATCCTGAAAATGGACAGCTGGGTTTGCAAGACACATTTTGAACAAAGATCATTAGACGGACAGGGTCCTCTTCGCTGTTAAGTGGCTACAGTTTTTTATGTAGGAAAAACATTGTTGAAAAGGATTTGATTTTCTAATTTTACTTAAACCCTAATAGCTGCAGAATTGGTATACTACAGAGGAACATAGATACTTAAAGGAGCTGTATGTAAGATTGTGGCCAAAACCGGTACTGCAATCACTTTCAAATTACTGTAGAGCGGTGTATCCCCTCCCCCTCCCCCCTGACTCGAGGTTGCCAGATTGGCTGCGTTTTTTTATCCGACACGTGTGTAGCTGCAGCTGTGGTAACTAGAGCAGAGCTGGCAACCCGGATGGCGCAACACTACTGACTTCGTGAATGGTCGATAGGTGGAGGGTGGAGCAACAGACCAAAACACAACATGACAACATCAACATCAGTTGAGGGCTGCAACTTCACTTTTTGAATGACAATATCCTGGCCGGACTACTGTTGTCAGTGATATAAGTATTTGAAATGAACATGATTTCTCAATGTCTAGTGACATATCAGGGCCATTTTATGATTAATTCAAATAAATTTCTTACATACAGCTCCTTTAAGATCTGAATTGTTAATATCAGTTACATTGTTTGAAGTGAAATGTTGAAGCAAACTCTAATTGTAAGTAAATAACAGTGTGCATGCGAGTTGGCAGGAACTTTCTCGTAGTCATACAACAAATTACTTGAAAGTCTCTGAACACATGTGAGCAGAGCTGTGTGCTGTGAATTCCCAGGCTCAGCGATTCTGGTCAGTCATATAGGCGGTTGAAACGGTCTAGGCCAGAAAGAATTGTAACCCATAAAAGGGCTTTAAGAAATATGACAAACATTATGTGGAGCGATATATAATGTGTGATCTTGCATGGAAGATCTGTTCTATAAGGATAAGCAACAAAGACTTCCTTTCATTTCTAATTTATTATTATTATTATATATTAGACAGGCTACTTGTATATTCAGTGCAGGACTGTATTAATGTAAAACAGTAAAACATTGACAAGCTGAGACTGAGCCAGAGGCCCTCAAACACACTAGTACTTTTCTGTTGTTTGCTGTCCAGCTTACTACACACACTTGGAAAAAACATGGATGGGATTTTAAGCACCATATCTTGTTGCCTTCATGCTATTCTGAATAAAAGTAATTCGTTCTAAAGGGCCACCTGTTTACTTTTTAGATCTGAATGAAGAGAACTTGAGTTTATGATGTGAAAAGTATTCGCTCTGTTAGCTCCTCTAAAGACTCACAGTGTTGTTTCACAAAATTAGTGAAGACATCTCATAGACTTCCATTGTTTTTAGATGAATTAGATGTCCTAGTCCGAACCCTAGCCGTAAAAATGTTCTCACAAGGTTTTTCATGATATTTTACTATATTAGTATAGTCAAACCTGTACTCAAGGCTTGCATGTGTGTCTGCAGCTGCAAGTGATAGGTGCTAATTCAGCAGAATGTCTCACAGGACCACAAGACACACAAAGGCGTAAAGGAAGCTGCCCCCCCCCCCCATACACACACACACACCTTTAACACTTTCCTCTCCAAATCATAAATATATCTATGTTTCTATGTTTTATCTATCTATCTTTCAATTAAGCCGCTGGTATTGTTAACAGGAGTGAGCAAGTGATTGATGCGTACAAACTCCATGAACACAGATGTAATATGCAAAACAGTGTCTTTATTGTGCTCCAATTAATAAACATTGCTTCCAATTAGCTTCCTGTGGTGTCTCATTCTTTCAAGTTCACAGCATACAAATATGAAGATTCCTTGCAGATATGACGCACACATTGTCCATAGTCCATATTGTTCCTTGAATGTTATTCTTTATCAGCGAAGCATGGTTAAGCACCATTAAAGGGATAGTTCACCCAAAAATGACAGTTAGCCCATGATTTACTCACACTGAAGCCATCCTAGGTGTGACATTCTTCTTTTCAGACGAATACATCAGAGTTATATTAAAAAAATGTCCTGGCTCTTCCAAGCTTTATAATAGGAGTGAATGGGCACTATTTTTGGAAGTCCACACAAGTGCATCATATCCATTATAAAAGTGTCCCAAATGGCTCCGAGGGGTTAATAAAGGCCTTCTGAAGCGAAGCGATACGTTGGTGAAAAATATCATATTTAAAACTTTATCGACAAAAATAACTAGCTTCCGGCAGACGGCCATATGCAAGTCAACTTACGCCAAAAGAGTAACACTTGACGATGTATGTATGAATTTAGTATTAGCGCGTGCCACAAGTTCAGCTCTCTCTGCGCTCATACAGTGGAAGAACTTCTGCTGTTACTAAATTAACTATAGTTACTAAATGCAGTGGCACCCTTTGATACATCTGAAACGCTGTCCTCAGGAACAACATCCTTAACATTTACATGAACCCCTTCAGATACTACAGATTTAGACAGCCATACGTTCACATGTTCAGTAAAGAGCATACAAGTTTTCAAAGAGATGGCCTTGAAAACTAGATTAAATTATTTCCTAGATACTGGAAATTGGTATCTCAAAATAAAACCACTAACGTCACTCCATTACTGAACCAGATTTCTGACGCTATGGGGAGACACTGTTTTCTCCTAAATACTGAAGCCTGATTGGTTCACATCTGTGCACCTGCACAGACAAATGGCTTTTCAGCCCGCCCGAACGGGTGGAGCCAACTGCCTATTTAAGTCGCGCTCAAAATAATTTCAAGTCAGAATTTTTCTCCTTCAGCATGAAGATCATCTCCTCGCTGACTCCGATTACTACGACGACACAGAATCCTTTCTCTCACCGTTAGGTGAATAACACTGATGTTTAAAGGGTTAGTTCACCCAAAAATGAAAATTATGTCATTAATGACTCACCCTCATGTCGTTCCAAGCCCTTAAGACCTCCGTTTATCTCCGGAACACAGTTTAAGATATTTTAGATTTAATCCGAGAGCTTTCTGTCCCTCCATTGATAATGTTTACACGGTATACTGTCCTTGTCCAGAAAGGAAATAAAGACATCATCAAAGCAGTCCATGTGACATCAGTGGGTTAGTTAGAATGTTTTGAAGCATCGAAAATACATTTTGGTCCAAAAATAACAAAAACTACGACTTTATTCAGCATTGTATTGTCTTCTGGTTCTGTTGTCGAACTAACCCTTTAAACATCAGTGTTATTCACCTATCATTACCCTATGATTTTAGGGAAAAGTTATGGGTAGGGTTAGGTTTAGGGGTAGGGATTGGGTAAGGACTACATTTTGGGACAGGAATGTTGATCCAGGATCAACAAAATATGTTGATCCAGGACCATGTCTTACTTGGCAAAATCACGGTGACCGGGGTGCACCCGCCGTCCAACATCACCTGCAGAAATGACAAAATAGAAGCGATCTCACATGACATGGGGTCTATGCACCAGATAAAGATACACCAGAAAAAGATATAACTTCTCACCTGCGGCTTTCCAGCGAAAAGCAAAAGATAAAATTTTACAGCGCAAGGAGAAAGAGCAAACCTTTTCATTCTAAAAGAGCGAATTGAGCGATGTTTGGTTAAAAAATGTTTTGCCTCAATAGTATGGCATGGAGGAAAAAGGATACACCAAACTTCCCCCGCTAGAGGAAGCTGTCTCTGTGCACCTCTGCCCACCCAAGTTCCAAGTTCCAAGTTCCACTTTATTTATCCTTAGAAAAGGAAATTTAGGGTGCAGCAGGATATCTAAAAAACATACACCGAAAAAAGCACCACCAGATGCCAACAACATAGTAAACACAACACAGGACACACGTCAACACATTCAATTCAATTCAAATTTATTTGTATAGCGCTTTTCACAATACTGTTTCAAAGCAACTTTACAGAAAGTGCATTTCAGAACATATAACATATAACCGGCGTTGAGTCGTCTCTTCACAGGCGTCGAGTCGTCTCTTCACAGGTGTTGGGGCATCTGAAGTCTCCGTGTCTCCACATCAATGAAGACACTCCTTCCCCCAAAAACCAATGACAGAATCCAATTGGACAGTACACAGGTCAGTATGTCATAATGAACAATGACAGAAATAAATTTTATAAGATGTCACTCAAGTGAATTCAGGTTCCTAATAGCCACAGGAATAAAAGAATCCCTGGCACGTCTAGTTCTTAACATAGGTAGCCTAAAACGGCGACCTGAAGGGAGCAGATGAAACCTCCCAAAGAGTAGGTGATCAGGGCAATTTAAAATTTGGTTAGCCTTACCCTGGACCCGTTTATCATATATATGTTGCAGCTGTGGTAGCTGTACCCCAACCACCTTAGACACTAAGTTTACCAGCTTTGTTAGCTTACGCTTGTTGATCATTGAAAGGCCACTGTACCACACCACAATACAAAATGTCAAGACTGATTCAATAAAACACTGGTAAAACAAAATCATCAGAGTCCTGCACACGCTGAATGATTTCATCTTCCTCAAGAAGAAAAGTCTCTGTTGGGCCTTTTTACAGGCAGCATCTGTGTTGCTCTCAAAAGATAATTTACTGTCAATGATGGTTCCTCAACATTCATGTTCTGAATAACAGTTTGTGAAACATTGTGCTGTAATCTACGTAAATCAATAATCATATCCTTTGTCTTGGAAACGTTGATAGACAGATAGAAGTTTTCATACCACGCAATGAAATCATCAACTACAGGGCCAGGCCAATCCTCATCATTGTTCAAAAGGCTCACTATAACAGTGTCATCTGCAAATTTCACACAGTGCCTATTCTCATACTTACTCCTACAGTCATTTGTATATAAAATAAAAAGCAATGGTGAAAGAACACAGCCCTGAGGAGAGCCTGTGGAGGTAAGGGCTTTTGAGGATAAAACACCATTAACCCAAACACACTGCAACCTGTTCGACAGAAAATCCAGTATCCAGCCAATTAAGTTAGGGTTTAAGTTAAAAAGAGACTGAAGTTTCTCAGCCAAGAAGTAGGGCTGAATGGTATTGAATGCTGAAGAGAAGTCGATAAAAAGGAGCCTTGCATGAGTTTTTGAGGATTCCAGATGTTCATAAAGAGAATTTAACAATGTAAGTATTGCATCCTCAACACCTCTGCTAGCCCTGTAAGCAAACTGGAGAGGGTCTAACTGTTCCTCCACCTGCTTCAGTAACTCCTGCTTAACCAACTTCTCAAAAGTCTTCATCACTAAAGCCCCGTTCACACTACAAGCGACTTTGTCGCTGCAGGTCGCCAGTGGCTGCGCTGGAGGGCGTTCCCACTACTGGTTGCCTAGTAATGTTTGTGAGTGACATTCACGGATGTTACTCTATGTTAGACAACAAATACGTTTTCTTGCCGCTACAAACAAATATTTTGGAAGGAAAAGTGTAAATATAAACGGAATCAGTACATAAAATGCATAATATTAAAGATGAACGAGAAACAGTGAGTGCTCTTTGCCATCGCGGCTATTTAACTGCAGCAAACGGGCAAATACCGGTCTATCTGGGTTCCCGAAACCATTCAGGCACGGAGTCAGTACGGTGAATACCACTGTATGTACACGGAGATATATCATAAATTATAGGACAGTTTCTGACTGCTAAAATGAGCTTCTCGTTCAACTTGCCTCGGTCAGACTCAGCACTGAAGAGTGACGCGCTCCACTGACTTCACTCCTATTGGTTGTCACTCCCGAAAGTCGCTCTGCATTTGCATAAAGTTAAACAGATCTCAACTTTGTCGCGTCGCCAGACACGCCCCACCGGTCGCCAACGGTCGCTGTCGCCGGAAATCGCCCGCTCCCCATTGAAATGAATGGTATCGTGTCGCTTTGTCGCTTGTAGTGTGAACGGGGCTTCAGAAGAGCAAAAGTGTGACTCATTTGTTTATGACCACTTAAGCTGCTCGAATCATGACCTCCATTTTTTTGTGTTCACATACCTATTGCCATAAAAGTCACCAAGTTTCGTAATTTTCTGATGAAGCTGTGATTTTTAAATATTCAAAACAGATTTCTTTCATCACAATTTATTGGTGTTTTTGTGTATACAAGTGTGTGTGTGTGTGTGTGTGTGTGTGTGTGTGTGTGTGTGTGTGTGTGTGTGTGTGTGTGTGTGTGTGGGTGGGTGGGTGGGTATGTCTGTTTTGCACTCTTGATGTTTTAGAGTGTCACCCCTTCAATGCTGAGCACTTTTTTTCTGCATCGTCGCCGATTTGTAGATTGTACACACAAAAATTCTCAAAATTTTTGTGTTTTTGTCAATTTCCCATTCATTTCCTATGGTCGGTCATTTTTGACCGAAGAGCACAAGTGTGCCTATTTTTTTTACGACCACTTAGCCTGCCCGGATCATGACCTCCATTTTTTGTGTGTTCACATACCCAATGCCATAAAAAGTCACCAAGTTTCGTAACATTCCGATGAAGCTGTGATTTTTAAAAATTTAAAACAGAAAAATTTTCGGTCACAAATTACTGAAGAGCACCGGAAATTATGCATAAAAAAAAAAAAAAAAAAAAAAAAAATGTAAGGCTTAATTCTCTTAATCAGCTCTGTTTCTTTCAAATAATTGAGTATTTAGACTCTCTAATCCATAATCATTCTTTAGAATTAATTCTTCCACATCTTCTAAGTTTCCTTTTCAGTGTTTCATGATTTGAAACATTCTTTAGCATTGGTGGCAGTTACAATACACACCTTGTATTGCAGTATTCAGATTTTTATTTGACATTAGTAATAAAATAAGCATGAAATAATAATAATAGGCCCTACCGGTAGTTTACATTTTTCGACGTTTGACTAAGTGGCATTAATAGACATTTAACAGAAAAAAAAATAATAAAATGAAACTCTCCGCGTTGTTATTATGAGAACTACAGTACCCGACAAAACAAAGGCTTAAATAACATTCCCCTTTTTGTGTAAGAGAGTTGCAAAATCCGCAATGTAACTGGTCAATGCATGTGCCAAACAATAGAACACAAGAGCTGATTGGCTAGTTCACAAGCCTAATGTCCCGGATGTAGAAACGAGTTAAATTTCACAGAGAGAAGGCGCGTAACTCAGTTTGAATTGGGTGAGCAACTGTGTGTTTTCGCGGCTCAGCTGTAGTAACTGTCATTTACAAATTATAAAATGGTAAGTATTTTTTTGTTTTCTGTTTATTTTGTGACGCTCTTCTTTTTGGAAAGATGCATAACAGGTTAAAAGTACATTTAGAGTTGTTTTCCTAGTCACTGTTGAACAATATTATGCGGGTAGTTAGCTTAGCTCCGGTGCTAACTGGCGTCGTGTAAACACGAGAGCGCGAAACAAGTGAACTATCGACTTGTTTAAATATGGCCGTGTACGTAATGCAAAAGGTGTAAACGCTTCAGTTAACTCTTATAACATGATGAGTGACTGGTGCTGTTGATTTCAGGCTGGGGGTAAAGCAGGAAAGGACTCCGGGAAGGCGAAAGCGAAGGCTGTTTCGCGCTCACAAAGAGCTGGACTGCAGGTCAGACCCTTCGTAATGAACAAAGGCCATTGATTGAAATTAATGCATATAAACAATATGGCTTGCTAATAACTACTGTTAGGGTTGTGTTTACTGTTTGTTTATTGGGTTTTTTAACGTAATTTCACATATGCTGAGCCAGTTTGTCACTTTTCGTCATCTTCAGTTTCCAGTGGGTCGTATTCACAGACACCTGAAGTCCAGGACCACCAGTCACGGGCGCGTCGGAGCTACTGCCGCAGTGTACAGTGCTGCTATTCTAGAGTATTTGACTGCTGAGGTGAGTAACATTTTAAGGGAGACTGCATTAGGTTGAGACTTTACAAACCTGTGATTTAACATGCCTGTGTTCATATTAAGGTACTCGAGCTTGCAGGAAATGCTTCTAAAGATCTGAAGGTGAAGAGAATTACCCCACGCCACTTGCAGCTGGCTATCAGAGGCGATGAGGAGTTAGACTCCCTCATTAAGGCGACTATTGCTGGTGGTGGTAAGTACTAATTCCACCTTCGAGTTTTTAAATTTGTGTTTTTAAATTTGTGATCTAACCTTTTCCCCTCCTTTTTAAATCCCTGCCTTGTAGGTGTCATACCCCACATTCATAAGTCTCTTATTGGCAAGAAGGGACAACAGAAGACCGTGTAAACAATGTTGTCTCAGGACATGAGTGTTCACAAATGTATTGTTTGCCCTGTAGATTAGAATTTTAAAACTTTATATTGTCCATCTTTGCATTTACTCATTTCTGGGGTATTTTTTTTAAACATGGCTTCAGAGAAGCTTTTTTCTTTTCTTTTATGATGTCTGGCTAGTCTTGTGTTTTTGTTTGTTTTTTTTGCAATTTGGCTTTTGAACTTTGAAGTTTCAGGATTTTATTTCAATAAAGCTCAAAGTGCCAATATAAAGGTCCAACTGTTTGATTTTAAAAATCGGTGAAGTTCATTCACAATGTAAAATTTGTGTACCAATTATTTTTCTTTTTTTATTGTTGTGGAGAAACCTTAGCTTTTCTATTGAGGGAGTCTCAATGGACATTTGTAAAAATTAAAATAAAGCCATTTTAAATCCTTATATGCATCCCAGAACTCATTACAATCTTTATCCAGTTATGAAGTCTTTTTTTATTATTTTTATATATAGCGCTTTTTACAATACAGATTGTTTCAAAGCAGGTTTACAGAGATAACAAAGTTTGTTTCCAGAAGAAAATGGCATCACAGTCCAGCTTAAGTTCAGTGTTTCCTTTTTTGTTTTAAAAGTTATTTAGTTCATTTATTATATATATATATATATATATATATATATATAGCTGCTCTGCAATCCGTGATGTTCAGTTCTTGTATAATAGTGTCAATGCAGGCAGATCAATGTTATTGTTGAATATTAAATGTTAAATGTCCCCAACTAAGCAAGCCAATGGCAACAAAGGTGGGAAAAGGCGACAGTGGTAAGGAAGACTGAACCAGTTTTGTTGGAAACGTTCATCTGACTGTTCAAGTAGCAAACAAGAAACTGTAGAGGGCAGCGTTATATGGGATGATTTTAGTATCAAAATGATTAACACGTGCAAGCACACTTATCAATGAACTTGATACATGTTGCAGAAATGTTTTATCCATGCCTTTCAACTTGTGTGTGCAAAATTCAAAATTGAATGAATGTGAAGCAATTTGTACAAATAGAGACATTTTTGTGAATACAAATGTTTTCCTTTGTATTAGTGTATCATAATTTGCACATGCAACACAGAAGACGTGCATGTGTGGATCAGGTGACGCGCGTGCATTCATTGACTCGATTCATTGAGTCGATCCTATTTGATTCATTTGGATTTTGAGACTTTCATTTCGCGGGTTTCGCCTTGCACGATCCACACACAGCTGTCTGAGAAAAGCTGCTACCACTAGATGGCAGTATTCTGCAAAAACAGACAACGGCAGCATAATCAAGCGTTCTTCCGCATTTAAGACGCTTAATGAGAGTGATATTGAAGCACCAAATTTAGTACACAATAATATAGGCCTACCCTATTAATAAAGCATACTTTATAGAGGCAAACATTACGTCAGATTATGAACAACACCCATAGAAAACCATTATAAAACGCTTAACGTGCAATCGCGCGTTGCATGTTCAGTAAGGTGTATTGGCTACTGAGTTTAAATATCACCGTCTTACTGCATTGACGTTAAGCTTTTTCTTTATAATATGCTCTATGGGAGGAAAACTATATAGCCTACAGACAAGAGACTACATGAACGCAACGCACGGCGTTTCAAGTTAATACAATTTTCCTTCCTGTTAAAAAAAGGTGAAATTTCGCAGTTGCGTTCATATTATATGCTTATTTTTATCTGACTACACATTGTGTACATAGTATACAAGCAGGAATTTGAAAATGTCTGTTTTTAAATATTAAAGACGATTTTCGCAGTAGGCTACATTTGTTTTCCCTTGACCCTTAAGCCATAGGCTATAGTCTTACTATAGCACGATGAGTTTTAACAATATGCAACCATTGTATATCGACATGAAATATTAATTGAAAATCAACTGGCGTAGCGGGCCTGTAGCTGCATATTTCTACACGAGAATGCTTTGACGCGCTAACCACAGCTCATGATGCACAAGGGAACGTCTGCCAATTCCACTAACCGCGTTAAAACCACTGATCTATAATGTCATTCTATATAGATCAGTGGTTAAAACGTATAATTTGTTTTAATTCAAATTACTTTTAAAATTTAATAACAGACATTTTCAAATTCCAAAGCTCGTAGAAGGTTTCTGTAAGACTGACTTACAAGTAAAATTTGGACAATACTTCCCTTCATGTAGCCTGTATTCTGCAGAAAAATACTGTAATTCACCAAAAGGGTTTTTTCATGTTCAAAATGGTTGTAGTATGTTCAGTGACTAGACTGGCTTACTACAGGTGAAATTGCCCCAATAACTCCCTTCATGTAGCCTATTTAGTAAACAATTATTATTTTATAAAAAAATTACTGTTATTAACCAAACGGGTTTTTGGTGACTTACTACAAGTGAATAATGTAAAATTTCACCTGACTTGTCACTAGGAACGTACTACAACCTTTGGAACATGAATAGAAAAACAATTTACAGTAAATTAAAAAATTGTAGGCTACTGTTCAATCGAGATATTGGCTGGACATAGTACAGTAACAGTAGGCTAAGTCAGTCTGCCCACTAGACTTCCAAGGTTATAATATAACCTTGGAAATATGTTCATTTGAATGAATGACTGGACGTTTATATTTTTTTGACTGTGAGTGGAGTTTGCAGATGGTCCCTTTATAAAATGAGGCGAATATCAAACTTCACTGCACTCTCGGACCGGTTGCTCTCCCATTCACATGCAAAGTTAAACGCAACTGCAGAATTTTTATTTCATGTTAAGCTTTTTCTTTTTAACAGGCTCGGGAAGGAAAATGTTATTAACTTGAAACGCCGTACATTGCGTTCATGTAGTCTCTTGTCTGTAGGCTATATAGTTTTCCTCCCATAGAGCATATTATAAAGAAAAAGCTTAACGTCAATGCAGTAAGACGGTGATATTTAAACTCAGTAGCCAGTGCACCTTACTGAACATGCAACGCGCGATTGCACGTTAAGCGTTTTATAATGGTTTTCTATGGGTGTTGTTCATAATCTGACGTAATGTTTGCCTCTATAAAGTATGCTTTATTAATAGGGTAGGCCTATATTATTGTGTACTAAATTTGGTGCTTCAATATCACTCTCATTAAGCGTCTTAAATGCGGAAGAACGCTTGATTATGCTGCCGTTGTCTGTTTTTGCAGAATACTGCCATCTAGTGGTAGCAGCTTTTCTCAGACAGCTGTGTGTGGATCGTGCAAGGCGAAACCCGCGAAATGAAAGTCTCAAAATCCAAATGAATCAAATAGGATCGACTCAATGAATCGAGTCAATGAATGCACGCGCGTCACCTGATCCACACATGCACGTCTTCTGTGTTGCATGTGCAAATTATGATACACTAATACAAAGGAAAACATTTGTATTCACAAAAATGTCTCTATTTGTACAAATTGCTTCACATTCATTCAATTTTGAATTTTGCTCATGCAAGTTGAAAGGCATGGATAAAACATTTCTGCAACATGTATCAAGTTCATTGATAAGTGTGCTTGCACGTGTTAATCATTTTGATACTATAATCATCCCATAACGTTACACACCTTTATTTCGATCTTGACAGCTATAACGACGAATTTAACGTATACATTTTAAAACTATATCTGTTTTACGTTAACTATTTTGCGGCAGGCACCAAACTTGATTCCAATGTATTAAATTGCAATAATTTTTGAAGCAGTAATGGTAATTTACATAAAATATGTAATGCAGAAAAGGGGTTCGTACTTAAACTCGTCCATGTTATTGGTATGATTTATTTTAAAACAAAACACTTTGGTATAAATTTATTTAGGTCAAAATCATAGTAGATAGTAAAAGAACAAAACACTTCACACATGGTTTTTTTTTTTTACACGTTTGTGAATCCTTCTCTACAATAACAAATTTTAATGATTGTGAATTTCGCAAATTTTTCATCCACAAATGCAAATATACAAATTATAATTACCTCATTGTTATATGGAAGAAAAAAAATATCAGGACCTGTCAATAGATAAGTAAAACCTTGACTTGTGCTTTTCTTTATCATAGCTTATCGCTAGAATGACCTTTTAATTTATTTTTGCAATATTATTATTCCGTTCTTTGTTTACTCAGCAATGTTTAGGCTGAATTAATGTTTACAAAAATAAGTAAAAGAAAGAAAAGAAATACGTCTAAAATGTTATGTGATTTGTCACTGTTTATAATATTAACGGTATTTTGATGATATGGAGTATCAAAGTAAGATTTGCAGCAGTATTAATTTTAATGGCTTTTCCACGCGATGAGTGCAGCGTTCAAACACTGAACCGGTGAAAGTCTTTGTTATATCTATGTTGTATGTCAATGTATACACAAGTGTTTGTACAAACTTTGTTGATAATACAAAATAAAATAAAAACACTGAACCGGAAGAGGAGCACGCGTTATGTGGCATTTTAAACCGGAACTGAATAGTAAAAATATCTGAGAAAATAGTTAAAATATATGTGTTATAAGTTATTGTTTCAATATCTTAGATAAACTAATTTAAGTGAGATGATACAGATTTTTTTTTTTTTTTTTTTTTTAACAATGTATATAGTATAGTAGACATTCTGGCCCACACTCCATACCATTTGGTGGCGGTAATGCACCAGTTCGTTGTTTGCCAATAAACCCTAGAAGAAGAAGAAAACAAAATAGGCTAGCTGTTTAACTCTGGGTTTAACACGAATCACAGCGCTCATAAATACTATTTAGTGTATTTTTTTCTCTAGTGCTGAGAGATTTCTGAAGAACACAAAGGAAAACATTGCGGAAAACGTGTGGCAATACGAAGGTAAGTTTATAATTCAATAGAGAGACACGTTTGCTGTTTGTCATAGTTTTCGATGAAGCGCCCTGTATGTTACATAATACAAAAATTAAACGTTTATATAGTAAGAAGTGTGTGTCTTCAGCTGGCTCCTCCACTGCCTGTCACGATGCCTGCTTTACTGGAGAGACCAAAACTGTCCAATGCGATGGCCAGAGCCCTGCATAAGCATATCATGAAAGAGAGAGAGAGAAAAAGACAAGGTACATGTGTGTTTCCAGTTTAGAGCAAAAAAGAAAACACCATGTTTAAATTGTTTTGAACAGCACAACAGAATATTGGTCCTTATTACACATACATGGTAACAGATTCAGGTCATTATTAATTATGTCTAAAAAGATGGTTTGTATATACATTTTTTCATACTGTAGAGGAGGAAGAAGTCGATAAGATGATGGAACAGAAAATGAAAGAAGAGGAGGAGAGGAAACGAACTAAAGAAATAGAGGAGCGAATGTCTTTGGAAGAGACTAAAGAACAGGTGTGTACAGCAACACTAGCAAATTCGTTTCAAGCCCTTCAAACGAAAAAACCTGCAGGAGCACTGAAGTGTGATGTGATGTTCCCCATTTATTTGCTCATTCCCGTTATTAAAACCTTAATAAACATTTTTTTTATTGTTTATTAGGTTCAAAAAATGGGTGAGAAATTGCAGGTTTTGCAAGAGGAGAAACATCAGCTCTTCTTACAGCTTAAAAAAGTCCTTCATGAGGAGGAAAGGCGTCGCAGAAAGGAGCAAAGGTGAGTGATTTTTTTTTTTTTTTTTTTTGTATATTGAAAAATGACTGACAGTTGTTTAGCTGTCGTGTTCCTTGTTATCTCAATCATGTACTTGTACTTTTTGATTTGACCCTCCCCTTTGTTCAGGGACTCATTATTCCGTTTCTTTATATTAAATATCGGTGAAACCTGTTCAGTTTGTCTCAATTGTTGAATCTTTTTATGTTCCTACACATATTTTACACGTTAAGACATTTGCTATTTGAATGTTTCTTTTTTTGCTGAGTTTATATTTTCTAGATGTATTACAGTGTAATTAATTATCAAGTGTATATGGATTTGTTAATTTATTTTCAGTGATATTACATCACTGCCTTCATCCAGTTATCAGTCCAGCTTACCTCTGCACTCAGGACAGCATCTACTCAACATACAAGGTGGTGTATTGAAAGGTTGCTAAATCTTATTGACCTTGGATTATTTTGAAGGAAATAATAGTTGACATTAGAGCAACAAAACAGTTTTGTTCTCTTAAGTAGACCATACTGCTATCCTGTGCTTAAAATGGTATTTTGTGTGTTTAAGGAAGTCCAGTGGGTCACAATAGAGCCGGTGGTTTGTTAGGGGAGCGCAGTAAACAGTTGTTTCAGACACCTCTGATGCCTGTAAGTAAATAAATCTGAAGATCATGTAACACTGTGTGTTGTTTTTAAAAACCGTAATGTCAAAAAAGACAAAGTTATGCTTCACTTTTTGTCACAAAAAAATATTGAGAATTGTGTTGTCATAATCAGTGAGGTGTTCTAGCTACTATTACATTTTTCAGTAACAATAGCATCTTTAAAATACTGAAACTTTTTTCTTTTTTTGCTGGAATGACCGTTTTATAGGTCATATATGGCACACATTTATCCATAAATTGTTGTCTTTTCTAGGGCCATCAATTCTCCAGTCAGCCAGGTTTCCTCACTGGTTCCTCTGAGCATGGGCAGTTCTCAGGTAGCGCTGCAGTCCATGAGCCATTTGCAGTCACCCAGGCCCAGCACCACACCTCTTATGGGCATGCTACTTCTGTGCCCATCAGCTTTGCTGGCACCACCCAGATCAGAGGTAACAATTAGGGGTGTGACGAGATCTCGTGCCACGAGATCTCGCGAGACTAAATATGACGAGATTTCTCGTCGAGTAAAAAAGCTGTCTCGCGATATCCCCATTAATATTCCACCGCTACACTCACATTCGCCTAAACTATCGTTTTGTTGTTTTTATAAAAAAATAAAAACCATTATAAACTAATGCAAAAGTCTGCTCTGCTCATCCAGCACGAGTTGCCGTTGCAATCAGTGCAGCACGAATCACAGTTCACTGATCGCGTGATGATGGCGGAGGATTCGTTGCGCAACAGACTAAACGTCTGGTAAATGTCTTATCATTTAGAATGCGCGCTCAGCACCGCTGCTCCCTATACGCGCGGTCACGAATTTGTAAGTGAAAGTAAAACACAAGCTCCCTGATGTGCATTGCGCACAAATTAGGCTGCATACATAAAATAATCCGTCTCCCAATACCCATCTCTGGACTGTTTATTTGCGGCTCTGGTCTCTGTTGGCACTGCGAATATTGAGAGAGCACTGTAGCGTACAAAGGACAACAGACAAGGGAGGCTCCGTTTCTGAACTTATAATCGGAACGCAAGAACAACTGTAGAGACAAACAGCCTCGTTTCTCTCGGCCTTTTCCGAACTCACCCGCATTAACCCTATAACTGCCGGTGCAAAATAAAACCGCAATTTCACAACAATTATAAAGAGTCTGTGTGCTAACTTTGATTATGGTTGCACTCGCACTTATTGTTTGCACTTAATAAGACTAAGAGAAAACAGTTATTTATTTTTGTTATTTATACGGTTTTTATTTCTCTGTTAAATGTGTGTTAAAAGGAGTTCAGTTAGGAGGTCACACACAGCCTCAATCAGAAGTTCTGAAAGCTCTTAAATGTACAGTACGGTCTGAAGAGACTAATGTGAAATTATACAGGAGAAAAGCCAGTCAATAAAAACCTTTTACAGTGCTTGAATATTGTTTTCTTTCAATGCATTTGATAATTCATACTCATAAAGTAGACCTGAAATGACATGTATTAGAAGATTATTAGTTAAAACATTGAAAAATGCACCTGCATACTATTTTTCCAGCCATGAATTTTGTCATTGAGGATTTCTGAAAAATTGTGCAAAAATCTCGTCTCGTCTCGTTCTCGTGAGCCCAATCTCGTGTCTAGTCTCGTCTCGTGAGATAAGCGTCTCGTCACACCCCTAGTAACAATAAATCCTGATTGTTGAGATTTTTTTTTTACATTAGTCAATCACAGTCTTCAGATGATGCAGCGTTAAGGCCTGTTCACACCGGGCCGACGTTTAACGCCTCGTGACTAAACAAAGGGCGCCAATGTGAGTGTGCACACCGACGCGAAAAACGGCAGGCGTAAAAGCGCCATTTTTTTAAAAACACCTCGGGTTGGTTTTTTTAGTTTGATGCGCCGCGTCAAAAACTATCCGACCAATGAGATTGGCGCTTTTGCTCACGTGTCTGGAGCTTCTGAAGTTACAGTAAAACACTACTTGGGGGCGCTCAAACACAAAACGGTCTTGCCGAGCACACATATGTAACGGCGAAGAAGATAGCGTCTACACTGCCGGGAAGAAATAAGACGAGGGAGATGAAAGGCAAGATGAATGTAGAGCTGCTGGTCTCGTTGGTGTCGGAACATAAAGAACTACATGACAAACGCGACAGCGACTACAAAAATCTTGATAAAAGAGAACTGTTATGGAGTGGTATTGCAGAGCAAATGGGCGCCATCTAATGTCAGGGAATGAATTTGCATGTTCACTCGGCTCATCGTCAGCGAAAAATGGTTGGGTGTGAACACAAAAAACGCGTTGAAAAACGCTGGCGAATAACGCGCGCCGATATTCGTCCCGGTGTGTACGAGCCTTTATTCTAACATTAGATTTCTAATTGTCTTGGTTTTTCTTTATAGAAAATGTATTTTCATCTTCTCAGGTGAAACAGTTTAATCAGTTCAACTTGCAGAACTTTTTATAACATTAGAATGATTTCTTAGAAACTGCACTTGAGAAACGTGTAGAACATGCTCGCCAGGCGTGATTTATAAAAAGGTGAAACACGTCGCTGAATTCCCCGGAGTATTCTTATTTTTTTATATAGCTTATTTAGATTTTATCTGTGCACTTATAGAGAATTGGATTTGGTGAATTGCCCTCCCTTCACATTTTCTTTGTATGTAGGCACACCTTTCCAGAGCATGCCATTCCTGTCCCACCAGCCTCAGGGTTATGCTGTCCACAGCCATTTCACTGCCCAGCCAGGTAAAGAAGCCACCTCACGTGATCTCTTTTTACATAACATTCATTGGTCTGATCTTAATGTGGCTCTTTCTTAAAAAAAAAAAAATTGTGCTTCACTTTACATTAGCTATTCTTCTCTCTTTCGGCTAGAGATATGCATGCAGATTAGAATTATGCTGTTTTATCTCAACAAGATAAAGTTCCTTCATTAATGTGTCAACGGAAATATTACACCAAGGATAAACAAACTTTTTTGTTTTGGTCCATCATTCCTCCATCGATCTTCACAGGATTCATCCCTAGTGCTAGTATCCCCCTTCAGAAACAGCTTGAACATGCTAATCAGCAGTCTGGCTTTACTGACTCTGTAAGTACTTCCTGAGACTCATTTGGAAAATATTTGGAAGTTATGAGCTTTGTCTTCCATGAGAAAATGTATTGTTTATACACGTGCTTATAATAAATAATTATTATTTTGTGTGTGTGTTGTCATTGTTAGGCTGCTCTTAGACCCATGCATTCACAGGGTTTACATGTGAGTGCAGCTGGTCTGATGTCCACTCCATCCATGGGTGTCCAGATCTCTACTGCAAAGGTGAGCTCACTAACCTGCATTAAAGCCCTCTAAATGCCTGTCATTAGATTAAAAGGTCATCAACATGGATTCTTTATCACAGGTGTTTAAGAATCTTCTTTTTAAAATAACTGTCAGTTGTTTTGATTATCAATCATTTTTCGAACATTCACCACATGCTTTTGAGCAACAGTGTACTAGATTTATACAGATATGAGACAAAATAACAGACATGATTGTAAAAAAAAAACAAGGGGGAAAACAGCACAGTTGTAATTGAAATTGATGCAACGCATAGTCAAAGATGTGAGCGTTTGTACATTGTAAGTTGCTATTTTTAAACCATTGATTAACCATTTATTTGTTTTACCATTTAATCACTACCCTGTCACTTGGACCTTCAATCCACACCTCTTCTTTCCTCAATATTAAAAGATGTTCTTGTTTAATTTAAAATATTGGTATATTTGGTGAGAATAAACATTTTTCTTTTTATGCATGACAGTCTCTTTGCAGCTTTTAATTTAATTTATGTTTCAGGCTCCATTCCAGAGTTCATCTCAGCCAGCATCACGTCTCGCCTTCGTCCCTCACGCTCAGGCTGGACAGAGATTCTTCCACCATGGAAAACCACATTAACTACTAAAAGTATGACCATGACAAGGTGCCAGGATACAGAAAACTCTTTTGAAAACCCAGTCAATTTGAATTTGCTTTTTTAACATTGTAATAAATGTCCCATGCAGCAAATATAGTTAAATCATAAACATTATTGATATTAAGAAATGTTTTACTCGCTATGAATCTATGAAATGATTTGTCATGGTTTGTTGATTTTGGCTAAGTTATTATGATGTTAAAAGTGCAAGGTGTGCAAGTCCTTGTGCAAGTGCAAGTCCCACTCCGATCATATTTTGAGCTATTTTTAAACATTCCCAGTGGTCTTTAAATTATGATTATGCCATTTTTAGCCAAAATCACAAAACCTGTGCCGTTTTCTGGGACTTCGCTTCAGCAGAGCGGCAGTAGCTCATTAGCAATTCGCCTCTGCGTTGTGGGCGGAGCCGTTGGCACGGAGACGACCCTCCCCCTGCCCGTTGCTGAGAGCTCTGTCTCTCCCGCTAGCTTACATCCCCAATACCGGTGGGGCAACAGTATTATATACACATTAATTATTATTATCCGAAGTTAATCAAAGTTATCACCGATCATTATTTCACTCCAAGACGTCGCGTGTGGAGACGCCCAGTGGAGTTACTACGTCACAACTCCAGTCTATTTTAGCCGGCATTTTAGCGTCTGCTACTGATTCACAGCCATTTGAATGTAGAAATACTCAGAAATACAACTTTGAGCTGATTTTTCTCAAGATATGTCCTCTAACATCAGAAAAATGCCACAAGAACATGTTAACACCTAGAAAAACATTATTTTCATCGGAGTGGGTCTTTGGGTGTACTCACACTAGCCAGTTTGAACCGTGCCCGAGTGCGTTTGACCACCAAAGCGCGGTTTGTTTGACTAGTGTGAGTGCTCCGAACCGTGCCCGGGCGCGGCTCGATTAGCCGGCCCTGGCCCGCTTGGAAGAGGTGGGCCAGAGCACGGTTCAGTTGGACTCGGGCGCGGTTCGCATGCAGTGTGAGCGCTAACCGTGCTGGAGCACGGAACAGGACGCGTGATGTCATGGTTTTGCAACGCTCCAAAACCAACACAGTCCGTAATCAAAGCTGCAAAGTCCTTGCTGCACTTCAGCTGGTACCTTGCAAACCTCCTCATACGAGCAGCACGATTACGTGAAAATGTTCGCGTCACTAAGGCGACGCATCTGTTTAACAACGGGCTGTGGACCACCGTGGACCAAACGACACAAAATTATCCACAAAGAAAACAGAGCGATGGACTAATTCTGTTCAGAGAGCGCCGCTCTTCTTGTTTATCCCGAAACCGTCGCACGCACCATAATGACGTAAGCGTGCTCCGGCACGAATGCTGAAACCCTATGTGAGTGCAGGCCAGAGGGGGAGTGGGGAGGGGGGACAATCGTACTCGGGCCCGGTTCATGGCAACCGTGCCTAGTGTGAGTACACCCTAACGTCAGAGGATTGACGTCCAGAAAGATTGAAAATAAAGACCCAAAGGTTGAATAAGCTGCGCTTTCCCTGCAAGACACTTGTAAACTTTCCCCCCCCTGAAATTTAGCAAGACTTGTCTGTATTTTAACTTTATAGTAAGTTTGAAGTGTTAGTAATGCAGTTTAATAGCTGTAAGAAATGTCCTACATTACATGAGTACTTTCTCAAATAACTGGGAGTCGTTTTATTTAATGTCTTTTTCTTGGAGTTTGCCAGCAGCAGCCATGCCAATTGAGATCAATATATTACAAAGGAGCCAAAATACATCACAAATGGAAATAAAGACATTTATATGTGCTCTTTTTAATATTGACTGGGTTGTCTTGCTAGAATACATTTTTGTTTATTTCCATTTTAAAATGTCTTGTCTTGCAAAACAAAAACTATACTCGTACTCAAGTGTAATGTACATGAGTCAAATCTGGCCTACATAGGATTGATTTTAATGGGGACAATTAACATTTGTTCAATTTCATCCAACCCTCAAACTTAAGAAAGGATTTGGTCTGTCTGTCAAGTGAGAACAGCAAGCATTAGGCAAACCATTATAGGCCAAGACTGAGTACATTACAGGCAGAAGTTTATTTCAAGAAGAGATCTAAGGCTTATGGCACCTCCTTCCACCTCACAGAAATCTTGATAAATGGTATTGTTGTCTTCCTCTGTGATAGTCTCATTCCCAGTTTTTGTTTATGGAGGGGGTTGGGGGTGGTGCTAAAAGTGATCTGAAGTCTTTCTGCATCCATCCATTCACCAGCCTTTGTGATATTGTCACTCCCTGCTTAATGGTCTTTTGCTTTAAACTACCAGAAGATAAAAGGGAAGTTAAGCAGAACACTTGGTCCTGAGATACAAAACTGCATCCTATTACACATATTGCCTTTGTATCTGTCCTTCACAGGAGATTCTGCACTTGAATGTTTTTTACTTCCCCTCTGCACTCTTAATTGCTCATAAATAAAATGAACCACATAACAGACCTCTTGTAGCTATTTGCTACTTACATTTAAGATAACAAAGAACATATTTGGGGCAGTTATCTTTTTAATAAAAAGTGTCAAAATCAACAAGGACACACTCACTACTGGAGACAGATTATGAGGTGCTTTCTTCAAAAAAAAAAAAGAAGAGAATGTCCCACACCAGCCATACATCACAATGGTGCTTTAGTCCACTCTCCATGAATTCCATTTCTCTTGTTTCACAAGAATTTAATTTTGTTTGGAACATTTTGAATATTAAATTTATTTCCTAGTTTTTAACCTACAGATGGGCTATAAAGTACAGAGAGGGAGAAATAAAGAAAGAATGAAAAAGGAGGGAAGATAGCATTGCTGAGGTCTAATTCTCTCCTATCCGGGTCCGGTGCATCTTGTCAACCCCTGAGAGAAAGGAAGAGAGTAGTACAAGCAAGAGTGAGGAAAGAGAGTGGTAAAAGTAAAATAAACAATGAAGTAGAAAAACATGGAGGAGGAGGAGGGTAAAACACCATAAAGTTAAGTCCATATCCACAAAAGTATGTAGAAGACGAAACTGTTCAAAAAAGGTTCAAGTTAAATGCAGATGGAGTGTCTACGAAAGTAAATGTGCTCTCCATTACAGAACAGAGTCTGAAATACATGCTTGGATATCTTGTCAGTTCATTTTGAAGTCCAAAGTCAAAGAGCACAATGAAACGCTACACAAACACTTTATCACTCCAATAACTTAGGAACAGTAGATATGGGTGATAACACATAATAGTTGTTTTTGATTCTTCTTAAAAAGCTATTTTACAATACAGCATGTTTGGTTACACATCAGACAAAATTTTAGCTGGTAGTGTAAAATACAAAATGAAATTCCAAAAACATGAAATTCTATTTACATCTCAGTCATTGCTTTCACATAGCAGACACATCGAACACTGCAGTAGTACTACATCTCGGTGTTAATCAAAAGTGCATTTGCCAGTATGCAAACAGCAAAGTATTATATGTAAAGAAAGCTTTTTCAGTCAAACCTTTTTAAATACATTATTGAACTTCCTGGGTCAATTTCTGGACACAGATCACATCTAATTTTGGACAAGGATAAAAAAATATTATAAAATCAGTCCATTTCTAAAACCTAACCACTACAGAATAATTATCCTGCATTCAGTGACTGGTAGAAATATGAAACAAGAACTTAATGTACATCAGGAAAGTCATCAGATTGATTCAGACATCAATCATTTGGAGACATTCAGTCTTTTGATTAAATTCCTTTTAAAGACTCTTTTCTCTTCTTCACCGTTTTCTTATTCATGCGTGTAAAGGTTTGATGGTTTGTTTTATAGTTTCCAGTTAAGGTAAACATTTAAATAAGTGCTTTGCTGCAAGCACACTGGTGAGGCACAGTCGCTCCAGGCCTAGTTATCTGGTGAGCATGTGCACACAGCAGCAAGAGCTCCATATACCTGCTGTGTTTTATTTAGCCATGGCTTTGATGGCTACTGCAGCCTCCTCGTTCATAGCAGACAGGACAGTGATCTAGAAAGAAACATGAAGAGTTTCCACTGTAAACTATTAACATTCAAATATGCTCAGTGACATTTGAAGGGTGACTGCTTTAACAACACTTACCAGGATTTCCTCACCAGCATCGAACTTGCTTTCTATCTCTTTGCCAAGGTCTCCCTCTGGCATTTTCAGGTCTTCTCTGACCTCACCGCTGTCCTGGAGCAGAGACAGGTAGCCATCCTGTATGCCAATAAGCTAAAAAGAAGAAAAACAGACATTTGTGAAACACTATTATTTACTTCTACAGTACAACTGTGTCTAAGGGCTGTTTTTTTTTGGTTCGATTGAATCAAACTCAAGTTCGTTTCCCCCCTTGGTGCGGATCTTTGGGGCAGGTGTGAATACAACAATCGCACTCGGGTGGACCGAGACCACCTCTTCAGCTGGGTCTGGGTACGGTTGTTTGGTCAAACTCGGGTGCGGACCAAACAACCGTACCGAGACCCAGCTGAAGAGGTGGTCTCGGTCCGGTTCCAAATGAACTCTGGTACGGCACACATAAGAGCACATCTTCGTCTTCGCAAAATCCTAATTACAACATCGTATAGATGACTGTGGCAAGCAGGACGAGGCTGAGGGCCGTGAGATAACGTAATCTCACGGAGGAGCTACGGAAGCATAAAAGGAAGAGAGCGACGACAGTGAAGGACATGAGAGGACCAGGCCTGGGGCCTGTACCATGATGGTAGTTGAACAAACTCCGGGTTACAGGATTAGTTTCGAGTTGACAAAACCAAAACAATCCAACCAGGCTTTGTTGGTACCATGATGCTGATCATCAACTTTCTTTGTCAACTCAGGCTTTGATCCTGAGTTTAGGTGTGACATCAGTAACGAACAGCCAATCACATGCGGAGAAAGAGTGAAACTGCGATTCATTTCTCGCTTTCTGCAGCATATTACGAGATTGAAAAATATTAAGAATTTAAACACATTTACACAGCAAGAAGAAAATAGCTGTCTATGAAAGAGGACAACTAAAAGAAAAAGTCTTGCTATATCAGTGCAAGTAAAAGTTGTGAAGTTAGTTTATACAGTTGATAGTTATAGAGAGAATTTAACATTTAAGCTCACATGTAGTCATTTTATAGCTTCATCTATTGATTCTAAAGCGTATTTATATTACCTTTATATATTTTATATATATAAATAAGAATTACTAAAAGCCAGACGATTTTGTCTTTAAAAATCATTTGCTATGAGTGACATTTAATTTGAAGTAGAAACGGGTGGAGTGACTTTATCGCATCAGACATGTGTCACTTTGCTCACAGCTGATTGGTCCAAGTTCGGTTTGCAACCTCTTACCTGCCCCGGACCAGGTTAGCCGTGGAGCATAAGTTACTATGGCGATGAACACTGCTAAAAGCCAAACCACTTTCATGGTGCCTAAAACCCAGGGTTGGCGCAAACTAAACTGAAACATACCTGGCTAGCCATCTAAACCAGCTTCATGGTACAGGCCCCTGGACTTTTATGTTACTTATGTTTTGTTTATGTGTATGCGGCAGTCGTCAACATACTTTGTTACAATGACATTGTACTCATAAGTTTCTTCACATTGCATTAGTAGCTGATAACACCAAATGAATAAAAATTGCACTACGAAAGATCTCCATGATTATCCTGTTTTTGCACTTCCTGCTTTTCCCTGCTTGAGAATTTCTGTCCAATGAATGGATGACCTTAGCACACGTGTGGTTTTGTTTACAAATTTTGGTTCACTTGCAAACAGGACAGTGTGAAAGCGAACCACAACAAACATTGTATGAACTAGTGGACTTTCCTGGTGTGAATACACCCTAATATTGCTAGTCACATACCTGGTAGTCCATTCTTTTGATGTTAGGGACATCCATATTGTGGGTTGAGGGACAGATATCCTCATACTTTTTGCCAGAGAAGATGTCAATGCCCACCATGTGAACCTTTGAACAAAATAAAGTTACGGGTGGGGGTTACTTCACCACTATGCACAAAGTCATCTAACTACATTTCATACCCACACATTATGTGAATGAATGGCCTCCCTTTCACCTGCACCTTATTAATAAAGACTCGTATAAAGGGACTTCTGGAACTCCATTGTGCAAAACAAACACTCATCCGCACACAATCTGGGCAGTTAACACTATGACTGCTAATTTTATTTTATTTTTTGTGATATACCCTTCAAATAAAATCAATGTTATTGCATTTGAAGTAAGTAAATGAAAATGATGTGCATTAGTCTTACTAAGTTTTGAACCATCTACAATTTGTATGCTTTGTCACATAACCATTACTCACCTTGGCGTGTCCATGTTTACCGGTCTTAGATGTGGACATCTCCACAATCTTGCATGGTCGAGCCTTTAAAACCACAAAACCATTTTTGCGCAGGGCAGAGCACTGCATGGGGTAGGTAGCAGAGGCACCTGCATCGCCTGTTGTGAAGTCCAAGTCAGCATCCGCCATGTCTTTTCTAAAGATTAATGAGCCAGAATTACATTAGTTAATATTAAGTCAGCATAAGTCAACTTAAAGAATGATGATTTGTTACATCTGAGAAACACGCTAATGAAAAGTGGTTTGGTACAAAAGGCAAGACCTATCTTCCTATTCTTGAATTAAACCCCAAACAGACCAATATAAAAAATCTTTAATCAAAATGACCTTGTTCGTCCCCTGAAACAAATTTCCTTTTTTTCCGCTGACATCACTTGGGGCCATAATAGCCAAATATCTTTTTAGGAAAGGTTGGGTATCGTTTAAATTTTAAAGTTTCCAATTCTTATCAATTCCTAATTTCGATTCCAGTACGGTAAAAAAAAAAGAACTTAAATGTGAATGCTATATAAGTCTTATTGCAAAACATTTTATTGTAGCTGAATACCATGAACAAAAATCAATAGGCTAAAGAAAACTTAAACACTTTTGACTATGGTTTAAAAATACCATAGCAAAAACAAAACAAAAAGCCTAACTAATATAAATTTCACGCATTATTAAAGACAAGTAAACACTCAGTAATTAAAAAATACACAGTACTGTGCAAAAGACTTAGACACGTTAGTATTTTCACACACAAAAATTGGTTTTAAAGTCAGTTATTTATATCTTTTGCTGTAGTGTGTCAGTAGGAAATATCAGCTTACATTTCCAAACATTTCTTTTGCCATCAATTGTACTTATTTAATGAGATCTTTGTAAGCACAAGGAATCTGACAACAGCCAGTACACTCCATACGGAGATCTGATCTCACCATCATCGAATCCATCTGGGATTACATATAGAAAAGGAAAATCCAGAAGATTGTTTTAAACGCTAAGGGTGGCCACATCAAATATTGATTTGATTTAGTTAATAGAAGTTAATTGATGAATAAAATCTACTTATGACATTATTTTTGAAAGCATCGTCACTTTACAGCATTTTTACACAAGTGCCTAAAACTTTTCACCAGTAACTTTGGAGTTAGTTATGATTAGGAGTTAGGATTAGTTCACTTCAGAATTACAATTTCCTGATAATTTACTCACCCCCCTGTCATCCAAGATGTTTATGTCTTTTGTTCTTCAGTCGAAAAGAAATTAAGGTTTTTGAGGAAAACATTCCAGGATTTTTCTCCATATAGTGGACTTTAAAGGAAACGAATGGGTTGAAGGTCCAAATTGCAGTTTCAATGCAGCTTCAAAGGGCTCTACACGATCCCAGCCAAGGAATAAGGGTCTTATCCACCGAAACGATCGGTCATTTTCTAAAAAATAAATAAAAACATTTATATACTTTAACTACAAATGCTCATCTTGCACTAGCTCTGCGATGCACCACGCATTATGTAATCAAGTTGGAAAGGTAGGCGTAAGTACCAATCCAGTGTTTACAAAGCGAATGTGCAAATGCCCTTTACAAAAAAATTAAAAAAGGAAAACCAAGGATATTGCACGATTGTAAGTTTTTCGCCCTACCCTACCTTTTTGAACCGGAACACACGTGACTGTTCCGTGGCGCATCACAGAGCTCATGCAAGACGAGCATTTGTGGTGTGATTTTTTTTTTTTTTTTTTTTAGAAAATGACCCTTATTTCTTGGCTGGGATCGTGTAGAGCCCTTTTGAAGCTGCATTGAAACTGCAATTTGGACCTTCAACCCATTGGTTCCCGTTGAAGTCCACTATATGGAGGAAAATCCTGGAATGTTTTCCTCAAAAACCTTAATTTCTTTTCAACTGAAGAAAGAAAGACATTAACATCTTGGATGACAGGGGGGTGAGTAAATTATCAGTACATTTTAATTCTGAAGTGAACTAATCCTTTCAAGCGTCTTGGAGACGTTGCCACAGTTCTTCTGGATTTAGTCTGTCTCAGTTTTTCCTGTTTCTTCATGCAATCCCAGATGGACTCGATGATGGTGAGATCAGATCATACTGGCTGTTGTTAGACTCCTTGTGCATAGAAAAATCTCACTGGATTATTACAATTTATGGCAAAAGGAATGTTTGAAAATGTAAGCTGATGTTTCCTACTGACACACTACTGCAAAAGATTTAAATAACTGGCTTAAACCCAAATTGGGTATGAGGGAGAATTATTTACAATATGATGCATTATCTTTATTTTTTAATTATTAATTATCTTTAAAGAAACGAAAATCTCAATTAAATTAATAGACTATGTGCACGTTAGCATATGCTACTTCCGGCTGCGAAACCGATAGGGGGTGTCTAGTTTCCGGTAGCCTGATGGACGACGTAGAAGTAACGTTAAACATTGTTTACTTTTCACAATGCAGCAGCGCCTGGTTACCGTAATTCCTCAAATAAAAACCGGTATTCAAATAAACGCCGGGCCTCTGATAATGGCCGGGTGCGTGATCAACGCGGACAAATAAAGGCCGGGGGGAAATTAGTGTGGATAATCTCCTAAATGACTTTCATTGAAGAGATGTTACACCTGTCCACTTCATGCGTGTTCTGTGATCTGATCGTGAAAAGACCATGTATAAATGCCATCCGAAGCACATTCGAGACAATTTAAATCCGATCGCTCAAACCACTTCTTCAGGAGGAGATCTGAGACGAGATTCCAGACGAAACTGCACAAGTGTAAATCAAATGCATCTGATTGTTGAAACCACGTATCTAAATTTTACTCCTCCCAAAAACGCTAAAAAATAAGTGTGAGAGCGTGTTATAGGCTATGTAATGTTATAGCAAGATGTGACAACGCTACTGCAACACGCATCACGGCAGCCGAGCATCTATCCATAAAGCCAACGTGCAAACTATTGCAAATTAAAGTGAAAGTAAGTCGCAGACAATTCTCCTCATCATTAAAAGTAAAGAAACGAAATGATCTTACCAGGCTTGTTGCCGCTCTCGCTTATTGCGGTCTTTTGATTTAGAAATGAGCTGATCTATCAAATGCAGCTCATTTTTGTTGCTTTCGGTGACGTCCACTCCATTAAATCCGCATATAGCGTGGGAATTGAAGATTTATATCCGTTTTGCGAAAACGCATTTGTGAGCAGATTTAAGTAGAATTGTTTTGATAAATCAGAGAGCTTTCCGATCTGAGAAAACACATGAAGTGGCCAGGTGTAAACATCCCCTAATATGCATTCAAGTTCATCGTAACGTACAGCCAATAGATGGTAGTAGACAATAGATGTAACACACATATAATTTAGTGCTGCTAGTGTAACGGTCTTTTCAACAACTTTAATGAAAACGAAATTGTCTTGAGGAGCATGGAACCCAGACGGAAATTTGATTTAGATTTTTTTTAAATAAAGCGCCTGCCTCTAATAAAAGCCTGTTACCTTCTGCAGTTTAGGTAAATAAAGGCCCCAGCTTTTATTTGAGGAATTGTGGTATTACCACCGACTGCCCTTTGAAAAGTGAATCGGTTTTTTTTATGTTTTAGGTCCATTGCGAACGATTAAACTAACTTAACGCCGGTCCACTGATGTAAACAAGACGGCAACCGGAAACGAAGTACCCAATTTCCACCCTCAAGCCGGAAGTTAGCATTTTTCTCGTGCACAGAGCGAATTGATTGTAGTCTCATGGATCACTGGGTTTGCAGAAGCAAGCTACATGCGGGAACAAGAACATATGGCACCTGTTAACTGAACTAATGATATGTAACTATTGTAAATATGTAATTATATACATAATACCCGTCAACACTGTGACAATTGTCATTAACGGCTAACTACAAAACACAACATTTGAGTAACTTCACTGTACAATGTTGTCCTGCAAGTATTCACGTGGGAGGGGCCCAAACGTCAAGTCATGCTGCAAGATATGCAGCCCCATATCCCACGACTGGCCATATCGATACATAAATCCATTTCACTCCACATACAAAATGCGAAAACATCCTATTTTAATTTTCAAACAGCTAACATAATATGAATAATCGATGCGCTTCATAAGTCTAGTCAGTTGCACAAGTAGCGGACGTAATCCACGCAACTCGCGCGCTATCGCACACTTGCATTGTAACATATTTTACAGTGAATAAGAGCCGTATGTGTTTGAACAATGAAAGTTGGGCCGCTTTCATAAGGACACGCGTGTCCTCCAGCCGCAGTGAGCTTGCTGCTATCTGAGGCCTGCTGGATCCGCCACTGCGCACTGATCAGAACCAGAGGCCCGCCGAGCAGCCGCGCTCATCACGGCCGAGCAGGTGCACGCATCTCACCGTTATACTGCACATGACAGCTCGTGAACCAGATCCACAGACTAACTTTAATGCGAAACGAAACCCTGTGCGGCTAACAGGAGGTTTCCTGTGCTGTAAGGTTGAGCTAATATAACGTTACGATACGAGGCGCTGTGGACTCATGCTTCTTTGAGTTATGATTAAGTTTTTTTACCATCTTTGTCTTCGTGCCGCGGTGAAACTTTCCGCGTCAAATTCAGTTTAGTTTGTGCATCCAACGCCGAAGGAAAATATGTTGTTGTCATTCTAAATTACTCGCTCAAAAGAATAAGTGCACATGTCTTGCGGACACTTAGCAATTTAACGTTACAATAGATGCTGTATCTTAAGCTAATTGTTTGCTTTGTTTTAGGTGACTGTCAAACGCGTGAAACAGATGAAGGGTTATCTCGAGGAGGAGGTTGTTGCTACGCGGGATCACGCCCGTTGTTTGAATTGATTAAGCATCTATACTTACCTGGTTTACAGCCTTGTCCACGCTTTCGGGCCAACCCAAACTAGATCCTTTTTCCGTGTCTCTTTCGGATCTGTCTGCCTGATTTGTTGCTATCAGCTGCGCGAAGCCTCTTGTTTACTCGCGCAATTCAGCTATCTTGACGCTGCTGTCATTACAAGCGTTTCGTATTCCCTCTCTCAGTTTGAGCAACACGTTTAGTTGGCTGACCCAATGCGTGAATCCTAAACACACACTCTCTATCCCTCCCTCTCTCTATCTAAACCTCCCTCTATCTATCCCTCCCTCTATCTATCCCTCTCTCTATCTATCCCTCCCTCTCCCTATCCCTCCCTCTCCCTCCCTCTCCCTCCCTCTCCCTCTCTCTCCCTCTCTCTCCCTCTCTCTCCCTCTCCCTCCCTCTCCCTCTCTCTCCCTCTCCCTCCCTCTCTCTCTCCCTCCCTCCCTCTCTCTCTCTCTCTCTCTCCCTCCCTCCCTCTCTCTCTCTCTCCCTCCCTCCCTCCCTCTCTCTCTCTCTCCCTCCCTCTCTCTCTCTCTCCCTCCCTCTCCCTCCCTCCCTCCCTCTCTCCCTCTCTCCCTCCCTCTCCCTCCCTCCCTCTCCCTCTCCCTCTCTCCCTCCCTCTCCCTCCCTCCCTCTCCCTCCCTCCCTCCCTCTCTCCCTCCCTCCCTCTCTCCCTCCCTCCCTCCCTCCCTCTCTCTCTCCCTCCCTCCCTCTCTCCCTCCCTCCCTCTCTCCCTCCCTCTCTCCCTCCCTCCCTCTCTCCCTCCCTCCCTCTCTCCCTCCCTCTCCTCCCTCTCTCCCTCCCTCTCCCTCCCTCTCTCTCTCTCTCTCCCTCCCTCTCTCTCTCTCCCTCCCTCCCTCTCTCTCTCCCTCCCTCTCTCTCTCTCCCTCCCTCCCTCTCTCTCTCTCTCCCCCCTCTCTCTCTATCCCCCCTCCCTCTCTCTCTCCCCCCCTCCCTCTCTCTCTCTCTCCCCCCCTCCCTCTCTCTCTCTCTTCTTTCAAAAACTAAATTCAGAATACACCGACACTTTTAATAGGCAATGATGCAAGATGGATATATGTCTAAGTGCAATGCCTCAGCGCCATGTGACAGGACAGCCACGGCAGGCAGGCAGTCTCACAACGGAAGTTATAGGGCAGAGCTGTCTCAGCCTCAAACGTCACACATGCACCCACGAACCGTTGGCTGAACGTCTGATGCAGATATGGCACACAAAATTGGAAACACTTCAGGAGTTTCGAAGTCGTCATCTGATTGGTTAAATTCTACAAGATTTTCAACAGGAATTCTAACGGTCCACCTGAAACAAACCTGCTGTGATGCCAAACCTCCTCATGGAGGAAGAAAGCTGTCGGGTTTACAACTGTGGCAATGAGCGCTTATCAGGATCAACTAAATGCTGGATTTTCAAATTATGTGAAGTTTGCGGCATAGACTCTTTAAAATACGTACAAGAGTTTTACATGCCAATCTGTTATTGTAGGGACATTGACATTACACATCCCTAAACATGAGGCTGAACAAAACGAACTGTGAGTCAGTAAGGTCTGGCTACGCGAGACAGAGCAGACCTGACAATCATCTAACCCGTCCCCATCCATAACCCTTACTTCACTACAACAACTATAAGCTCCATCCATCCCTAGCAAATGCACTAACCTTAATGAGGCTATCTCCACCTTAACTTCCGGTCTGAGACAGTTGGCCTAATGCAGCTGTCTTGAAACTGCCGTGACGTGTGGTTCTCTGGGTTCAGTAGTTCAATATTTTGGGAAAGATCTCAGATTTGCAGTCAGATTGTGCAGTACCAGTAGGGCTTAATTGGGTCATATACTGTCCAGCAAGACCTTGGTTTATATATCACAATAAAGTATGACCAACCTCTCAGAGCAGTCAAATATGCCTCTCTACATAATTAATCGCCTTAATCTGATTATACTTATTTTTTACTGGTGAAAGGTGAGATCAGAATGTCTATTGCCAGAATGATAAGGCAACACTGGTGAGGGTGCAGAGTGCGACTGAAGAGTCAGTCAGGAGAGACTAGTAACTCTAAATATAAAAAATAAAGATCTACACAAATATTTATCTTCACATCTTTTGTTTACTACATAGTTAAAATGTTGTATGTCTGCGTGTGACTTTAGTCTGGATTTCTCTCGTTCATGATGCAAACACATGAGTAAGGATAGATACTCTTTATTCTTAATTTTTCATATCTTTTAACATGGTTGCAACCAGGGTTTTACAGTTGTTGTTGTTTATTTAAAATCCTATTCAGAAACCAGAGAATAAAACTAGTGAATAAAATAACGATTGTCCAATAAAATTATAAGGTGTCGGAAGAATATGACCAAATGCATGGCACTCACACAGTCTTGGCAAGTCATTTAGATAAAAATAGTCGAGTGAAACTTGAATCTTGTGACCTATGTGTAGAATGGCTTGTGCAAGGCCTAATGGGGGGGGGGGGGGGGGGGGGGGGGGGGGGGGGGGGGGGGGGGGGGGGGGCCATAACCAGGCACAATGATATTAAACTATGATATCTCATCAAATCACCAGGCTATAGGCTATTTGAGATTTGTCTGATTTTCTATCAACACACAGCTGCACTTAATCTTCTAGAGAAACTGGTATTTCATGTCACCATTACACAATATTAATTTTTTGATAGATAGATAGATAGATAGATAGATAGATAGATAGATAGATAGATAGATAGATAGATAGATAGATAGCCTATATTTATAAATTTGAATATTTTACTGAATATAGGCTGTGCAAGAACATAAGTTTAGAAGTGTTGTGCTTCCTCTTACAGGTGTGACAGAAGAGGAGGCATTATACAGACTGACTGAAGCTGGATTATGACATTTTGATTTATGACACAATCGTATAGAAAACATTAGCATGTTGTTATCAATAATTCTTTCAAAAATCGTAATAAAGTGTCAGAGGAACACGTTGGTTTTCGCGCGAGACCTATGTTTTTACAGTCTATCCGCGAGACATAAGCGCTAGCGCTGACTCCCAATTAATCACGCGAGAATGAAGATAGAACTCGCGGATTGGTCGCTTGAAGACCAATTAAATCCAGGCTGAGTCCTTTCTGACAGAGAATCGGGATAAAAAGTTTGAGGTGGCCGCTCAAGTAGCTCAAAGTTTGGTGAGTTGGAGGGAGGGGGTTAAATCCAGAGAGAGAAGATGAGCGACACAGAGGCGTCTGAGCAACCTCAGCCCGAGAGAAAAGTCATCGGTAGGGGTTCAGTGGCTTTGGCGACAATAATACATTTATTTAATACACATTACAAATCGTAATAATGAACACGTCATGTTTATGGAATGAGACGCGACTGACAGGCTTTAGAATTCAGAAAAATTAGCTTTTCATATTGATCAGCTGTTTATTCTGAGCTTGTGTTTTGCTTGAACTTTCGACAGTAGGCTATCGTTTTTCATAAAATTGTTTTATTTTTGAGGCGTAGCCTACGGAAATAGTTTATTTCACACTTGCGAATTTGCATGAATACTATCGATAAATGTCGATACTTTTTAGCACATGGTTCCTCTTTGGGACTCCCGAGTTACTCTTCACTGGGCGGTCTGATCCTCTCGTTAGTCGTTGGGATTTAATATTCTGTTTCTGTAACTACACAAAGAGAAATTGTAGTATGTCTGGTATGATCTAAAGTTGGTCATATTTGAAGCAGGTTCAGCGTTTGGCTGTTTACACAGTGAAAGTGCGTTGACTTACATTTCTGCGCGCTGTTACCATGTGCTTTATGTGGGAGGGATTTAACTGCAGGTGTGTTGCATGTCGTTAGGTAAAAGCTTTACATTATTAGCCATACTTTACAATGTTTCGCCTAGATCTAGTGAGAACTCATCGAGCCAAAAACTCGTGTTTTCGTCTCCCTTTATGTCTGACCAGTGTCTGGACGAATTAAGTGGTTGAAAGGTTTCAAAGTTTATAGTTAATAATTCTCACACGTTGCCCACAGTGTTCCAATGAGTCTGTTTACCGGGCTTTGCTTGAGCATACGAATCCTGTCAGAACACACCAACCACTCAAAATAACTAAATAGATGGTGATGCATTATTTTTATGATCTGTTGCAGCAACAGGTGTGCAAGGAACTGTGAAATGGTTCAATGTGCGCAATGGATATGGCTTTATCAATAGGTAGGTTCATAATGCTGAAAGGACTCCTCACTGGTCAGATTAACTGTATGCACAAATACACAGTCTGCTGGATCAAATACGGTGGGGTCCAAACGTCTGAGACCACTAGTGCAGGCATTTGACATTTATTTTAAATTCTAAAACGTTATTTCCAGGTTTAAAGAATGAAAGCCCAGATTTCAAAGTGATCTCAGGTTTCTGGACCCCCTCTATGTATAATTGTATAGCAAGCATTTGAATTATCAGGTTGTTGTTTTTTCTTTTTCTTCACAATATCAAATATGTTGTCTTAGTCTGTTTAAAATTTAATTCCCTTTTTGTTCCACAGAAATGATACTAAAGAAGATGTATTTGTTCATCAGGTAATGTTTACTTTATAAATGCATTGCAACCTTTAAAGTTAATTTTATATATTTTTTGGTGGAGTAATGCCACTAGTCTGTCTTCTGAACAGATGAATGGCTAAGATGTTAAATGCAAACATGACATTCTTGCCTAGTAAGTTTAAATGACATTTACAAAAAAGAAAACATACCAATATGCATCACCTATACAGAAATCCTGGATTTCAAGTGCTCCTAAGATATCAACATTAATTTTGAAATGGTTTGACTTGACAACTTCACCCATCCATCACTGATTGAAAATAAATTTTATGCTAAGGATGTGCCTTTTCCCTTTGAGCAGACAGCAATAAAAAAGAATAACCCAAGAAAGTTCCTTAGAAGCGTGGGGGATGGTGAGGTTGTCGAGTTTGACGTTGTCGAAGCAGCTAAAGTAAGTGGTTCTGCATCAATCAAAATATTGTTATAGGGATATAGTGAGTTTTATTGCTCAATTTTTCACTCTAAAACTAAGCATTTGCTTTAGGGCTCAGAGGCAGCGAATGTGACCGGTCCAGGGGGTGTACCAGTCAAAGGCAGCCGATACGCCCCCAATAAACGCAGATTTCGTAGGCGCTTTTACCCTCGCAATGCACGTCCTGCTGAAGGAGAGGAGAAAGCTGGAGAAGCTGGGGATGCTCCAACTGATCCCACAACTGAGGGAGAGGGTAGCGAAGAGAAAGGAGCCCCTCGGCCACGTCCTCGGCGCCAGCGTCCACGCAAGAGACCTGTTCCACCACAAGGCGAGGTGAAGTCATTTGAATGCTTTTTATCTGAAGGTCTGCCCTACCTTAGATTAACTGTATTTTTTAAACATTGATAGTGAATTTTATAGGCCCTGGTGACATTTCATAGAGTACATGAGCTAGATTGTGTTCAATATTCAACATATTAAGCCTTTAAACTTTAGGTCATTTTGTTTATTACTGCACACAACTGGTCAGTGAGTTTTGCAGTTTTCTGTCTCCGCTCTAGGGAGAAACAGCCGAGAAGAATGAGGAAGTAGATGGTGCCCAGCAGAGGCCGCCACCTCGCAGGTTCAGACCTCGATTTCGAAGGTTCATATCACCTCTTGGGGCCGTATCATACTTGGGGCCGTATGTATAAAGCTGCTCAGAGTAAAATTCATTCTTAGAGTCAAATTTTAGTCTGCGTGTCAATATTCTAAGTCCAATTCGTAAAGGCTCATGTGTTAAGAATTGGTCTCAGCTCCTAAATTATTTAAGAGTGCTGGAGAGGTATCCTAACCTTGGAGTAACAAGATTGCAGCGTAGAGGAAGAGACTGCACACTTTCCAACAAATAATGCATTAGTTATATGATGACAGGGAGTTGATAAATCAATACAGGCTTGATCGTAAAGGTATTCTTTTTGTAACTGACGTTGTAAGAAATGTATACTTCTAATAACGTCTCCCACTCAACAAGTCAATGCTCTGACAGCAGTAATGAAAGTAATACTGACTTTTTTTGGCTACTGGAAAAATGCAACAGTGCATTGGTGATGACTTGGGCCTATCAGTCCACAGTAAGCAGGGTCTGAAATGGCACTGATGTGGCACTAACCACACCAAACATACAGTTGTGGCCAAAAGTGATGTAAGGTCATTAAAACCAAAAACCTCTGGACAAGTTCGCTTAAACCATCAAAATATGAGTTTATATATATATATATATCTCAATTATACATTTTTATTTTAAAACATGAAGGAAGAACAAAACCCTAAACTTAGTGAAGGTATTTTTCTGACAAAATTATTTGTCAAAAGGTCAACTACAGCTACAGGTTTTAGAAAAACAAAAAAGCTCACAGCAAAAAGAATACATTGACAACATAATCCGTTAATGTCACTGATTCTCTCTTATTTTAGCAGGCGTTCATAATTTCTTTGCATGATTTGGGATGTTTCATTGCTTTTTCACAAATATAACAATTAACTCCAAGCACAACTACTCAATAAGCGTACAATCTTTAACACATTTTTAATAATATTTGGATAAAGGGTGAAGATGTAAATTTTCCAACACTTTTTGGCCTCTACTGTATGGCAGTTCATTGACTTTCCAACTGATCTTCAAACCATGTGGCAAAAGCAAGCCACTTTTGAGGATTGCAAGCTTCCCTGGAGTTTGTTGGAGGCGCTGATGGAACTCCTGTTCACATCATTGCTCAAACTGTAAATTAGACATGCATCAATAAAAAAGGATTCCACAGCATTAATACTAATTCGTGCAAAGCAATTTAAAATATATATATATATTAAAGTTCCAGTGTCTTAATAAATTGATTTTATTATAATTGCATGAAATGGTGTCATGCTGCTGTGACTTCACCCTTCCAGCCTCACTATTGGCTGATTCAGAGGTTGAGGGTGGCCATTTTGGGTTGACATCATTGTTGTCCTTAGTTCACAACACTTAAGTGCCACTTCAGTTAACACTTAAGAATTAGTCTTAGACTTTACTGAAAGTTGCTATTAGCTTCTTTATAAACGTCTCTTACTCTTAGACAAGTCCTACTTTTTACTAAGCATTCTGACACTTAAGTCAAAGCTTAAGACTCGATTCTTAAGAGCATTTCTGGGAAGTTTTATACATCCGGGCTCTGATTAGAGACTGGAAATGGACAGTGTTTTCTTGAGTCAAAGTCACAGTGGTGGTCATTTGAATGGAAATAAGGAGTAGGGTCAAATATTAAAATGCCCTAAATTTTGAAGTGTATTTAAGGCTGGAAAAAGTCTTGAGAAATATTTACTCTTGAATACAATTTTATTTATTTTATTTAATTTATAATGCCTGTTTGACCAGCTCTAATCACCATTTCTAAATGTGTTCTGGTAAATTTTTGCTTTTTGGTAACGGAATTAAATCAACACTGAACTGACTCCAGCTGAATAATGACATTGTCTTTTGTAGAGCTGCTTATAGCTGAATTGAACTATTTTCATTATTGATGAACTTTACCCACTGAACTGACTTTCAGCAGAATTTCTCATATTTGATGAAGTTTGCATCATTGAATGTTATTTTCCTGTTTGTTACTGTGAAGTGCTATATAAATAATATATAAATAAAGGTGACTTGACTATTAATTTGCATGATTCCTTCAGAGGTCTTCAATTTCATTGCCTTAAACATGCAAGAGAGCCTGTGCTTGTTTATTGTATTTTATGCAAATGCAAAATTCTCTTCTGTGATGCCTAGGCCGTTCCAGCCCCGGCCACCCCCTGGAGAGGCTCAACAGACGGTAGCCCCTGCAGAAGAGCAAGAGTCACCCCCTAAAGAGGACCAGACCAATGGGGAGCAGACAGATGAGCAGTCCCGGAAACCCTGCAGACAGTTCAGTCGGCGCAGACAGAGGAAATCTGAATCCGGTACCTCTAAAGTAAGTGGTTTCCAGAAAAACGCACGACTGAAGTGATTTAGTTGAACTTGACAATATTAGCTTTGTCCTCGCTGCCTGACTTGAGTTATATTAACGTTAGCTGCCACAATTCTGAAACGGGGCTATTTTCTCTGGACATGCAAATAATCTGATATATATTAGTCAAAAATATTTTGACTTTAAAACAAGGCATCTTAGCCTAATATAGCTCTGTCCCACAACTGTGTTCAGCTAGGTTGTATAAATATCTGGCTTGTCATTGTTTAGGATGGAGACGAACCTGAAAAACCTGAGTCCCCAGCTCGGGACTCCAAGCCTGCTAATGTCAAATCCTCTTCTGAAACGTCCCCTAAAAATGAGGTGAGTGGTAAAAAAGCAAACAACTAAAGACATGCATATACAAATGCCATAGATGTGCTCTAACACCTGTTTTTTTCTCTTTGTAGGCACCTGTCCCTACAGCTTCCAAGCCCTCAGAATGATTTCTGTGACCTGGAGGAAGTCATGTGACCCTGGCAAGAGGTGGGACTTCCAGAGCTAAACTGATTTTAAAGGTGGTAAAGCGTTTCGGCCATCAAACTACAACTGCTGTTAAAATGCATAAAATGTTGTCAGCTTGCAAAATTAAGCAGCAGCCACTTCATATTCTAAAATGCTTATTTCAGGTTTTTCTTGCATTTTTAAAAAGTTGAGAAGTTAATTGGTTTTAATTTGCAAAGACAATCCGTGTATCATTCGTTCATTCCTTTTTTGATTTAACTAAAAATCAAGCTGAAATATTTTTATATTCAGATGTAGAAAATTAATAAACTGCTTGAATATTCGATCTCTATATGTGGGCAGGAATGAAATGCACCTTTCCGCTGTTGGGTTTACCAAAGATCAAACCGTGTCGTCATCAGTGTTTCCTTAGTTACGTGCAACAGAATAATATTCATCCACTGCTTCAGTTGGATGAATTCTTAAAGTATTTATTGCAACTACATTTCATCTTTCTCATCAAACAACCAGACTAATAAATGCCACAACACAAATTCAACAATAAATTGTTTCGTCAATTGGGTGTGGCAAAAAAATCATAAATAAAATGAATAAAGAAATAAATGATTAAATTGTAAGCCCAATCTATTTAAATACTAATACAAAAAATAAAATGCATTGAAATGGGTATATTATAGGCCTACATTATTTGTCCTGACGTTCATGCAAGTTATTGTTCTCACTGTTATTCTGACTGTCTGACAACCAGAGCACAACAGAATGCACAAACTGCTGTGCACTCGCATAGATGTACACAGGATTGCAACGCTATGATTTTCGCTTGTTTACATTTTCGGTTTGTTTCTCACCAAACACTACCTTTAGAACACGACTTGCATCAGATTATTTTGACACGTTTGCATCTGTAAAAGTTAATGAAAGTCACCGTTCTCTGCCATTTTTAAATGGGCAAGCGTAAGCAGCACATTTTTATTTCTTCAAGAAGGTAATTAGGCTTTGGAACAGATTCAAGGTGAGTATTGTCCTAGTTCAGTTTATTTACCCCCCTAACTTAATTGAACTAAGCAGGTAAATGCACCTACATTGTAGTGAAGTGCAAACCAATATTGATTTAAATGTAAATATGCAGCAGTCACAGCTTTTTGTTTTAGCTGAGATTTTTATTAATATTGATGATCAATTGATGTCACAGAAAACTTGCGTTTTATTTTCTCTGCCATCTAAGCTTCAAAAGCGTTTCCACTACCAAAGTCAGAACTGTTGTGCATTCACAACACTACTCCGTGCTGTCCAGTGCATTGTGCAGCTTAACTACATGGTTTTTGACAGTTGGTCAGTTAAATAAAAGGGGTGGTGTGCCAAAGTAGTAGGCTAATGGTTAATGTATGGAGGCAGATGCAAGGTACGTTCATATTTCTGAAATAAACGCCTATAATAGCCTATTTCTCTGGCATGCTTGAACCATGACCTGGTCTATACAGTGACAGAAGAAATCCCTGTCTAGGTGAAGTACGGTTTGTGTAAAGCCATTCGTTAGTCTAGTTGTTTGATGAGAAAGAGATGAAATGTTGCGATAAACGCTTAAGAATTCGTACACATTCGTTTAATTTTAGCTTTGCACCGTTTTATATGCAAGTTCAGCATATGTCTGAATGTTTACTATAACTGTTATCTTCCACTGTCCTTTGTTGCCCTTGGGTTAGGGTTTTTCTTTCAGGCCTCACATTTTGTTGTTCTTGTGTCACTGCATAGGTTCCAAGATGGGTTAGTTTGTGGGGTTGAACCTCGCCTGTCTCGTCAAACATCTTGCCCCTCGCTTCTACGTCATTGTCCCTCCCCCAAACTGATCCACTGCTTGTGGTCTGGACCCTTCATCTGTCAGGGAGAGCGAAAGAGGGATGGATGGAAAGGCAGGAGCTGGTGGGGAAGGGAGGGTTGGGTTGATGCATACTTGGCCATTTAAAAGTAAATAGCAAAAAAAAAAAACCTGCTCTAAAAGCCCATTATATTTCCCCTTAATAGTTTTGTTCTGTACTATGGGTGATGAGCAGTAGAGAAAATGTGACCAGTTCGGCTACTTTAAGTTCATCAAAGAGAGGAAATGCCATCCAGTGTGATGAGCACAGACTCTTCTCTTACTTGTAACTTGATAAAAGGGGAAAACATGCATCCAATCAAAATTCAATTTGGTTTAAAAATTGTCCCTTTTTCTTTTATTTTGGTATGTACTTTACTTTGGTGGGGATTTTGTGCAATGCCAGTAAAGTAAATAAATTATTTGCTGACTTTCCTCCTGACTCTTCTTTTTTTTTCTTTTTTTTTTTTTTTGAGTAGGTCATACTTGACAGACACAAGCTTACTTAATCCATTTATCCATGTTCTGTTGGGCCAAACCTTGTTGAAAAGCTGGTCACACTTCCTGTGCTTGTAAATGTACAGTTGGTTTGTCAGAACAAAAACATGTTTTATTCCATCATATAAATAAGTTAATTACACCTCAGAATGTGGCATATAGTAACAATATAAGTGAACATATAAGGAATATAGGTCAGCTTTTTTTCACTCATCAAACGGCACACATCTTACATTTAATTTCTCAGTGAAACTTTTTTTTTATATATAATATAGTGAATAAGAAGTGTTCTCTATATATTAAGCACAAACAATTTCCTATATACTTCCTATGAAGTTATACATGTCTGAAATTACAAAATGTGCATGTTTTGATGTTTGATTCTGTCATTAAAATATTGAAGGTTTGACATAACTAGTTTCTCTAATGTGTGTTGAGGATAATGTATGATAAAAGCATTAAATATCTACTGGTAAAATTTTTGCTTTATGCAAAAACTTTGAAAGTATTTGACAGTTTGTTACTAATCAGTATTAGAATGTTTCAAGGACCCTTTTCACAGACTGTAATGATGCGTTTCTGCAGTTATCAACATCGCAAATCTAGTAAAGATTATTTTATTGAATACACATAATGCTATACTTTCTGTTATATTATCTTGGTTGACAGTAAATGACAAAAAAATAATCAACGCTGCTGCGAGGGAGTGGCAGCTATTTTCACATCTTATTCTCTTCTGACTGCTGTAATCAATCTCTGTATATTTTTCCCTCTTTTGGAAAGTTATGAAAATGCTGTCACAGATGTTTTTGCCTTTGCTATTAGAGCAGATAGAAATACAAAATTATATTTGCTGTTGTCTCCCATTCACTGATATACAAGTTTACCCAACTATGAAGACTTCCGCTTCTCAAAACCCCGGAAATGTGAAAAGGGTCCATTATCCTAATATAACACTAAAATGAAAAGAACAGTCTATGAGCTACTAGTTGTATGCAAAAGCATAGCTGGCTTTGTGGTGTATGGAAACCTTTGTGCAGTTAAAGTGCAGAGTTCCAAATCTCAAGTCTTGCTCCTTTTCATACAACATTGCACTTTCTCCCTAAGTCCAACATCCTTCTTTATAATACTTAATTTCCAAAGACCACATAGTCTCTTCTGAGTAATGTCTTTTTGGTATGCATTTTCCTCTCCAAGCCACAAAGAATGGTAAATTGTGGTGATTCTGGCCCCCATCCACAATCTCTCTCGTTCTCAGGCTTCAGTTCTCTGTCCCATCAGATCCTAGATAGTCTAGCTCTGTACTGTGTTTCCCTTGATCCATGTCTAGGTCCATGTCCATCATGTTTTGTGGATGACCATGGAAGGTGGCTGAGATTTGGTCAAAAGTCTTGCCTCGTGTCTCAGGAACTCGGAAGAATGTGAAGACCAGAAAGAAAAGAAGGAGCACAGCGAAGATCAGGAAAACGTATGGACCACATAGGTTCTGTGGTAAGGAGAGATTGAGTTTGATAGATTTAAGACACATTTGATATATTGGAATATTGAAATCCAGAATAAAACAATGTTTCCTCTGCACTTACAGCAACATACGGGAAGCCCATGCCAATGATGAAGTTGGCAGTCCAGTTGGAGCAGCCAGCTACTGCCATGGCTGCTGGTCTGGGACCTTGCGAGAAGAGTTCAGCCACAAAGAACCAAGGGATCGGACCTGGCCCTACCTCAAAGAAGGCCACAAAACCAAAAATGGCCATCATGCTAATGTAGCTCATTGATGGCACAGTCTCCTGTCAATGAACAAAGAAAAAAATAGTTAATGATCCATCACCTTTGCTAAAGCAGAGAGTTGTTTTTTACAGTTATACCTTCTTATCTGTCTATATGTTACAAAACAACAGTTCATACTTTGTCATTTTCCACATTTTAAAGATTCAAGTTGGGACCCGACATTAAAAAGTGATGATAATTTTAATAGGATTCACTGACAAGGAAAAATGCTAAACAAATGTATTTGAGCATTTTACAACCAGCCTTCTGACTTTGTCAAGTGATTTTCTCTAAATTAAGAGTACTTTTTCCATTTTTAAACTATTTTTATGCAAATAGTTAAAAGGGAAATCTACGAAGTTAAAAAAATATATATTTGCCATATATTTTGCCATCCTTTTCCTGATAAGTATTTTGGGCTGACCAGTAATGTGAGGGCAATTGTCATGATGATGGCACAGATACACATTCCAGCAAGTCCAAGCATGTGGAGTGTCCGGCGACCCATCCGCTCGACCAGGAAGACCTGTAGATTGAACAAGTGAGCAATAGACAATGAGCGACGTCAGTAATCGGCATCACATGATAAACATGTATTTGTACTTTGGCTTGGTTTATGCTAATAATGTGGTTCATATTGTTTGATTTTTTTTAAATTTAATAGTATATATTAATTATTAAAAAACAAATTATAACATACCGAGACTATAGTGAAAGCACAATTGACAACTCCAGCACCTATGGTGGCATAAACCGGACTCTCCACCCCAGCCTTCTTGAAGATGTCAGTAGAATAATAGAAGATCTGAGCAGTGGAATGCAAGAGCAATTGTGAGAATTGGTTCAAAAACATCTCGCACACAAATTCAGTTTGTTTCGGTTTACTGTTCTAAAAAAAACAAACATCTTTACTGCCATAAATGAAAATGTATTAAAAGTCTTCTTTTCCCTTAATGGTGATAAATGATTACATTTAAACATCAATCGTTTAGCTCAACACTTTATTTTTTTGCGCCACCATATTACGAAGGGTCAGTTACATTTACATTAAGTAATTTAAAAAAAATAATTCAGGTAATGGGGCAAAGGTAGCCTACTATGACACTATTTTCTTCTAGATTTGCTGTACAGCAGAAAGAAACTTTGTAGCATTATTTTCCTGTTATCACTGTAAAGCTGCTTTGAAACAATTTGTATAGTAAAAAGTGCTATAAATAAAGTGACTTGACAACTGCAGCACTCACAGCATTAACTCCTGACAGCTGCTGAGAGAGCTGCAGCATGATAGAGATGATAATGGGCTGCCGGTACAGAGGAGAGCGGAAGAGCTCAGGAATGGACACTTTCCTCTCCATGTCCATCCTCCTCTTTTCCTCCTTCATCTCAGCCAAGTCATCACTGACCTCCAGACGGCCAGTCAGACGCCGCAAAGCTGAAGAAGAGAGGAAATAAGCTGAAGTGCTCATTGGTTAGAGTGTATTTAGTTTACCATTTAAAAATTCTTAAATTATAATAAAGTTTGTTTGGTATTCATATTTATTAATTGGGGTACATTTATGCAGGAAAAACCATATGGTATGAAAGTTGATTAACATTTTATGTAAAATATGCAGTATTGTTTTATGGGGACATTAATGCACCAAACTGTAGAAATGACCCATGACTCCTCACCGCTTTTTGCATGGTGCTCTTGGCAGCGGATGATATAGAGGAAGCGCGGGCTCTCCGGACAGAAAGGCAACAGCGTCATCTGCAGGATTGTAGGTAGAACTGTAACACCCAGCAAAACCGGCCACAGCTGCTCATTGCCCAACAGAGACTCCAGCCCTAAGATCTGAAGAGAAGATCATGACATTGATAATGAGAAATGAGTGAAAAATAAAAAATATTGAAAATGAAATAATAAAGGACTGGAGACCAGTCACAGTAGTTATGAGCTCAAAAGAAAATTGAAAATTAATATCAAGGGGAAAAAACAGAATGATTGAACTTAAGAACTTAAGTTTACTGTACCTGGGCGATAAGAATGCCTGTGACGATGGCCAGCTGGTGCAGGGTGCCCAGAGCTCCTCTTAGACTGGTAGGGGCAATCTCACCCACATACATTGGCACCAATCCTGATGCCAACCCTTATGAAGAAAAATTTGATATTTGATATTGCGGTCATTTCTCAAATGTGTGTACGTGTGATTCAGAGAACGAACGGCCAAAAAACGCAGGTACACCTCTCTTTCAGATGTAAAATCTGTAAATCGCATATGTTTTTGAAATTGTGCAGAGCTGAATGGTTTCAGATCTCCACCTTTTAAACGCCACCTAGGTAATAACATTTAAAAGAGTACCAGTCAAAAAACGTCCAAATCCTTTACTTAAGAATGGCGAGCGGCAAGAATTGCTTAGATTTCCAAATATACCTGCAGTACTCCAACTCTCTGACACAAGGAAAAGTGTGTACGTTTGCTTAGGGGGTCAGAGGTCACTCTTCAGCCGGAACTAGGCTCGCATACGGCCGTTACCGGAAGCCAGTGATCATAGTTTATAAAGTTATAAATGTGGATATTTTTCTTACAAAAAAACGCATTACTTTGCTTCAGAAAGCCTTTTTTAACCCCCTGGAGCAACAGTTAAAAAGGGGTGGACCGCGGCCAACTAGGGGGCCTCAGTGATCCTCCAGGGGGGCCGCGAGATAACTTTAAATGTATTTAAATATAATATAATTAATTCATTTTATTATTAATACCTTACATACAAAAATAACAAAGCACCACCTCTCACGTACGTATTCTGTGATTGTTTCTGAGCAGCCCAAGCCATTTCTCATCGCGCTGTGTGAAATAAAGATTGTGTGACACCCAACACCCAACCGCTTCATGAACTACATTTTATTATTTAAGTTTATTTAGATAGGGACAGATACAAATAACATAGATGCACTTTGACAGTAATCTGATGCATGTATCATAATGTTTTGTGTAGCTATATGTAGCTATAGCTAATTTACAACACTTGTCCCTAGAAGAGCTTTTTTGGTTAAATGTAATACAAAGATAAAAATGTAGTACAATGGAAAATAATAAAGTAGGATTAAAAAAAAAAAAATAGTATGCAGAAAGGGCAGTCAAAAAGACTAAATATGAGAACAACACTGTTCCTGAATTAACCACAATTTGTTTTGTTTTTTGAAGATGTCTAATGTCGGGATACATTTCAGATGATCTGGCAGAGAATTCCATAATTTTGCCCCTTTCACTGAAACAGCAGCCTGAGCAAATGATGTTCTACAGAAAGGGATGTTACAGTTAAAGGCAGGGTAGGTAAAAATCCCCAAAAATACTTTTTTCCAAATTTGTTTAAACTGTCTTTATATATCAATGCATAATTAAAATGTAAGTAATCTGGAAAAGAAATTATAAAAATCGAGTGTCTGTAGTCCTCTCAGGACTGCAATAAACACAGCTCATTATTCCATTAACTCCCACCCCCTCCCTTCTCGGCTCCTTCCAAAGCCACGCCCCCAAAACACATGAACGCGCGATTTTCAGCCCCTTGAGATCCCTCAGTTGTCGCCACCGCTGGAAAGCCACGCCGATATTGACTCTCGTATGATTTCTTGATTTATCCAAAGAATTTTTGTTCATAGCCTTTTCAAATACTGTCTTCCTTTTTTTAGCTTGTTTGACTTTGCTGCCTGTATATGCAGGTACTGAGAATTTTGACTGTTCTTTGTCTGCCGTAATTGTTATTACTAGCTTCCGTGCCTCTTCAAACGGGTGCGCGCATTTGGGCTGCTCCTGTATCAGCAGAGGTGGTATCCATGGTAGCGAGGGAGAGTGACAGTCGCCCCAGCCAATATTTTCTTTCGCCCCGAATGGAATAATGAGCTGTGTTTATTGCAGTCCTGAGAGGACTACAGACACTCGATTTTTATAATTTCTTTTCCAGATTACTTACATTTTAATTATGCATTGATATATAAAGACAGTTTAAACAAATTTGGTAAAAAAGTGTTTTTGGGGATTTTTACCTACCCTGCCTTTAACTTTAAAAGCAGATCTGGTCGGTCTAGTACTTTGCTGTCTTGTTATTATTTTGCAAAGCGGTAGTGGAGCAGCATCATTTAAACATTTGAAGACCAGTTTAACCAGATGCAGAGAAATACAATTAACAAAACTTAAAATCTTATATTTACTTTGAATTTGGCAGTGATGGTACCTTATTCTCTTCTTATCCAAAACTTTCAAGGCTCTGTTGTAAAGACACTCTATAGTTTTGACTGATGACTGATGAGCTTGAGACCATGTGGTTAAGCCATAAGATATATGTGAAAGAATCATAGAATAAAAAAAAGTAAAAGCACAGTCAAGAGTCAGACAGTTTCTTATCAACATAAAACAGCTCAAATTGGCCCTAATGGTTTTACAAATTTTCTTGATATGACTTTTAAAATTCAACTGATAATCTATATTTATTCCGAGATACTTCACTTCAGGTACTTGTTCAATAATTTCACCATTAATTTTTATGTTCAAGAGTTGTGTTGGGGGTAGTTTTTGAAAAGAAAAGCAGACAGAGTTTGTTTTTTTGATATTTAAAGTTAAACGAGATGAGGCCAGCCAAGATGATATTCTTTCTAAATTAGCATTAAGTTTGTCAGCCACAGAAATACAGGTATCAGCAGATGCATACACCACTGTGTCATCTGCATACATCAGTAGACCTATATCTGGACATACTACATCCGGCAAGTCATTAATATATAAACTGAAGAGTATGGGTCCCAAGACCGTGCCCTGAGGAATGCCTGTTTTAATTTTAAGAAAAGTGGATCTCACACTATTAATCATAACACACTGTTCACGGCCCTTTAGATATGATTCAAACCAGGACAATGATTTTTTGGATAAATGAACTTGGCTAATTTTGAAATTAATATGTTGTGATTTACTGTATCGAATGCTTTTTTTAAATCTAGGAATACAGCACCAGCTACATTTCCCTGGTCAAGTGATTGTTTGATATTTTCAGTTAATAGACAGATTGCAGATTCTGTGGAATGGTTGTTCCTGAATCCAAATTGTGGAGGACTCAGATATTGGTTTGTCTCAAGGTGGTGCATGAGTTGTTCTGAAACAATCTTCTCTAAAACTTTAGACAAAGCTGGAAGAATACTGATAGGTCTATAATTACAACATTTCTCAGTTGGATAAAGAAACCAGTGTCGCTAATAAAGTTTTGATGGATGACGATTGAAATGAAGGTAAAGACGATTACAGTGACATACAGGAGTTGAACATTGGGAATGCGCGAGTCAGATATTGATGTAGAAAAAAAACGTGTATGTGCACTCTCGGCTCACTTATCGCTATAACGATGTATTTCTACATTAACACAGGTCAATATATTCACATAGTTGTCAAAATGAATGTACTGTCTGTAAGTGTTTTATGCTCGCCGAAGAAGCGTGTTTTGGAGAAGTTTGTGAGGATCCGTGGGCATCTGACGCTCCAAACATAGGCACTTGCTTGTTCTGACAGAGGAACTGTCCACTGATGACATCGACCTGCCTTCAGATTGGTGAGTTTCCACACATTCAGAATGTTTTTATTTTTAATTTGTATTTTTGGTGTGTTTAATAATTCTGTATAGTGGTCTTGTTTGTTATGGCAGGTTGATTTGTGCTTATTTGTTTAATTATTGTATGACTGAGCAAAGTAAGTATTTTTAAGTTGTAAAGAATGTGTGCAGTGATATTTTTGCAAAGTATGTTTGCAGTATTGATTCAAAGAGGAGGGGGGCCTTGGAGTAAAAAAGGTTAAGAACTGACTGCCCTGGAGCTGTATGGAGTACTTTTATGATGGATGGATGTTCTTTTTTGGGCATCAATATCTATAGGGTACCATTCACTCCCATTTTAAAGCTTGGAAGAGCCAGGATATTTTTAAATATAACTCAGATTGTGTTTGGCTAAAAGAAAATGGAGTCATTTTCACCTAGGATGGCTAGCTCGAGGGTGAGTAAACGTTTAATTTTTTGGGTGAACTAACCCTTAAAATACCCCTAGTTGTAATTTAGTTTTGACTAGTCAAAATTCCAATTCCAGATATCTATGCTGCAATTTTGACTTGTTGTTAATTGGATTTAAGATATCTACAATGTGATTAAGACTAGTCATAAAATGTATTCGAGATTTCTACAGTGCTATTTTGACTAGTCATATTCTCCAATTGACTTCCATTGAAAAATATTTTCTGATATCTAGAGTTTTAAAGTTTTTACTAGAAGAAATTGTAATTAAAGATATCTAAATTGATTTTGTATAAGGCATAATTCTAATTAAATATATCTCAAATGACAATTTCACTAGAAATAATTAAATTAGAGATATCTCTTATTGAATTACCACTAGTAATAATTATAATTTGAAATATCTCTAACTGGTGTTTGACTTGTCATAATTCAAATTTAATATATATGTAATTCATCATCTTTAAATATATCCAAAATACTGACAATTGAAAATAGAAAGTAATGTATTTCTAGTTGTTACGATGGTGGTTGAAGCAGGGAGAAAGCAGGATCCACATGCAGTACACTTTATTAAATAAACTGAAAACTTCACAAAGACTCAGACTCAGACTCAGAACAGGAACAGGGCATCCAACATTAACAGTAACAATACTAGAACTCACAAAGACTGGACTGAAACACAGGGCTTAAATACAAGGGCAAACGAGCTGAACAAGATAACAAGGGGGCGTGGTTAACCGGGGACACCTGGGAAGACTAATAGACATAATGGGGAACTGCTAAAACAAGAAATGACAGGGGAACACAGACTGACATTACAACACTAGTCAAATTACAATTGTAGATATCTTGAATTGGATTTTTTCCTAGTCAAATCTCAATTAAAGATATCTGCAATTTAATTATGGATATCTCAATTAGTTTTTTAACAAGGAAGACCTTTCTTTGGAGATATATGCATTTAGCTTTGTGAGCGGGAAGAATTTTAATATCTAGAATTAACAAAATTACTTTATATATCTGAAACGTGATACAATTAAAATGGGGAGGAGCTGAGTAAATTCAGTTTCATGGCACACAAAAACAGATCCGACTAGGTACAATGCAGATATCTTAAAATATAATTTTGACTAGTAGAAATAGAATTAGAGATATCTCTAATTACCTGTGCGCAGGGCCAAAAACTAACTTTTTGCCACACCTGCCAATGGCTGGTGACTTAAGAACATTTTCTGGCCATAAATATTTTTTACCAGTTATGAGACTTTGGGCTGTTATGACAAAATTCATGATTTTCAGGTGCAGAATGTAATAAAATAAATGACTGCATAGTCTTCACTGTATTAATTAATCATATATTAATCCTTATTAAAGTTACAAAAGTTTTTTCAGTCAAGATCAGTGAGTGATTTTTCACGCTGTATGAGATGTGGATTTCTGGGCGCGCTTCGGATGTTTGCGCACAGAAAACTTTCCACACAGTTTCTAACAAATTGAGTTCCCTTTCACAACTTCTTGCACTTGAATATTTCAATTAGCAAGGCTTAAACTTTCGTGACGATGTAGCGCTGGCCTGTCAACTGTCCCAAGCGTCGTTCACGTTTTTTTCAAGTTCATGTTTTTACAACATTGCATTTCTAGAATTAATAAAAATATTACCTTCAACTTTGGCACCGACAAAAGATTGACACCGTTTCATATATACGCCAACACTGATTTTTACTGGCATTTGGCGAGTTGATTTTTGGCCCTGTCTGTGCGTATGTTACGCATCAATTAAAGATATCTATGACGTCATCATAATCACATCGTAGATATCTTAATTCCAATTATGACGAGTCAAAATTACAAAATAGATATCTGGAATTGGAATTTTGACTAATCAAAACTTAATTACGACGACTAGTAGAGCCAGGAGCATTTAATGCTAAAACGGCTTATCATATACAAAGCTTTACTTACCGTAATTACGACATGGCATGAACGCAGCAATTAGACTAGTCAAAACATCTTTAGAGATATCTTGAATTGGATTTCTTACAAGTACAATTATTGTTATTTATTGATAATGTTAAGTATTAAGGGATTGACTTAACCCATCCAGTGTTATTAATGATTACCAGTCAGGGAGACTGGTAATCATTAATAAGTTTGAGTGAGTTTAATAATACACGGTGCTCACCATCTTATATTATGGGGTGAGTTCATTGTAATTTATTGTTTACTGAATTACACAGAAATTCAGTCAAATTAATAATTTCAGCTGCTGCAAGACTATTTGAAATGCAAAAATAACCAATTTTCACTGAATAAACTTAATGAGTACCTTTAGTGTTTTCAACGATGTGCAGTCTGTACATATCTGTTCACATCTCAAAAAAATTATTTTGGGGTTTCATGACCCTTTAAGATGAAACATTTAGCCTACTGTAATGAAAATAAACTGTTTTAATGTACTTTTAGTTCATATACCTTAGATACCTTCTTAGCAAGGTGTAAGAAAAAGAGTAAAACTTACCACAATATGTCCCAATGGTAAAGCGTCCCAAAATCATCATTTCAAATGACCGGCTGATCTTGGACATCCCCATCAGGCCTCCACCAATAAATGCAAGGACATTATTGATAAGCATTGCTTTCCTCCTAGCATAATAAACAAGGAACATAAAATAATATTTTTATGTAATACAACTGAGACATTTAGATTTTGACATTTCTAAGTTATTTCCTAAAACAGAACAGAAATCCCACTATTTTTCTCCACATATTGATTCACATTTTTTATCACACTCCTTCTGCTGACAATACATTATCGACTTCTATAATTCAATGTTAGGCTTGCAGCCGGAGGTTAAAGAGGTTAGGTCAGCCGGAACTGGGAACACTTCCCTTAAATCCTGATACTCGTTACATCATAAGAAGAATGGCATCTACGCTAATTTTAGTGTCTTTGTTTATCCTGAGGTATTCCCGCAGCCTGCCGGATCCAGGCCGTTTCCAGATCTGACGAAGGACCTTCGCCTGGACCTAGATGACAACGCAGTGCTGAAGTGCCAACTAGCCTCTCCCTATGGAGGATCCCTATTCCACTCTACAGATAAAGCGTTGTGGAAATTAGGGTTCACGTACCAACCCCGAAGTTGTAGAATAAAATAAAATTCTGTATCAAAACTTATAGGCAAGACAAGTAGCTTAGCGGCCCCTAATTTAATAACAAATTATCATTTCAACGGAAGTGAATCAATCAAACCTAACTTTAGCTGGAAAATAACATTATTCAGGAACCGCTATAAAACCAAACCAATCTCTGTTACCTTAAATTATATCAAGTGTATCTCTGTAAAGCTGCTTTGAAACAATCTACATTGTTAAAAGCGCTAGGCTATATAAATGAGGATGACTTGACTTGACATTATATTCTCTATTACATTGTAGAACAGGTGTGCCACATGCACCCCAGTCAAAATCACCATCACCAAGACAGCTGTTGTAACATGTAACTTGAGATCGGAATGCTCGTATCACAACTGTGCCCTTCAACAAGGTTGCTTTTTAGTAAGAGTCAGGGGCGTCACTAGGCCCTTTTTAGGGGGGCTTCAGCCCCCCTAAACTTCTGCCTAGCCCCCCTAAAAATGTGAGATTAATGTAGGCTACACAAATTCGTGTTCGCTTCAGTCTTGTTATAATCAGATTCAGCGCGTTCTTCATCTTCAATCCACAGCGGCGCCGACAGAGAGCACGTCAGAAACAGAGGACAGGGTGTGTGTGTTCATGTGTGTGTTCATCTGAGCCTCATTTGTCTGTCACTGCTCGTCAATGTCAGAATATTTGAGATGACCAATCAAATCAAAGTAGGCAGGCTTTATGTTCACAGACGCTGCTGAGCGCGAATTTTAACAGTGTGACTCGACGCGTACGGTCAAGTGCGAGATAAGATGTAAGTAGCTAAACTTAACATTTCATATTTTACTTTTTTTAGGTCATAAATGTTAAACGAATGACAAAAAATAATCAGGCAAACTAATATAGTTTTGTCTAATTTCGCCATTTTTAACTGAAAATAGGCTGTAACGTGACTCATGTAATGTAATAATTAGTTTACAAGAAACATTAACAAAGCCGTTTTCATCATGTTAGGCACAAGATTAATAATGAATGTGTACATATTGAGGATATAATACAAATTGTAGCCTTTAGTAAATGAAAAAAGCTCAGCTTTAGGAGGGGAAGAGAAAGGGACGAAGAGACTGAGAAAAAAAGAAAGAGTGATGGAGATGAGAAGAGAGCAGGCATTGACAAATAATCTACTGCCCACTGACATGGTTTTAAAGCTATTTCTTATCCTTTTTTGGTCTTCAAACGTCTTGAAATGCACATCAGAGAAATAAAAAATTTGAACCCCCTACCAAGCTCAAATTTAGGACCTCTGTGATTATAAAGCCCTGTCTACGGCCCTGTATTAGGCATAAGATCAATAATAAATGTGTAGCCTACATATTGTGAATGCATTTAATAAACTTAATTACCTTTAGTAGCTTTCTGTAAATAAACGCGTCTGAGAAAATGATTCATAGGCAAAATCAACCTATCAATTGACCCTATGTTTACTTTCTTCACTGACAGACAAAAATGAAAAGCCTATATCAGTCAAAGCTCAGCTTTAGGAGGGGAAGAGACAGGGCAAGATAAAAACAAAGAGAAAAAGAGTGTGATGCTGATGAGGAGAGAAAAATAATCAGCTGCCCACTATCCAAGTTTTTTGGCCTTCAGAATGTCTTAAAATGCACATATGTAGATCAGAGAAATCAATATTTTCTCGGGGAGACCCCGAACCCCCTTATTTGCCCTACCTCACATTAGGGACCACAGTTATTATAAAACCGTGCCTTTGCATCGTAATGAAAATGGTTAATAGTGATCTTTAGATCCTAAACTAAAGTGTTACATTTTTTTATTTTTTTTTAAAAAAAAATCATATTGGGGGCTTAGCCCCCCTAAAATGAAAATCCTAGTGATGCCCCTGGTAAGAGTACTTAAACAAGAACTCAAATAAACTTGGACCAGTCCTTTCTAAAAGTCCCCCTGTGGTGAAAATCAAGTTTTTAATATTGTTTGTGTGTTTATGTGGTGTTTTAAATGTGCTTTAAGACAAACCATGTGCAAATTCATAAGTCATCTGCACCATTGCTGAGTATTTTCTCTTTAAAACTGCGGTGAACCAAAACGCGGTTTGAAATCGCTTGTGTTTCTGACGTCACAAACTACCTTTTAACCATTCACGCCAATGTGCCGGCGGACTTTAGCATATCATTAACAGCGAACTAGCTGGTATATTTTTCTGTTATGAAAAATCGGGTAGATTTAGCAATATAGCAGGTGTATGATGTATATTAGGATGTTATGATGAACTATATGCCTTTCTCCACTTATGTTTCTGATGATTTTTAGAAAGCAGCTGCCTGACTCTGAGATGCGAACGGGAACATGGTTTGTGTAACAGTAGCAAAACATTATTAGCTGTTTGATACATAGTCAAGCAAAAGGACATTGTCAAGCAACATTGTGCAGCGTTTACGTCAGTAAGTTGACTTATAAATCTCTGAGCTGGCGTTAATGAGTTAATTAGCATAATTAGCACATTCATGGATCCGCGTATACTAAATGAAGCAAGGGTGTAGGCAAGGGTATTTTAAAGCATGATTTTTTTTCACAGGAAAAATCATTTAAATATGTCATTTTGGTGATCAAATATGTGTTTTAAGGGATAAAATTATTGACTTATAGGGGGATTTTAAACTATTCCAGCTTCGCATTGGCTCAGGCTTCTGGTTTCTTTACTCCCTCTTTCTTTTCTGCGGTGTTTACAATGGTGACAACAGCATTCTACTAACATAACTCACACCCATACATTTTCAAGACTCACAACCGCATGTTCTGGAAAGCCCTGTGTGAACGGAACCGGACTGGGCAACTAGTTTTCATATAGAGCGAGAGAGCCACTCTTTGCTGAACGTGGGTTCGGTAATTTACAAAGGTGTGGATATAATCGGCGTGTCATCTGAATGTTTTAGATCCAGTCACTGTCTTCCACAAGAGCTGTCTCTGTGAGTTTTGTGGTCCGCGTGTGACTCATGAACTTGCGCCTCAACTTTTGTTTTAAATGTGATAAGAATTTAGTTTTATTTACTTATTACTTATTACAGTTGATAGATCCCGTTACACGTTCATATAGACAATATATGAGACGCTATTGTAAGCTGCTATGTGAACAGGATATTTCAACACTCAAATTCTCAAATCATTCTCAAAACTATCCTTGGTAAAAATACTACTACTATTTATTTGAATTTATCAGACATTAGCACAAATTGAAATATTTATGTATTGACTTATGGTGACATTTTTATTTGTAATTACTGTAATGCTGCAGTCCACAATATTTAAGTAATGAGTGTGTTTTTGTAGATTTTATTCTTTAGTCCAAACATTATTTGTTATATTGAGTTATTATATATATATAATATAAGGATAATACAGATATAGAGCTGACTTACCTGCCAAAAAACTCTGAGATGATTCCCACGGAGAAGGAGGACACCATGCCCCCAATGGAGAAGATGGCCACAGAGAGTGACCACAGAGATGTCAGTGTTTGTGGAGGGATTGGTTCTGAGTACCTTTCCGTCCATGTTGAGTTATAGTCCTGCTCAATGATCTGAAGTCAGAGGCATGAAGAAAAGAGAGAAGACAAGAGGAGAATGACATGATGAGACATTAGTACTCTCAGGAAAAAAAATCTATGCTCTTCTTCAAGAGTGAAAATAGTCCCATTTCATATTAAAATTTCGATGTTAAAGCATTTTATGTTTTGTATGTGCATCCCTTTTCACCCTGATGACACATATCTTTCTTAATAGATACAGTTGTGGTCAGAATTAATGGCACACATGGTAAATATGATCAAAAATGGGTATAAAAAATAAATCTGCATTGTTTATCCTTTTGATCTTTCATTAAGAAAATGGCAAAAATCGAACCTTTCATTGAAGTAAAATAATTGAAAGTAGTGGGGGGGGGGGGTTGTTTCTTGTTTCACAGGAGTTTAAATATGAGGAAACACAAAGGCCAAATTCCCTTAATCATCCATCACAATGAGTAAAACCACAGAGTCTAGTTCTGATGTGCATCAAAAGATTGTTGAGCATCACAAAATAGAAAGTGGCTGTAAAAAAAAAGCTAAAGAATTGAAAATCTCCATTTTGACCATCAGGGCAATAATTAAGAAGTTCCAATCAACTAAAGATGTTACGAATCTGCCAGGAAGAGGACGTGTGTCTAATATTGTCTTAATGCACGGTGAGGAGGAGAGTTTGACTGGCCAGGATCACAGATGGAGAATTTCAAGAAAAATCCTCCTCGCTCATCCAAAAACAAACTCCAGCAAATTCAGTTGTCAGAGACGACTGGAACTTCAAACGGCACAGGGTTCTGTGGTCAGATGAAATTAAAAAAAAGAGCTTTTTCTGCAGGAGGTCCTGGACATCTTGTTCAGATACATGGCATTGTGGATTCTATCAAACATCAACAAATATCAACAGATAGAAAATCAAAACCTAGTAAGTAAGTAAACTTTATTTATATAGCACCTATCACAGATAAAATCACAAAGTGCTTTACATAGCAAGTTTAACAAATATTAACAATTTAGACACATCATACAGAAAACATACAAACATAATAGCTCAGTCAACTGAAAGCTTGTCTGAATAGTACTGTCTTTAGCTCTTTTTTAAAAGAATCAACAGAATCGGCCACACGCAATGATGAGGGCAGGGCATTCCACAATTTGGTAGCGACTGCATGAAATGAGCGGTCTCCCCGAGTTTTAAGGCGTGTTTTGGGGACCATCAGGAGGTTTTGACCTGAAGAACGAAGAGTGCGGCCGGAAGAATAAGAGGTCAGCATGTCAGCGATATATTGGGGGGACTGTCCATGTAGTGCTTTAAAAATGAAGACTAAAATTTTAAACTCAATTCTATATTTTACTGGAAGCCAGTGGAGATTAAATAAGATGGGAGTAATGTGTGCCGTTCTGTTGGTTCCTGTTAATAGCCTGGCTATTAAAAAAGAGAATTACAATAATCTAGCCGTGAAGAGACAAAAGCGTGAATGATCAATTCCATGGTAGCTTTAGGTAGTATTGATCTCAGTTTAGAGATATTTCTCAAATGAAAGAAACAATTTCTGACCCTCTGTCTAGAATGAGCATCCAGAGACATCGATTGGTCGAACAAAACACCCAGGTTCCTTAGACTCATCTGGACGGACGCGTCCAAGGAACAGAGGTGTTGTTTAATTTGGGGTAGTTTTTGTTCTGGAGCAATAATCAACGTTTCAGTCTTTTTTGTATTCAGTTGCAAATAATTATTATATAACCAGGTCTTAATGCACGACAGGCATTCTAATAAATCGGTTAATTTACCTAACTCTGACTCCTTGAAAGAGCAATACAGCTGAATATCATCAGCATAAAAGTGATAGGACACATTATTAAAATTACGAATTATTTCACTAAGAGGGCTAATATACAATAAAAACAAAATTGGACCTAAAATCGAACCCTGAGGCTTCTGCTAGAAATCTTATAATGGGTCGTGGTTGGATCTTCCATCAGGACAACAATCCAAAACAAACAGAAAAATCAACACAAAAATGTGTGACGGAGCACAAAATGGATCGTACTAACACAATTTCAACCGAGGGGACTTCCCCTCAAATAATGTTGTTCTTTTCATGGTTTTTATTGTGAAGTTTCTCATAGTCATGTTTCATGTTATTGTGTCATGTGATTTCCTGTTCCCCTCATTTGATCTGGGGCCTATACCATAAAGCCAGTTTAGGTATAGACAGATATGTTTCAGTTTAGTTTGTGCCAAACCCTAGGTTTCAGTCACCATGAAAGTGGCTCAGCTTTTGGCAGTGTTCGTTGCCATAGTAACTTACACTCCACAGCTAACCTGCTCCCGGGCAAACTGAAACTGGACCAATCAGCTGTGAGCAAACTGACATGCCTGACGCGATAAAATCACTCCCCCAGTTTCTTTTGCTCCAAATTCAAGGTCACTATATAGTAACAGATCTTTTAGCAATGATTATTTATTATAATTATTTGATTTTTATATTATTTATATAATCTTTATACTCTTAACCCTAGTGAAAAAAACAATTCCAAAATAAGTACATTTATTTCATACTAAGTATACTACTAATTCAATTAATATATTTACTGACATCGCTTGAGACTTACTGATATTAATATTATAATTAAACTTTATATGGAGTACTTCTTTATTGCAAAATGCACATTTCTTAATATTATGCCTAAAATGTGTTTTAATATCACAATTAGTAAGGATAGTATGATCTCTGTATGATATCAATCTTTAAATGCAAGATATTTATCTAAAGTATACTTGCAATGGTTGTAAATGTATCTGTAATATACCTAGCATAAAATAAATTTATTTCAAATACATTTTGGTATATTTATTTTTCACTAGAGAATCCATTACACATTAGATGTCTTAGTTTAACAATTAATATAACACAATTAGGTTTAATGTATAGAAATATTTACAGATCACATGTAACATAAAAAGGCTTTAGAATCAATACATAAAGCTTTAAAAATCCCTACATGAGCTTGCATGTTCAAGTCTCTGTATATTATCATCAACTGTATAAACTAACTTCACAACTTTCACTTGCACTGATATAGCAAGATATTTTCTTCTTGCTGTGCAAATGCATTTATGTACCTTATATTCTTCAATCTCTTCGATCTTCGATAGAATAGAGAATTAAAATTGCGCTGACTCTCTTGCGAGAAGTGAATCACAGTTTTGCATGTTTCAAGGTATGTGATTGGCTGTACGCTACTGATGTCACACTTACATTTGCACGCACTTCATGGTTATTTATGAACTCAGGGTCAAAGCCTTGAAAAAGAAAGTTGATGATCAACATTATGGTACCAACAAAGCCTGATTGGATTGGTTTGGTATTTTGTCAACTCGAAACTAACCCTGTAACCCTGAGTTTATGGAACCCATCATGGTACAGGCCCTATAATGTTAGATATGACACTGAAGCTTCGAGGAATGTATTGAGCACGCAGCACAATCTCCAGTGAGTGAAGTCCCTTACCAAGGCGTGTATTGGTTTCACAGGGTCACGTGATCAATGACAAACAAAGCCTCACTTTCTGTCCAATCACATGAGCGAAACGCTTTGTGTGTTGGAATGTTAGAACCCCAGAACATACTTTACGAGTCATAAAAGTAAAATGAAGAATACACATAATTTCAGTCAAAATACTTGCCATATGCAACTCTGCTAGTCATATATGTGTACATTATTCTTCTATTACATCATGATAGTAAATTAAATTATATACTGGCATTTATTGCCACACTTTAATGGATTCATTTATCAGAGGGAGAAATTCAACACACACACACACACACACACTGGTGAACTTCCCATAGAAATAATGATTTGTATTCTGTACAAACTGTATATTTTATCCCTCTAACCCTACCCCTAAACTTACCATCACAGAAAACTTTCATTTTTAGATTTTCAAAACACTTAATTTAGTATGATTTATATACCTCATTTATTTTCCTCATTGGGATCATATGGTCCCCATAACGTAGGGAATACCAGGTAAGCACGCACACACACACACACGCTTCATTTCCCTAACAGCCCAGTCACGTAGTTCCTTTATCGTCTTGATTATTTATAGGTGTATCTTGTTAGTCATTAGTTTTTGCATATATGTATATATATATATATATATATATATATATATATATATATATATGTATATTATATATATGTGTGTATATTATATACACATAATATACTGTATATATATTGCTTTGTTTGTTTGTAGTCAAGTCAAGTTTGTTCAATTCAAGTCATGTTCTAGTACTCAAGTTTATGTTATTCTGTAGTTTGGTTTGTTTTCGTATTCTGTTTCAGTAAACTGCAGTTTTAGTTGCAATTTTAGTTTGGTTTTCTCAGTGACATGTTCTCCTTTGTTCAGTTTCCCCGCCACTCTTTAGTTGTCATGGTAACAAATATGATTATTTTTCTTATTTTACAGCTAAATCAAAAATAATTTATGTATTGTATTTTGTGGGGGAAAAAATGAGAGTGAGATGCACTTGAAATAACAATTGCTGAATATTGTAATATGTAATATAGGGTAGAGTGGGGGAAAACGCCCCCCTTAAGGAAAATGTGACATTACTGTGAAACAAAACATAAATGTGACTAGAATTGCCATCCCAGTTTTGAGTGACTATGGCAGGAGAATATTACTAAATATTAAAATTGCTCAACCTGCATAATTATATATATTTTTTGACTGAAAATATTTTTGTACAAAGGGGGCGTTTTGCCCCAGCGGTGGGGTAAAACGCCCCCCAAGGTGGGGTAAAACGCCCCCTTTCTTACCAACCAGTTTGCTTCATAGATCAACAGCAAAATACACATAGTTTTTAATCTCTAAAAGTAAAAGGCAAGTAATGCAACAACATGTATATATACCTATTAATATTTATTTCAGGAATGTACAAAATAGCCAAATTTCTAACATTTTAATATTTTGATTTCTACACTAGGCCTATATGGGGTTGATAATTGATGTAGTATTTGTTCACCACTATCATCAAGAAAAACAGAAAACCCTAAATAAATATTAAACATAAATTAGTATATTTAAAGTGAAATATATTCAATAAATGCTCTAAAAGTCACTATATTTTATCATTGGGTCACCTAACCACCTTCCATCATTGCATCCGCCAAGCTAGCTAGCTAATGCTCACTTGAGGTAATTTTATCATGTTTTGTTAAAATATTTTGATTTTATCGCCTAGTTATTCTGCATTAAAGTGTAAAATAAAGACTTTGATAAACAGAAATATGTTACTATAGTAATTATGATAAAGAGAAACTATGCCCATTGGGGGGCGTTTTACCCCTCAGCATAGGGGGCGTTTTACCCCACAAGCTATGTTTTTTTTATAAATTTTTTATTTTTAAAAATATAATTATATTCCTTATAAATAACATATGCTCTCAAACTACAGACTTCACTATTCATCTATCATACATTACTGTGATATCACTGTGAACAATATTCTATTAAACACTTGTTTACTAATATCTGAACATTATAGCATTTTCCATGTAATCCCCTTCTCTTCAAATACGTCGCTGGTGTCAGCTTCTCCATGGAGATTTGTATATCCCCGTTGTCAACGTAGTGCATAGCAATAGTAAAAATGTATCTTGATTCATTCTAGTGGTTATTTTGGGGAAAACGGGTGGGGGGCATTTTACCCCAGGGGGGCATTTTCCCCCACTCTACCCTAATATAGCTAAGATATAGCTGTGGACTGTACTAATGCTGCGTTCCAGGCAGTTTTTTGAGCATGTAAATCACGACTTCAAACTACGACTCACTACTTTCGCGTTCCAAGCCAGTCACGCCAAACTACCTGAGCGCAAGGAATTGTGGTAGCTAGATGTAATCAAACCATTGCTGTTTTGTATGGTTTCGCGGGCTATGTGACGTCAGAGCTGGTTACTGGGAGTACAGCGATCTAGTACGAGTTCACGGGTGGGAAGTCACGGGTTTGACTGCCGTTCCAGTGCACTTTCACGGGTATAAGGTTGGAAAAACACGGGTTACAGGTTGCCTGGAACGCGGCATTAGTCACTCTTTATGAATGTAATTCTTTGGACATCATTATTATCCTGCCGTTTCAAGTTTAAGTTTTAACAATACGGCGTTAATATGTATAAACTATGTATGAGTAACTGATTTTCAAATGGATGCAATATTACCTTCTGTGGAGCGTTGATGACTCCAATGTTATAGCCAAACTGAAAGGAGCCCAGTACAGCGGTGAACACTGACAGTGCGAGGGTTCCAGTTATTCTCTGCAGGAAACCAAAACACACAATGTTTATAATCACAGTAAATTTACAAACATCAAAGGAAGGTATTACAGCATTACTGTCATCTTCACTCTAAATTTAAATATTTGTTTTCTATATTGTTAAATATTGCAATTCTATATTAATATATTGGGATAAAATCTAAATTCATATTTAAAAAATATTATAGATAACTACGTGAGAGATATAAATTTATATCTTATTGCCTGCATGGCTATCAAGGACATGGTATGATTGCCTCAACCTGTACATAACGAAACCATTATGTCATAGAATGTCTTCACAGCAATATGTTCAACATTGGAGAGGTGGAAAACCAGATATCTATCTGATTACACAAATACCTTCATATTTAATTAAGGATTACTGCTTTAAAATTAAGCCCTATACTGATTTGATCTGTTCTGTCTGTCACGTGTTTTAGGTAAAATGGTTCAGTCTGTTCCCATGTCTTTGTGGTTCATCTGGCATTAGCAGAATGGGCCACACACCTGTCTTTTCACTGACTGACAGAAGTCTGGCTGACTCCTCTCTTGTTTATATCTGCTGACATAAGTGTACAGGAGTGTATAACACATTTCCCTAAACAAATGCTGTATTCATTGTGTAACACTTACTGGCATTAATATGCATTATTAGTGGCCAATCACTGAATGTGCGTAGGCACCTATTGTCTCTGTTAATATTTTTCTTCTTCTGCTCTTTAGTCTATGGCAGCCCATAGAACCGCTTGCAAGAATGTTATGAAATTTGGCACACAGATAGAGGACAGTCTGAACTTTAAGCACAGCAAATTTGGAGTCATTTACCTATAGTGTCACCAACTGTCCAAATTTGTTACCATGTTTATGCTAATAACTTTTGAATCATAAGGCCTAAACAGAAAATATTTTTTTTTCTATGATTCCTTTGCTCAAGACGATTCAACCTAGCAAAGTTGGCTCAGATCATCTGCAGACCGTGCTGGCAAAAAGTTATCAAAAGCTTTTTGATAAACCAAACTGTTCTAGAATAACACACAAAGAAATTCAACAAAGAGCACATCAAAATGCAATGCTTTAGCATGAGGCAAATTTTGGTACATGTCATCGCAAGCATGACCTGAGGCAACGTGCAGCGTTTCAGCACACCGCCACCTACTGGTCCGGAGATATGATTTTCATCATTCACTATTTTTGCTTATAGCTTCTGATCGGTTTGCCCCAAAATCACAAAATATTGGATGCTCTTTAGGTCTCATTAGATTTGGTATGACATACCAAACGTCTCCGTTTGCGTAACGTCTCCGTACCCTCCTTCAGGGAACAGGGGTTACATCAGTAACCTAGACGATTCCATTCAGTCAGTCATGTTCGATGTTACGTCGGACTGACGTCATGGGGTCCCTATGGAAAGCGCCATAGGCACTGAACTGTGTTACAAGATGCTGGCAAGCTGCCACGTGCCCCTATTGGCAACTGCTCTCACAAATGTCGTAACCTACCCAGCGCCCCAAGTAAGCCCAAGGGAAGTCCTCCATACCTGAGGAAGCGTGCCCAGTCCCAAAGAAGGGGAATGCTACAGGGACCATACCCTGCCTGAAGGAAAGTAACGTGTGGAGGTTTCACATATGGACTGACCTGTGGGGCAGTACTTCATATGGAAGATCTGTGAAGTAGGTCCTACCTATCTAGGGACAGGGCAGAGCAGAGGGGAAAACCGTATCATGGACAATCCACATATGGGATTACCGAACAGGGAATCACGTCATATGGGCATCTAGCCCAGTACAAGGGCTGACCGGCCGGCCATGCACAGTATTGGGCCTGGCGTAAGACACCTGTGTGACTGCCGAAAGATGCTGTAGGAACTCGATTCTGGGTTTGCCGAGTGGGGAACTCACCTGAAGAGCAAGTAGGAGCTCATGATGTGCTGCAATAGCAACACCTTCAAGGTATAGGGGGAAAGCCTCCGCTCCAAACCATCTTGAAGGAAGGAAAGCACAGAGCCGAACAAACTCAACTTTAAAGCATAAGCACGCCTCGTAGAGGGGGTTTTAGCTGAAGTGATAGTGTCAACTACCGCTGGCGGTAGGACACTTAAGTCCTCCACGCCTCGTCCAGAGACCACACATGGAGGGAGGGGCTGTCGCGAGGAGCATCAATTCTGGGAACCAGGTCTGGTTGGGCCAGTACGGCGCAACTAACAAGACCTGCTCCTCGTCCACCCTGACCATGCACAGTGTCTGTCCGAGAAGGCTCACTGGGGTCAACACATATCAGTGCCTCAGTGCCTAAGGTTCCCGTCATTCAGGGAATAGAACAACTGGCAGTGGGTGGACTCCTGGGAGGCAAACAGGTCTACCTGTGCATCCCCGAATTGGCTCCAAATCAACTGGACCGCCTGGAGTTTCCATTCTCCCGGGAACGTGAGCTGTCAGGTGAATGGAAAGAGCGATCGTTGTTTCACAGCCGCTCGGCTCCGAAGCAAAATATGAATGAAGTGAGTAATGCCGGTCCTATTTATACCCGTATGTCCGAGTAGGTCTGACTTGGCATGCAAATCTCATTGGCTTGTTTTGTTACCACTTGGAGGTGATTGGGCTTCCAGGCAAGAAATGACGTCAGTCCGACGTAATGTCGAACGTGACTGACTGAATGGGAACTTTAATTACTTTAATTTAGTTGCATTCTGATAACTCGTCATACCATATACAAATGTAAATAAATTATATTCAATATAAATTAAAGGTGCTCTAAGCGATGTCACGCGTTTTTTAGGCCAAAACATTTTTTGTCACATACAGCAAACATCTCCTCTCTATTCGCTGGCTGCCTGTCCCCTGAACACACTGTAAAGAAACGCGGTCTCTGTAGACAGCCCAGGCTCCACAAACAGCAACAAAAACAAACTGCGGCGACCCGCTCCACGAAACATAACAAACTGTTCCAGCCAATGACCGACAAGAAGGGTTTGGGGGTGTGGTTTGGGGGGTTAGTGTGCAGATGAGGAGGAGGGAGGGTCTAGCTAGCCTCCGTTTTGTTTGAAAATAGTTCGAACGTCAACAAGAAGTGACGTCACCCAGGATCGCTTAGAGAACCTTTAAATTAAAAACATTTGTTGCTCAAATATTCATTTTCATGGTATATGACACAATTACACTCACCGGCCACTTTATTAGGTACACCTGTCCAACTGCTCGTTAACACTTAATTTCTAAGCAGCCAATCACATGGCGGCAACTCAGTGCATTTAGGCATGTAGACATGGTCAAGACAATCTCCTGCAGTTCAAACCGAGCATCAGTATGGGGAAGAAAGGTGATTTGAGTGACTTTGAACGTGGCATGATTGTTGGTGCCAGAAGGGCTGGTCTGAGTATTTCAGAAACTGCTAATCTACTGGGATTTTCACGCACAACCATCTCTAGGGTTTACAGAGAATGGTCCGAAAAAGAAAAAACATCCAGTGAGCGGCAGTTCTGTGGGCGGAAATGCCTTGTTGATGCTAGAGGTCAGAGGAGAATGGCCAGACTGGTTCGAGCTGATAGAAGGGCAACAGTGACTGAAATAACCACTCGTTACAACCGAGGTATGCAGCAAAGCATTTGTGAAGCCACAACACGCACAACCTTGAGGCGGATGGGCTACAACAGCAGAAGACTCCACCGGGTACCACTCATCTCCACTACAAATAGGAAAAAGAGGCTACAATTTGCAAGAGCTCACCAAAATTGAACAGTTGAAGACTGAAAAAATGTTGCCTGGTCTGATGAGTCTCGATTTCTGTTGAGACATTCAGATGTTAGAGTCAGAATTTGGCGTAAACAGAATGAGAACATGGAACCATCATGCCTTGTTACCACTGTGCAGGCTGGTGGTGGTGGTGTAATGGTGTGGGGGATGTTTTCCTGGCACACTTTAGGCCCCTTAGTGCCAATTGGGCATCGTTTAAATGCCACGGCCTACCTGAGCATTGTTTCTGACCATGTCCATCCCTTTATGGCCACCATGTACCCATCCTCTGATGGCTACTTCCACCATGTCACAAAGCTCTAATCATTTCAAATTGGTTTCTTGAACATGACAATGAGTTCACTGTACTAAAATGGCCTCCACAGTCACCAGATCTCAACCCAATAGAGCATCTTTGGGATGTGGTGGAACGGGAGATTCGCATCATGGATGTGCAGCCGACAAATCTGCGGCAACTGTGTGATGCCATCATGTCAATATGGACCAAACTCCCTGAGGAATGCTTCCAGCACCTTGTTGAATCTATGCCACGAAGAATTGAGGCAGTTCTGAAGGCAAAAGGGGGTCCAACCCGTTACTAGCATGGGGTACCTAATAAAGTGGCCGGTGAGTGTATGTAAAAAATGTTTAAATTAAACTATATGATATAATATTAACATTTTTGCACTAACTTGTTTTGTGTGTTTTCTCCCTGGCATGACCAATCTGTGTTGAGGTTTGGCTATGTTGTGTTTTGTAATGATACACGGAAACGTCAAATGTCAAGAGAGGCAGTATGTCTGAACGCTTGGACAGAAGCATTTCATTTTCAGTTTAGGAGAATACTTCTTTAACAAAACATTAAAATCAGAGATGCTGGCATAATAGGTTGGCAATAGTGGCATTAGAGTGTTGTGATTACTGTCAGCATATCACAAAGCATGGCATCAACAAGCACTAAGATAAAGAAGTATTAAAGTGTTAGTTACACTTTATCATTTAAGGTCCACTGTGAGACAGAAATGCTTTAACTGAGTATCTCTGAGCCATTTTAAAACACAGATTTGACCTTGAAACATGTGACCATTTACACACTACATCTAACTGCAATGTTGACTTTATTACTATCTCACACTCTCACTGGATCGCAATATCCAATGACAATCTTATCAAAACCAACGGAAGGCTTCATGTCTGAGTGTGAGTGTAATATTAAATCAGTACATGGGCACATTCTCATAATGTATTATTTTAGGTATTTAAATCAAATAAAAATTAAATATAAAATTGTTTAAAATGTTTATATTTTAAAGATCCAAACTAATCATTATCGCACTGTATGGTAGCTCACATTATCTTATATGCATAATCGTAATTGTCATTACCTCCCCTCCCAACTGTTGAAACCCAGCCGGCATGACTCTGAGTGTGCGAGACTCAAAGTTTTGGTCCTGTCTCACAGTCCTTTCCAAGCAGTATTATTCCAAAGAACTGATCTGTAAATTTAATTTGTCCTTTAAAACACACACACACACACACACACACACACACACAGAGAGACAAGAACTATACAAAAAAAGTCCTAAATTTGGATCAAGGCTTGTGTGTTTCTCCAGTGTCTATAATTTCCTCTGTGAGATTTGAAGAAGAGGGCACAGAATACATGCTCACACACTCTCCACCCCCATGTTTTTAGAAGTTTGGGCCAGAGGGGAGGGGTTTAGATCTATGTGAAGAGTAGCTACACTGACTAGGCTGTTTCCATTAGCTTCAGTCCTACAAGGTTGGTTTGTCACTGTACAAATTGTCTTGACCTTATGTGTCATTGGAAAAAAAGAGCAAGGTGTAGGCTACATTAGCATGTCCCACATGAAATTTGAGAGAGAGAGAGATGTAGATCACTACATTTTGTGCAGAATTGAGACTAATCACTGTAAAGTTTAATCATGGATAAACTGTAGGACATTCCATGTATCCTTGCTTATGGGTAATTCAAGTATTAATTTGAGCATTTGGTTTGAGAATTTCAAAGATTCACTTCTTTAGGTCAGTTTCCACCACATGATTATATGGGTCAAGAGAGTCCAGATGCCCACCTTGATGGTTTAAACCCCAACAATATTGGCCAAGAATGGTTAACTGGGCTGACTCTCTATTGTTCAGCTTTTCTTAGCTCATAGATCCCTTACTATTTTGGAACACATGCCTAAGGGGTCACAAACTCTGCCTATAAGCCCCTCCCCACCAACTCATTCCCATGTCACATGAAAAGAATCCTCCCCAGGCAACAGGTGCTCCTAAGTTGTGGACTATACCACTTATATCTTGAGGTGGTTTTTTATTTAAGCAGAGATTTGTGTGGCTGGGGGTTAGAGTCTGACACCAAATGAGTAAGCGACGTAATGGAAAAATGTCTGATGCGTTCACTCAATTTAAGAGCCCTTATTACCACCCACCAAACTCATGCCTGCACTTTCTCTCTCTCTCTTTCGTCTTGCTCCCATCGAACACCCTCTCTCCTTGATCCTCTGATATTCCTGCCGAAGAAAGAGCGGTTGAATCTGATACCTGTCAGCTGAAGGGCCCCAGCCAGAGTCATGTGTGCCTTTCTCACTGAACCCAGAGAAACCAGATCCCTTAAAGACAGACACAGGGTCTGCTAATGCAGATCCCGTGCAAAAAGTAGACCACATATGACATTTAAATTATGTTTTTGATTGGATGTTTCCACATATTTTCCATGCACAGTGGTACTCATTATTAAATATATCTCATTAAATGAGTATTAGTTTCTGTGAATGTGTAATAGTAGTGTAAGCTTAGGTGAGAGTAGACGCCTCTCACGGTTTAAACAAATAGGGCTGGGCAACAAACTCAAACTCCTCTTCTCTTATATCGAAATCCTCCAACATTTCTCTTTAAAAACTCTCATTTTAGACTTTTAATTTGTGACAGGGTTTTGTTTTGCTCTATCCTCTGCGCTTCCATGTTCGTCAATATGTCATGCGTCGGGTCAGAGTTCACTCTTCCGCTGGAACTAGACTCGCGTATGACCGCTACCGGAAGCCAGTGATTATAGATTATAAATATGGATGTATGGACAAAAACCTATAAACCCCCTGGAGCCATATGTATTACTTTTATGATGGATGGATGCGCTTTTTTGCCTTCAAATTCTAGCGTACCATTCACTCCCATTATAAAGCTTGGAAGAGCCAGGATATTTTTTAATATAACTCAGATTATGTTTGGCTGAAAGCAGAAAGTCAAATACACCTAGGATGGCTTGAGGGTGAGTAAATTATGGGATAACACTGATTGCCACCTGTCATAAAACACAAGCAGACACAGCGCGCATCTGTTACTGCCGCTTAGCTCACCAGTGTAGCTCAATATCCCAACTAAACTAACTCCCAGTGTGGAAGTTTTTGGGATTCCGCGAAAATGACTCTTTAATCACCAGTCTGCAGGACTTGCCGATCAACAGTGAGCGCAAAGGCAATACCACCAACCTGTTAACCCACCTCCGCCTCTGTTATCTTGAAGATTTGGCAACTGTACAAAGTCGCAATTATTTTGGTAGTCCTGAAACGGGAAATGTTACATTGTCCTGTAACTGCAGGCGTCTTTCTGTGTTTTATTATATTTACATCCCTCTGGGCTTTTAGTCCAAAAGTGTGCTCATTCGGAAAAAACTTATGGTTTATCGTATATTTACTTCAACTATCTTTAGAGAGCAGTGTGTATCATATCGTACACGGTTTAAAATAATTTCATTAGTAGAAAATGTGTATGTAGTATTTTATTTGATATTAGCCTACTCTTTTTTTCTTCATTTTACTGCATTTTAGATTTTATTTCAGAATATTAGGTGGTGTATACTGTAAATAAATGAAAAAATGGTAGCATCCTTAAACAAATAAGAGATTGTAGATGACCTTTCATTCTTTATTTTATTTTATATTTTTTGGGGGGGTTATGTATACAAAATGTAATTAACAGATGTACAAATAAAAAGATTAGGAATCATATTTCTTTCATGTGCTTTGTATTAGGATTTAGTTGTCTGAGATTCCTACGTGTTCTTGTGATCATTGGAAAGGGCAGATATATCGATACTAGAAACCATAATCAGCAATGCAGCTATTGGCTGGCGGCAATACAGCAACTTAATGACATTACTGCTGCGTCCGAATTCAGAGGCTGCATCCTTCAAAGGCTGCTTTCAAAGGCCGATTGCGTCACCGCTGAGCGACAGCTGTCCTAATTTGAAGGCTCCTTCAAAAATGTGGTCTCCAAATGCGTCCTTTGTTATGAAATGTAAAAATAAAATAAAAACTTTAAAGCGGTTCAAATGTTGACTTATATATCTTACTAAGATGTGATTATATGCTCTTTATTATATACAGAAATGGATCGTGGTGAACTATTTACACAGGTTGTGAACCCTGTTTTGTTTTCAGACAGTTTAATATAACTTTCAAAAAAGTCCAGTACAAACGTGTCACAGTTGCTTGGCGACAAGAACAATCATCCATAGGCTAGACCGTTCCATTTAACAGCGCTTGTTATCCGACACGTGGCCTTCGAAGGTGTGTCGGTAACACTTTACTATTAAGTTCATTAGTTAACATTAGTTACTGTATTAACTAACATGAACTAACAATAAACAAAACATTTGTTACAGTATTTATTAATCTTTGTTAATGTTAGTTAATAAAAATACAGTCATTCATTGTTTGTTCATGTTAGTTCACAGTGCATTAACTAATGTGAACAAATAGGCTACATTTGATTTTAATAATGTATTGGTAAATGTTGAAATTAATATGAACTTTAAGATGAATAAATATTGTAGAAGTATTGTTCATTATTAGTTTATGTTTACTACTGACGTTAACTAATGTTAATTAATGAACCTGCGGTGTCAAAGTCAAGTCAAGTCACCTTTACTTATATAGCACTTTTTACAATACAGATTGTTTCAAAGCAGCTTTACAGTGATAACGGGAAAATAATGCAATAAAGTTTGTTTCTGCTGTACAGCAGATCTAGAAGAAAATAATGTCATAGTCCAGCTTAAGTAAGTTTAGTGCTGGTTAATTTTTGTTATAAAAAGGTTCTTAATTTAGTTCATTTATATAGCCGCTCTGGAGAAAACAGTACGTAATCTCATGTATGTTGTCAATGCAGGCAGTTCAATAATATTGTTAAATATTAAGTGTCCCCAACTAAGCAAGCCAAAATCAAAAGGCGACAGAGGCGACGGTGGCAAGGAACCTTCGAAGGATGCAGCCTCTGAATTGGGATGCAGCTCATATTAAAAAAGAATATCACACACCTGACGAAAAACTTGAAGAATTTTTGGACCTTTATAAGAAACAGCCAAGCAACCAAAACGACATAAGTTATAATTGATAAATGAAATGTGTACTGTTAGTTATATGATTAAATTATTTCCATTATTTAACAATTTCTAGTATTTGTAGGCTTTACATTTTTATTTCAATGTTGTAATGAGCAATTCATCTAATTTAACCTGTGAAGCTGAATTGTTTTACGTGACAGCATTAATTATAAAATTACTGCTGAGCAGACAGCGTTTTTTACTAAGTTATCTGCATCTCCTGCGCTGCATCAAGGTACACCCATAACAGTTGTCACCATTTAAATTAATATTACATTGTGTGTAAGACAACAAACTTATTAGGTAATTTTCCTCTCACGAATAAATCTCTCAATGAGTAAAACTGGCTGTGTCTATATTATGGTAGACTACACAAAATTTTAATATTATTCTCAAATTTGTATTATTATTTTAAATCATTATTTATTGTCTCTGGATCATTAAGGTAGGCCTATTGTAAGAAAGTAGCAGTGCGGCTGTGACAGACTTTAAATATCACCTCTGCTTAAAAAGATGCAATAATCCTGTTTACATGCTTATACGCCTATAACAAGATTATATTCCTAAATATAATGAATATAACTAATTTGGATGAATGTTCTCAGAACTGTGCCTGCTCCCACGACTCGCGAGCAGGTTTGAGTTTACGGATCTGTTGCTATGACAGCAACCAAGGGATGAGCTTCGAAAAACCTAACAATCCTGGATCATGTCAAATCGTCAACAGTGAAATCAGAGAACGGCCCCTGGATGCCTTGAAGCTTGACAGAATAGACATGAGAAAATCACGATGTAAACTATGTGACATGTTCAGGCCACAAGATGTCGCCCTTGGGTAAGCCACGCCATAAGCCACGCATTGAATTTACATAAATACATAAAGGGATATTCCACCCAAAAATTAGCCTGGCTAACGCCAGACCCAATCTCGTTGAGAATTGGGTCTGGGAACCACATGTTCATTTTCTCGTATTTGAGGCGTGGTTTACGAATGCCCAGAGCCGTTTATTGGGTGCTAAGAATGTCTATCAAATGCGCCTGTACGTAGCTCATAGCCAATCGTTTCGATTATACCAGATGACGTATGTAGAGCGACAGAAATTAGACGAGGGAGCATAGCGAGGGAGACGACGATGGCCGA